AACAGTATTCCAAGTGTAATTGTACCACACTTTTGTATAATGGTATGATGATACTTACAATTTTATTTCCAGTGTTATTGGGTGAACATTTTAGGGGTGGTAAGTTTTACTCAGACTAGGTTTTACTCAACTAAGTTTTATACAGAGTAGAGCTATTTAAGTTAACGAACCTAACTCCACCATGCTCATTAATTTCTCCAGGCCTACTCTGAGGAAAAATTAGTTGAAAAACCACCGTACATATTTTGCATTATTAAAAAAAGGTAAAGGTACCCCTGACCATTAGGTCCAGTTGCGGACGACTCTGAGGTTGTGGCGCTCATCTCGCTTTACTGGCCGAGGGAGCCGGCGTTTGTCTGCAGACAGCTTCTGGGTCATGTGACCAGCACGACTAAGCCGCTTCTGGAGAACCAGAGCAGCGCATGGAAACGCCGTTTACCTTCCCGCCGGAGTGGTACCTATTTATCTATTTGCGCTTTGAGGTGCTTTCGAACTGCTGGTGGGCAGGAGCTGGGACCGAACAACGGGAGCTCACCCCGTCGCAGGGATTCAAACCACCGACCTTCTGATCGGCAAGCCCTGGGGTCTGTGGTTTAGACCACAGCGCCACCCGCGTCCCTATTTTTAATATGTTCTTATTTTAATTGTTTCTTTCTGTAGTATTTTATCTTGTAAATCTCCCAGAAAGTTTTTTTTAAGGTACAGAGCAACTAACGTGCCATAAAGAATAACTATTATAATAATATTCTATCTAACACCATTTTTGAAGGCTGCTGTTTTTATATATGCCACTAGATGGTTGTGTTTGGCTTTGTGTTCCGCCCTAAACAATGTACGGAGCGTGGTTTTGTAAGTAACCTATTTGGTCTCGCAGAATCTTCTACTTCGATTATCCTTTAATAGAATATCTCCCTCTAATAGCATAACCAAGTGCCAGTGGGAATGGAGTCAGAATATGCCCACTGAGAAAACAAAGGGTCGTTAGCTGCTTCACACACTTCCATTGCTACTGCTGCTGCCGCGCCTGCAGAAGGGGACTCGCCTCAAGCCAAGCCGTTGCTTCAGAAAAAAAGACCTCAGCGATATATATATTTAAAGCAACTTTCTCCTCCTCCCTTGCTTCTTTTTGCTTCCTCAACCAGCCAAAAATGCCTCACGGAGATCGGGGGAGTGACTGGAGGGGAAAAGAGCAGTTCCGCAAACTACTCATTGGTGGCTTAAGCATCGAAACAACAGAAGAAAGTTTGAGAAACTGCTATGAGCAATGGGGAAAGTAAACGGATTGTGTGGTTATGAGAGACCCTGCAAGCAAACGAGAATTTGGTTTTGTCACATTCTCTTCCATGGCTGAAATTGATGCAGCAATTGGCTGCCAGACCTCATTCCATTGATGGAACAGTAGTTGAGCCGAAAGGAGCCGTAGCTAGGGAGGAATCTAGAAAACCTGGAGTTCATGTTACTGTGAAAAAAATGTTAGTTGGTGGAATTAAAGAAGATACTGAGGAACATTACCTTAGAGAGTACTTCTTGGAATATGGAAAAATCGACACAATTGAAATAATTACAGACAGACAATCTGGTAAAAAGAGGGGCTTTGGATTTGTAACTTTTGATGACCATGATCCAGTGGATAAAATTGTATTGCAGAAATGTTGTTGTTTAGTCGTGTCCGACTCTTCGTGACCCCCTGGACCAGAGCACGCCAGGCACCTCTGTCTTCCACTGCCTCCCACAGTTTAGTCAAACTCATGCTGGTAGCCTCGAGAACACTATCCAACCATCTCGTCCTCTGTCGTCCGTTTCTCCTTGTGCCCTCCATCTTTCCCAACATCAGGGTCTTTTCCAGGGAGTCCTCTCTTCTCATGAGGTGGCCAAAGTATTGTAGCCTCAACTTCACGATCTGTCCTTCCAGTGAGCACTCAGGGCTGATTTCTTTTAGAATAGATAGGTTTGATCTTCTTGCAGTCCATGGGACTCTCAAGAGTCTCCTCCAGCACCATAATTCAAAAGCATCAATTCTTTGGCGATCAGCCTTCTTTATGGTCCAGCTCTCACTTCCATACATTACTACTGGGAAAACCATAGCTTTTACTATACGGACCTTTGTTGGCAATGTGATGTCTCTACTTTTTAAGATGCTGTCTAGGTTTGTCATTGCTTTTCTCCCAAGAAGCAGGCGTCTTTTAATTTCGTGGCTGCTGTCACCATCTGCAGTGATCATGGAGCCCAAGAAAGTAAAATCTCTCACTGCCTCCATTTCTTCCCCTTCTATTTGCCAGGAGATGATGGGCCCAGTGGCCATGATCTTCGTATTTTTGGTGTTGAGCATCAGACCATATTTTGTGCTCTCCTCTTTCACCCTCATTAAAAGGTTCTTTAATTCCTCCCCACTTTCTGCCATCAAGTTTGTGTCATCAGCATATCTGAGGTTGTTGATATTTCTTCTGGCAATCTTAATTCCGTCTTCGGATTCATCCAGCCCAGCCTTTCACATGATGAATTCTGCATATAAGTTAAATAAGCAGGGAGACAATATACAGCCTTGTCGTACTCCTTTCCCAATTTTGAACCAATCAGTTGTTCCATATCCAGTTCTAACTGTAGCTTCTTGTCCCACATAGAGATTTCTCAGGAGACAGATGAGGTGATCAGGCACTCCCATTTCTTTAAGAACTTGCCATAGTTTGCTGTGGTCGACACAGTCAAAGGCTTTTGCATAGTCAATGAAGCATAAGTAGAAGTAGAAGGAAGATGAGCCCCTCAGGTCGGAAGGCATCCAACAAGTTACTGAGGAAGAGCGGAGGACAAGTACAAGTAGATTCAGAGCTGATGAAGTGGCTGGTCACTCAGTTGCGGATATACCTGGAAGCGAAAGGAAAGTCCAATGCTGTAAAGAAAAATATTGCATAGGAACCTGGAATGTAAGAACCATGAACCTTGGTAAGCTGGATGTGGTCAAAAATGAGATGGCAAGAATAAATATTGACATCCTGGGCATCAGTGAACTAAAATGGACGGGAATGGGCGAATTCAGTTCGGATGACCATCATATCTACTACTGCGGGCAAGAATCCCGTAAAAGAAATGGAGTGGCCCTCATAGTCAACAAAAGAGTGGTGAAAGCTGTACTGGGATACAATCTCAAAAATGATAGAATGATATTGATATGAATTGAAGGCAGACCTTTTAACATCACAGTAATCCAAGTTTATACACCAACTACCGGTGCTGAAGAAACTGAAATTGACCAATTCTATGAAGACTTACAACACCTTCTAGAAATGACACCAAAGAAGGATGTTCTTCTCATTATAGGGGATTGGAATGCTAAAGTAGGGAGTCAAGAGATAAAAGGAACAACTGGCAAGTTTGGCCTTGGAGTTCAAAACGAAGCAGGGCAAAGGCTAATAGAGTTCTGTCAAGAGAACAAGCTGGTCATCACAAACACTCTTTTCCAACAACACAAGAGACATCACATGGACATCACCAGATGGGCAGCATCAAAATCAGATTGATTATATTCTCTACAGCCAAAGATGGAGAAGCTCTATACAGTCAGCAAAAACAAGACCTGGAGCGGACTGTGGCTCAGATCATCAGCTTCTTATAGCAAAATTCAAGCTTAAACTGAAGAAAGTAAGAAAAACCACGGGGCCAGTAAGATACAATCTAAATCAAATCCCTTATGAATACACAGTGGAAGTGAGGAACAGCTTTAAGGATTTAGATTTGGTGGACAGAGTGCCTGAAGAACTATGGATGGAGGCTCGCAACTTTATACAGGAGGCAGCAATGAAAACCATCCCAATGAAAAGGAAATGCAAGAAAGCAAAGTGGCTGTCCAACGAAGCCTTACAAATAGTGGGAGAGAGAAGGCAAGCAAAATGCGAGGGAGATAGTGAAGGATACAGGAAACTGAATGCAGATTTCTGAAAAATAGCAAGGGGAGACAAGAGGGCCTTCTTAAACGAGCAATGCAAAGAAATAGAGGAAAACAATAGAATGGGAAAAACCAGAGATCTGTTCAAGAAAATTGGAGATATGAAAGGAACATTTTGTACAAAGATTACCATAATAAAGGACAAAAGTGATAAGGACCTAACAGAAGCACAAGACATCAAGAAGAGGTGGCAAGAATACACAGAAGAATTATACCAGAAAGATATGGATGTCTCATACACCCCAGGCAGTCTGGTTGCTGACCTTGAGCCAGACATCCTGGAGAGTGAAGTCAAATGGGCCTTAGAAAGGACTGCTAATAACAAGGCCAGTGGAAGTGATGATATTCCAGCTGAACTACTTAAAAATTTAAAAGATGATGCCGTTAAGGTGCTACACTCAATATGCTGGAAAACTCAGCAGTGGCCAGAGGATTGGAGAAGATCAGTCTACATCCCAATCCCAAAGAAGGGCAGTGCCAAAGAATGCTCCAACTACCGCACAATTGCACTCATTTCACACGCTAGCAAGGTTATGCTTAAAATTCTACAAGACAGGCTTAAGCAGTATGTGGACCGAGAACTCCCAGAAGTGCAAGCTGGATTTCGAAGGGGCAGAGGAACCAGAGACCAAATTGCAAACATATGCTGGATTATGGAGAAAGCTAGAGAGTTCCAGAAATAACCTGTACATTAAAATAAACAGAGGCGTAAGTAGACACATTTAGCAATGCAGTGAATTTTAAATATATGAACTATTTTATTGTATGCTGCTTCAGTGACATTTTCGGAGGGGGGGGAATCTTGCCCAATAAACTTCAGTAAAATTCAGGACAAGCAGCGACTAAATGCGTTTCATTCTAAGGAACAACAAGTGAAAATTCTTCACATCTTTTCAAAAATATTTTTCCTAAACAGAAAGACTACAGCTAAAGATGAAATAGTTGTACATATGTTCGTTCAAAAAAAATACCATTAACATTTGTGGAACATAGTTACTGATAAAAGCAACAGGTGGTCTTAAAAACCAACACATTATTATAACGTTATTACTATTGCCAGTCAACTTTCTGCAGAATCACCAGAATTTACTGAAGCTCTCTTGGGTGGGGGTTTTGATGCCACTTTATTTCTTCTTAGTTTCCTTTTTAAGAAGTTCCATATCTCAATTTCAAATACATACAGAATAAATGCCACAAAAATAATGCCTCCCATTAAAATAGTCGTCATTGAAGTGATAAGAGAGTTTCCTGGGAATGCCAGTGGAGAATCGTCAACATAAATCTGCAACAGAAAATATTGTAATTCCAACAGTCACTTCCCTTTAAATTGACTATTGCTCACCCTGTTGACAACAAGAAAGTGAAACTGGTCTAAGTGATAGCGAAAGCTGGCATATGCAAATCTAAGTGGTGGGGGAAGAGAAGCAGTCATCTGAGTTTATAGGGAAATCAATTTGGTAAGCATTGCATGCGGTTTGTTGCAAGATACTGTATTATTATTGTACCTCGTAAAATAAAATACCCAGAAAAGTATGGGCTAAGAAAGTATGGCTCTCTATGTTAAGCATAGGTTTTTCCTTGTATTCTCAGACAATCAGTTCTATGAGGGAAGGCTCACAGTTCAGTGGTAAAGCACGTTTTGCTTACAAAAGGCCAAAGGTTCAGTTCCTACTACTATTTCTACTTCAGAAAGGTTTGGGGTAGCATGGCTAGGAAGGAACTCTCCCTGAAATATTGGAGAGGTGCTGCCAGCCAGAGCAGACTAGTCTTCCCAGACATTTGGGACTCCCATCCCCATTAGCCCTTTGCAGTCCAAAATCACCTGGAAGGCATTAAATTGGAAAGGCTGGAGCAGAAAGTTAACCTGGCCCAAATTATCCAAGTGACTCTATCAGCTCTTGTTTGAGATGGCAGCCTTTCCATGGTCATATGTTTGGCACTGGCAGGCCTGCCAAGAGGGCAGGGGGCATATTGCTGTGCCAGAGCCAGCACATGGCCCAAACTCTGAACTTTAATTAAAAAAACCCCACACACAATTAAGTTTCTAGCGCTTGTACAACAGAAGTGACAAAGCAAAATCTTCAGGCACCATTCAAAGCCTTTGTGAGCTAAGAGGCTACTCCTGCCTTGCAGTGTTCTTAGTCAATGACTGAAGTCACAGTTGTGCTATTTAAATATCTGCTGGGCTTCTGTCACTAAAGAGTACTTGCCTCAGTTCTGGGCCTTGGCATCCAGAAAGTCATTCATATATACAGGGTGAGTCCTTTAAAAGAGGTCCTGTGGATACAGAGTACACATGTTCCACAGGGCCTCTTTTAAAAAACACACCCTGTATATATATATATGAGAGCTCCAGTCTGCTTTAGCTTCCACTTCTGTGTGTTTCCCTAAAGTGTCCTTCTCCAGTCCAGTCCCATTGCACCCGCTAATTCCTGCTGTTCTCTGGGAATGTGCTGAAGTAAGGGCTAAATATGTGGAAACATTTTGTATAATCTTGTATCCTATTTTATGTTTGTTAATTCATTCTATAGTATGGTGTAATTTGTGTGTTGTTTTTAAAAAAGAGCTAATGACAATACCTGAAATTCGTCAAATAAGTTACAAAAGGAGACTCCAGGAATAGTTGATACCCTGAAATGGAAAAGCTCAGATCCCTGTTGGAAAGGGGGGGGGAGAGTTGTTACTAATATGCAGTAACATTTGTTTTCATTTTTTAAATTAAAACTGTAATCCTTGGCTATTAATGTGATCTGGTTGCTGAAAGAAAATAAGTGTTTTGTATGACCTGAACAGAAATATAGATATGGCTGGCTGAACTGCAATGTGGCACATGGTGCAATATTGCCTCAATATTGCTGCTCCATTTTTAAAAAATTCGATTCTCTTAAATGTCATAAACTATAACCGAAATATAAAGTGTTCATGTTCACTTGAAATGTTTCACAGAAATAATGTGCAGTACCACGTAGAACAGACAGGAGCTGCTTATTGAGAAAAGCATCTTACATGCATTCAATTGTTTGTATAACTACAGCCTAAAAATCAGTGTTGCTAGCAACTGTGTTATATCCTTGGAACAGAAAATTTCTGATATTTTGAATTAATATGCAAATTAAAAAGGTAAAGGTACCCCTGACCATTAGGTCCAGTCGCAGACGACTCTGGGGTTGCGGCGTTCATCTCGCTCTATAGGCTGAGGGAGCCGGCGTTTGTCCACAGACAGCTTCCGGGTCATATGGCCAGCATGACTAAGCCACTTCTGGCAAACCAGAGCAGTGCACGGAAATGCCGTTTACCTTCCTGCCAGAGTGGTACCTATTTATCTACTTGCACTTTGATGTGCTTTCGAACTGCTAGGTTGGCAGGAGCAGGTACCGAACAACGGGAGCTCACCCCGTTGCGGGGATTCAAACCGCTGACCTTAGTCTCAGTGGTTTAGACCACAGCCATTCTGGGCGGCTTCCACAGAAACCAAAAATACCGTAAAATCACACATTAAAAACTTCCCTGAACAGGGCTGCCTTAAGATGTCTTCTGAATGTCAGGTAGTTGTTTATCGCTTTGACATCTAATGGGAGGGATTTCCACAGGGCGGGCGCCACTACCAAGAAGGCCCGTTGCCTGGTTCCCTGTAGCTTTGCTTCTCGCAATGAGGGAACCGCCAGAAGGCCCTCGGCGCTGGATCTCAGTGTCCGGGCAGAACGATGGGAGTGGAGACGCTCCTTCAGGTATACTGGGCTGAGGCTGTTTAGGGCTTTAAAGGTCAACACCATCGCTTTGAATTGTGCTCGGAAACGTACTGGGAGCTAATGTAGGTCTTTCAAGACTGGTGTTATGTGGTCTCGGCGGCTGCCCCAGTCACCAATCTAGCTGCCGCATTCTGGATTAGTTGTAGTTTCCAGGTCACCTTCAAAGGTAGCCCCACGTAGAGCGCATTGCAGTAGTCCAAGCGGGAGATAACTAGACCACAGCACCACAATGTCAAATGTATATTGTACGGTGGCCCAACATGTGGTCCAAGGGCTGCATGTGGACCTCAAGGCTTTTTTTCCCCACACCTCAGTAACATCTGATGCCCCCTCCCCAACCCTTGTGCTGCCTTCTCTAAGTTGGGTAGGTGCTGGGAAGGAGCTGTGAGGGCTGACAGGATCCTAGAGCCCTCCTGTCTCCTTCCCAAGGCCTGATGCCTTTATTACCCAGCTTTGGGAAGGCAGCACAGGGGGGTGGGGCGTGCATCAATTTTAGGCCTTTTTCCACCACACCACACCACCTGCCCACATGACAAGGCTTTGTGTGACCCGCAGGTTCCGTGTCAAAGTACACCGACAAGTCAGCATGGCACCAACATTCCTCTGATGAAAATCAGGACGTATGTCTTTTGGTGCCATGCTGACTTGTGCGAAAGTGCAGCATCCTCCTCCCCAGGGTCAGCAGTGGCACTGGAGGGGGTAAATGGGACATTCTAGGACCAAATCAGAAGCTGGGATGGCTTGTTCAAATTCTGGGATAATGCAGGAATGTTGGGGCACCTTGAAAGGTTTTGAGTACTCTTGTGACCCACTTTGTTTGAAAAGTTAGACCACCCTGGTACAAAGATTTTAAGGTAAGAAGAGTTTGGGTTTAAGGTTTGGTCTTTTCGTTCAAAGTACAGTGGTACCTCTGGTTATGAACTTAATTCATTCTGGAGGTCTGTTCTTAACCTGAAACCGTTCTCAACCTGAGGTACCACTTTAGCTAATGGGGCCTCCCACTGTCGCTGCGCCGCCAGCGTGCAATTTCTGTTCTCATCCTCAGGTAAAATTCTTAACCCAAGGTACTACTTCCAGGTTAGTGGAGTCTGTAACCCGAAGTGTTTGTAACCCAAGGTGTTTGTAACCTGAGGTAGCACTGTATGTATTTTCTCTGGCACTTACAGTTATCGTTATAGATAGGCCATCTGGATTATATAGTTCAGTTTTGAGTCTGTGCTCCAAATATTTTTTCATTTTTAACATACTTGATGTTTGATTGGTACCTGAAAAAACAGTTAAAACAGTCGCAGAGTGGTAGGTTTGAGTTTCTTCCTTCTTTTTTACATTTCAGTAGGGCCTGAATACAGATGAATAGACAGATCTATTTCTCATGAAATGTAAAAGTAAGAAAGGTATCAGAGGCACAGCATGATGTATTAGAGCTGCACAGGGTCTTCTACAGCAGTTTTCCAGAGGTTAACAAATAGCAGTGCTTTTTTTCTAAAAAACGTTTAGGGGTACTCTCATTTTTCTACTCATATTGAAATACTGCCCCTCAATGAGGCCAAACTTAGATTCACAAAATGTTTAGGGTTATGCGTACCCCTGCATCCCCCCAGAAAAAAGCACTAACAGTGATTACTGGTAATTATCACGAGTGGGTGAAAAAGGAGGGGTGTGGGCAAACATTAATATGAAATGTTGGTTAACCTGAACTCCTCTTTGTTATAGCCGAAGTGCCACCATAACTATTAGTCATGGAAAAAGCTAGCAGGAGAACTAGAGGAGGAAGAACAGCTAGGGGGAGGGGTGTACCCATGGTAAACCAATGGGTTGTGTTATGCTTGTTTCAGGCCTTAAGGGTCTGTGGGTGTAATAGGTTTTGCATGCAGAAAGAATTGGACTAGATTCAAATCTTTCCACATCAAGTCTTCCCTGAACTAGAACTTGCAACAGCCCCAGCAGGCATGGCCAATGGATAGGGATGATGGGAATTCAGCAACATACAGGGGACCAAAGGTTCCTCACACCTACTATAGGGCAAGAAAGAGAGCCTGAAAATATATTGACAACAAGTATTTCCAACAGAACCTCTCCGATACGAAAGATAATGATGAATCCCAAGATTCTTCCGCTCCCTACCTGAAACTTTCCAGTTGGTTCTGTTGTTGACTTCTATGATTGTGATAAAATAAGGAGATGTCAGATTTACAGAGCGACCCTCATCCTCAATGGTGAAATAGAGAGGAAGCCTTGATACTGGGAATTTCATTCGCAGGGCCTGGCAATGAAACATATATAGAAATCACTGACACTAAAATGATGCCTGCATGGAAAGACATGGAATGACACAAATGTAAGTATTTACATAAGCAGGTTTAGTTCTGCTAAATAGGAAGTCTGACTTACAAATTGGTAATGAGCTGAATGAAAGCCAATGGACTGAAAATCAGTCCCAGAAGGTCTGAGATTCTGTGGGTAGGTGGCACATCTGTTAAATCTGTTATGCATAAGGTTGCACTCCTTCTAAAGTAGCGTTTCACAAGCTGGTAAGGAAGCAGCCCAGCAGGGCCTAACGTTCCTTTTTGCCACGTGTGTTTTCTTGGAGCAGTCCTGGTTTGTTTCCAGAAAGAGAGGGCAAGAAGCCTAGAATAAAATTTAAAATACTAACAGATGCAAAGGAAAGAGGTGCATTTGCCCTGCCAGACCTTAAACTTTATTATGAATCAGCAGCTTTTTGCTGGTTGAAAGAATGGCTGCTTCTTGAAAACACAGACATTTTGGATTTAGAAGGTTTTAACAATGTATTTGGATGGCATGCATATTTGTGGTATGATAAGGTCAAAGCACATAAAGCATTTAAAAACCATATTGTCAGGAAAGCATTGTTCAATGTTTGGATAAGATATAAGGATCTATTGGAAAACAAAACCCCAAGGTGGCTGTCACCGATGGAAGCGAAAGCTCAGAAAAAGCTCAATATGGAGGTCAAATGGCCGAAATATTGGGAAATTTTAGAACAAGATGGAGATAGACTGAAACTGCAGAGTTTTGAGAAATTAAAAAACAAAGTGCGAGACTGGCTTCATTATTATCAGATAATGGAGGCATATAATTTGGACAAGAAAATTGGCTTCCAGGTGGAAAAATCAAAATTAGAAACAGAACTGCTAGAACCCAAAACTAAGATTGTGTCAAAGATGTATAACTTGCTGCTGAAATGGAATACACAGGATGAAACGGTGAAATCAGCTATGATTAAATGGGCACAAGATGTTGGACATAACATAATGATGGCTGACTGGGAACAGTTATGGACCACTGGTATGAAGTTTACGTCATGTAATGCCTTAAGAGAGAATATTATGAAAATGATATACAGGTGGTACATGACACCAGTCAAGCTTGCAAAAATCTATCATTTGCCCGATAATAAATGTTGGAAATGTAAAGAAACTGAAGGTACATTCTTTCACCTTTGGTGGACGTGCCCAAGGATTAAGGCTTTCTGGGAGATGATTTATAATGAAATGAAAAGGGTATTTAAATATACCTTTCTGAAGAAACCAGAGGCCTTTCTCCTGGGCATGGTCGGCCAAGTGGTGCCAAAGAAGGACAGAACTTTCTTTATGTATGCCACAACAGCAGCAAGAATACTTATTGCAAAGTATTGGAAGACACAAGACCTACCCACTCTGGAAGAATGGCAGATGAAGGTGATGGACTACATGGAATTGGCAGAAATGACTGGCAGAATCCGAGACCAGGGAGAAGAGTCGGTGGAAGAAGACTGGAAGAAATTTAAAGACTATCTACAGAAATATTGTAAAATCAATGAATGTTAGAATGATGTTAGAATGAAGTTAAGTGGTTTAAGCAGCAATGCTATAAAGGTGTATGAAAAAATGGACTGTTAACAGGTGAAAATCCAAAGTCATAGTATATTAAGTTAAAGGATTAAGAGAAAATAAAGAGGGAAAGAAATTGCTGAATTAACTAACTGAATTGGAATACAAAAAAGGGAGGTATGAGGAGGTCAGGGAAGCAAGGAAATGAATGTAAGGCATGGAAAGATTGATGTATTTTTTAAGTGTTTCTTATTCTTTTTTTTCTGTATTTTGTATTTTTCTTGTATTTTTACTTTTGTCTTTTTTTGTTTTTTTTTGTTTTTTCTCCTTTTCTTCACTTATGTAATTCTTCTTTTTGAAATCTTAATAAATATCATTTAAAAAAAAAACAAACAGAAAGAGAGGGCAATCGCTGAGGCTCCCATTTTGACCAGTAGAGCCCGCAGTCCAGAACTCCCAGGTCAGCTAAGTGCGGTGGTGGGGTGGCAATGGGTAGGGCTGGGCGAGCCAGAGTTGCTTGTTGTTGCTGCCAGTGCTGGGTTCGGTGGCAGCCTGGCCTGACTCTGCAAGGTGCAGGGTGCAATCCACCTCAGCGCTTAGTGGATCAGGGCCATCAGGTGTTACCAATGAGCGTAGGGCCCGTCGGCAGCGTTGTACCGGCTCTGCATGGATTTTAATTGATTTTTACTTATGGGAAGACAGCTGCCCCCTTGCCCCCCTCTTGGCTACGTCCATGTGGGGTGGGCCACAGGAAGAACACAAGGTCAGAAGAGGGCCATGGTTGGGAAAAGGTTGGGAAACACTGCTCTAAAGGATCAAATTCTTAGATTGAGCACACTCCTAAATATAGCTTTGTCAATGGAGAACCAGATAAGCCTTTGTGGGAAGGAATGTCTTTCACATTAATTTAGGCTGGTGTGCCAGCTGCAGCTTCTTCTGGAAAGCGATAGCCTGGCCACAGTTATCTGGAAACAAGGATTGACTACTGGGGGCTATTGCATCTGGGGCTACCTTTGGAGACTGCTCAGAAATTGCAGTTACTGCAGAATACAGCTGCTAAGTTAGTAACTGTGAGTGGCTCAAAAGGCTTCACTAGCTACCAGTCCATTTCTAAGTTCGCCTTTAAAGCCCTATACAGCTTGGGACCCAAGCACCTTGAAGAACCATGGGAGTCTTTAGAAATTCTCTTTCAGGTGTCCCCACCATCTGAGGTGTGGCAGAAGGCAGCCAGAGAAAAGATTTATTGGTTATGATGCCCCATTTGCGGAATTCCCTCCCCAAAGATATTTGCCTGTCACAACATTGTCATCTTCTCAGCAGTAGCTAAGGGTATTTTTGCCTTCTTAGGTTTCTTAACGTACTGTTATGTTGATATACCCGGTACTTTACATACTGGATGTAATGGTTCCAGGATACAGTGGTACCTCCAGATGCGAACGGCATCCGTTCTGGAGCTCCGTTCGCATCCTGAATAGAACGTAAGATACGACGGCGCGTCTGCGCGTGCCTGGGTCGCGTTTTGCCACTTCCGCGCATGCGTGTGACGTCATTATGAGCGTCTGTGGTGTGCGAGCGGCGAAACCCGGAAGTAACACACTCCGTCACTTCCGGGTTGCAGCGGAGCGCAACCCGAAAGCGCTCAACCTGAAGCACATTCAACCCGAGGTATGACTGTACTACATATCTCTTCCGAATAACAAACAAAAAGCTGCACATGTAGGCATAGCCCTTACCTTCTCCTTGCAATCAGAAAAGGCAACAGAAAAGGACAGCTTCATATTTTCTGTACATCCACATTCAGAGCGCTTTGACTTGCCAGCACATTGCTTGTACCGTCCAGAATTCTGTTGGAAAAGTAAAGGAACCCCTGACTGTTAGGTCCAGTCACGGACGACTCTGGGGTTGTGGCGCTCATCTCGCTTTACTGGCCGAGTGAGCCAGGGTTTGTCTGCAGACAGCTTCCGGGTCATGAGGCCAGAATGACAAAGCCACTTCTGGCGAACCAGAGCAGCACACAGAAACGCTGTTTACCTTCCCGCTGCTTGCACTTGATGTGCTTTCGAACTGCTAGGTGAGCAGGAGCTGGGACCGAACAATGGGAGCTCACCCTGTTGTGGGGATTTGAACCGCCGACCTTCTGACCGGCAAGCCCTGGGCTCTGTGGTTTAGACCACAGTGCCACCCGTGTCCCAAAGAAGGTATAATCAAGGCAATTCTCGACTGTGCTTACAAAGTAGACCAACATATGCAATGGAAATCATTTGACCTCTGAATCAGTCTATAGTTTTTCAACTATCAGTGGACTGGAGAGCCCTGCGTGTTCAAATTTGGTGGAAAAGGGTTGTCAGAAAGAAAGGGAGAGTCAGGGCAAAGAGAACTATGCAATAACTCTTGTTCCTTAGTGAACAGGAAGCATGATATGCAGTTGGGTTGAAGAGAAGCATTCTCTTGAGCAAGAGACAAATGAGCTGAATGGACATTGGGGCTCTTGGGTGACAGCAAATGATTTTGCAGATGAAGTCCTCTGCCTGTTTTTCAGCCTTTCCCTTTTTCTTCTCTACACTCTCCGTATTCTTAAGCAGCCTTGATACTGTTGACTTTGAGAGTCTTTAATGAGATGTAAAACATCAATATCTTGAATATATGGAATAGTGCAAAATGAGCTATGCATGCAATCCTCTACTGCCTCTTGTTGATAGAACAGGAAAACATGGAGGATTGTAAAACGGGGTGAGACAGTAGAGTTCACCTAGGGCAAAAAAAGAAAATGCTCATATTGGCTGCTCTGGGTGCTTCAAATTGTTCCCATTGCTCCTAAAGTATATTTACCTTGAGTGTGTGGAAAGTAGTTGGGCAATTGTGTCAACATATGTTCTGATCCTATCTATCCTATCACTGCAAAGGTTTGGCAAGTGATATGAGGTGGCCATGAGGTGGCCATAAAGTTAAAACATAAGGATTCGAGCCCAAGTTTTCAGGTTATTTTTCTTAGAATAATATGCAAAAACCAGCTATTTATAGTGGGAAGAAGACAGATGTTGACAGATGTGCAAGCAGGATGCCTAAGTTCTGGGGCAAACTCTATAGAAATGCTCATCTGGAAGTTGAATTTCAATATTCTCCTCTTAATTAGAAATCTCTTTTCTTAATGCGTGTATATGTATGTAAAGAACATGCAACAGCACGGAGTGCAAAATGGATAGCAATTTTTTAAAATGTGCATTCTCAAAGCTCTTACAGGAGTAGCTATGAAGACTTACTTTTGAATTTGTAAAATAATCCCTCAGTTTAGGTTTGCTGGGGTCAGCATTATAGAAGTTTTCTGTGAGTGGAACAGCAATTCCCAAAACAGATGGTGGCCTGTAGTTCACCTGTACGAAAAACAACACATTTTAATGGGGAAAATTTATTATTTGAAGAATTTTTGCAAACAACTTAAATCGTAAGCGGGACTGACATAAAAACGTGCAGTGAAAATCATTTAAATAAAATACAAAGGATAAATAGTAAATAGATATGAATTGGCTATGCAGTGATAAAAGATAAAACATAAGCAAGCACAGAAAGGGTCAATGATTTTATGTTTTCTAATTGGTTGTATAAATTTATTTGTGTGATAATCTTTGTAAATGAAAAAAGAGGGAAATTATATGATGAAAAATAAGACTGGTTTCCCCTTTGTGTCATCTCCCCAACCCTGTATTCATACAATTATTACCAGCAGCACAGATTTCTTTCTTTTTTAAAAAAAATAATAATTATTAAGGCTTTATTAATACAGATAAAAGAACAAATTTAAAAAGCAAACTAATCTAAATGAAAACAGAAAGAGAAAGAGAGAGAAATGCAATCTTCTCTCAAAGGTAGATCTCAAGCCGTGTCTCACACATAAGGGGGTGGTTCTTCCCAGATCTCACCTGGGAGCTTCCCTTCTTCCAGCCTCCCACCCTGGGAGACCTTCCCTTCCCTGCCTCTCACACAGGGTCCTTCACCAGCCAGCCCTCACCTTCATGTGCATACACCCCCTCATTGAGCCAGAGCAGAGGACATAAAAACAACGCCACCAAAAGCAGGACCAAAGGAAGGCAGGAAAAAAACATGAAGATGAAAATAATAAAAGAGTGGGAAAAGAAAAGAAAGGGGGGGAAAGGAAATAAAAGGGCTTCTGATTCAAATATCCTGAGAAGAGCTCTGAAGCCCAGACGTAATGAAGGGACGCAAAGGGCATAGCACTGCACGTATTGGAAACTCCCCGATGCAGTCGCCATGAGCTGAGGTATCTCTGTTTCTTTTAAGATGTATCTGAATTTCGGACTTAAGAAACATACGTGTTTTGGAAGAAAGAGAATGGTAACCTGCGAAATGAATCAGCCACTGAGTGCCAAGGTTTTAATCTGGAGATGATTAAGATCGGAATTGGTGCAGGATCAAGGAATAACATCAACTCCTGATATCCAGAACACGGGAAGTCATCCAAAAATGTTTAATTCAGAACTGTTTAGTTGGCTCTTTTGATTGTATTGTGATTTGGCATGATTTGGCATCGAATTAATGTGGCCTCCATAGGATTGTTATTAATGAAACATTTAAAAAATTGATTTTTTTAAAAAAAGACAGTTGGAAATGTTGACCCTGCCTTCTATCAGAAGAAAAGTTAGCTTTTACTTGTCTGCTTCACTGACACAGATGCCAGAGAGTGTAGTGACGTCCTCAGCATTGCTCTCTGTTTCATGGGCCACACTTAAATCCATCCAACTCAGGAGTCTTGTGCCTAGGTATGGCTTTGGAAAAATGTATCCCGGGGCTTCATAGAACAATGGGTACATCTGTGCCCTTCCCCTGTTCAGAACATTTAAGAAAGGGTACGAAAGAATTCTAAACTAAAATGTAGGATTTAGGATCCTTACCGGTAGCTGCTTTAAAAGTCTGGCAATCGCTGAGCCATTTGGCTCAGCGCTGACATCCTCAACTAGCCAGTCTGAAGGAGAGGTTTTAGCAGATAGAACATAGTGCATTGATTTAAGATAGGAGCAGGAATTCTTCAGCGTTAAGACAAGAGTTGTCACTTCACATCGGAGAGATCCCAATCCGATAACAGCTATGGTGGTTTTACCCTAGGGATGTTTATGAGAAAGCATAACATTAATTGGTCTCCAACATAGATGAATATAATTAGCTTCCCATCATACGATGGATCTACACACAGGGGAAACCCACTATAAATAAGTCAGAAATTAAATCGTTATAACAAAAGAAAACAAACACTATGGAAAATCGCAAAGAATTTTGTTTGTTTTTTCTCCAGCACCATCTGGTGTTGCATGTTTAGAACGCACTCAAAGAGCAGGGGTTGGCAAACTAAGGCCTGTGGGTCGGATAAGGCCCAAGGGGCTCTTTAATCCAGCCCAAGGACTCTGCTGCCCACTCAGTCAGTCCCCGTGCTAAACTGATATCTCACCACGCGGGGACTGACTTCCATGATGGGCGTGTGGGTGGCTGTGGATCGGCTTCAGGAAGCTCCCGCAGCCAATTCTAAGCCGCAGACGCCTCTGGGCAGGCAGCAACGCTGGCCACTTCAAAGCCGTGCCAGGTTTCCTCAGCTCGTGGGCGGTGAGGCTTCGGATTGGCCAGCGAGGCAGCCATGGACAGAGAGGCCCATGGGCGCATCGCAGGGCTTCGGCCGGAGCTTGGCATGCCTGCTGGCCCTGTGCCTGGCACCCGGGAAAGCTCTTCCAGAAGCGAGAGCTGCCGCCACAGCTGCCGGCTCCCAACCACCGCCAGAGGAGGTAGGAAATCGGGGAGGGAGGGGCTGGGGAGAGAGAGAAGCCCCCTCTGCTGGTGTGTGTGTGTGTGTGGTCCAGCCTGCCAGAAGATTTAAGGGACAGTGAGCCGGCCCGCTGGTAGAAAAGTTTCCTGACCCCTGCCATAGAGCCTTATCCATGCAAGCATGGCTGTTGACGTAAGGCATTTGCATTCATTTCGCCAGCACAGCATGTGTGCATTGTGCGTACTAGAAGAAATCCAAATTCTGTCTTCCATTGGAATAGTTTTAAGAATTATCATATGACAAATGTTACTCAAACAGGAATAATAAAAATTATTAATCTAATACTCCAAAACAAACGTATGACAACAATATATCCATATAAAGACAAGGGTCACACATCAGGTAAAGATAGCTGGGACTGGGCCCCATTCACAACAATAGACCTACAGTACGACCATGTCATACATGCATTTAACTTGCCTGATTTCAACCATACGCAGTTGAAGTCTGGCTGGTTGAAATCTTGCAAGTTGAATAAGGAGCTGGCAGGAGGCGAGCACCTTGCTTGAGAAGCAAGGCAGAGAGCTTAAAAGCTATTTTTTGCACCAGGAAAATCTGATGCAAAAAAGAACTTTTAAGCTATCTCTGCCATGCTTTGCCTATCTGCATGACGGGTCTGGGGTGCTCCTGGGAGATTTTAAGAGAACTTGGAGGGACCTGTGAGATCTCGCAAGAGCACTTCAGGGCTTCTGGAGTCCCAGGATGCTCATGAAGGGGTCCAGTTCCAATGATTTGAGTATACACATTTTTGCAGATATGCAGACTGCTTTGAACGGAATGCCTGTGTAAGATACAATTGCACTGTAGTCATTAATAACTTGCATCCCATTGCTTTCAGTAAACCTTGTAGTGTAGTCTTATACCATATAGCTGTGTCTGTGCTAAACTGGTGCCTGAAGGTGATTAGGGGTAGGGTGAGGGCTATTAAAAGGAGTGTAAGACTATGAGTGGCTGGTTTTTGTATCAGTGTTGTGTTCCCCCCAAAGGCTGCCAATTAGTGCTGCTTTGACCTATGAAGCCTTAAACGGCTCAGGAGTATAATACCTTAAGGACCACCTCACCCTATATAAACCAACCAGGACCCTGCAATCATTACCTGAGGCCCTTCTGCATGTGCCTTCACTACAAGACGTCTGGAGGGTGCCATCACAAAAGCGGGCCTTTTCTGTGGTAGCTCCCCATTTGTGGAACGCTCCCCCTAGGGAGGCTTCCCTGGCGCCTTCATTGCATATCTTTAGTTGCCAGGTGAAAATGTTTCTCAGGCGTTTGGCTGATTAACATTTTATAGCTTTTAAAATGTGCTTGTGCTTGTGGGAGGGGGATTGCAGGCCCGTGCGCAGTGTGCCTTGGGAACCGGGAAGTAAGCATCAAAAACGACATGAGAAGAACTTGGAAATAAATTGGACATAGGCATTGGGTGTGTATCCCAAATCATCCTACCTGACTGCTGGATGATTATTCACAATGTCAGTCCTGGGTTAAGGGTCCCCTCAAGATGCTGGTAAACTAAGCTGACAGCTCCTGGGCCACTGAACGGAAGCCCTTGGCCCATCACCCCCACCTCACGTCATCTGGACCTTCGGATTGCAGCCCAGAAGCCTTTACCAGGGTACCCTGAGATTTTTACATGTCCAACAGGAGAGGCTCCCTCTCAGCCCCAGGTTACACTAAGTATCCAACCCAATGCCTTTCCCCAGCACACATGCTGGCCCCTCCCTGCCAGCTCACCGCCACACCTACTAACATCTGCAATGAATGCCCAACACATCTAGCAACCAAGTCTCATTACTCTACAATTTCTAGGGTTCTGTGAGGAAAGCCATAGCGTAAACTGGTCTAAAACCAACATAAGTTTGTTTTGTACAAAAACACGGGGAGAAGATTTTTGGAGTCTGAATGCACATTAAAGCTGTGTGTACTTTATCAAGGTACTCTGAAAAGAGCTGGCAGCATGTTACCTTTTCAAAAAATCTACTGTGAACAGTGATATCGATTAAATTGCTATTGTTGTCGTCAAAATAAATTTTTGTTCTCACATCCAGTAGAGAAGGCCTTCCAATTACAATGTGCATTAGCCTATTATGGAACACATTATACGCTGTGGAAGGAAACAACAATGAGAATAATGTTTATTTCCAATATTTCTTTCCTGTAGAACAACCTCACACAAAAGGCAAAACTTAGCTCCACTCTGAGACTGCAGTTGGGTTGAAAAATACTTGAGGATTTTGGCTGATTCCAGTGTACCCTTATTTCATATACATCTGTGTACAAATGCACATCAAAATGAGAAATCCATATGAAAGATCTGTAGGCAGGATGGGAGTCAATAGGATAAATATATATGTAAAATACATTTTGTTGAATTTCAGTTAAATTATTAGAGTGAGGATCATAACTTATAAAGAGTTTGCTTTCATATGATTTCAAACACTTTCAGACATTTTATAGAGAATACATAGAGTAGAGAGACAAGAAATACTGTATTTTTTGCTCTATAAGACTCACTTTTCCCCTCCTAAAAAGTAAGGGGAAATTTGTGTGCGTCTCATGGAGCGAATGCAGGCTGCGCATCTATCACAGAAGCCAGAACAGCAAGAGGGATTGCTGCTTTCACTGCGCAGCGATCCCTCTTGCTGTTCTGGCTTCTGAGATTCAGAATTTTTTTTTTCTTGTTTTCCTCCTCCAAAAACTAGGTGCATCTTGTGGTCTGGTGCGTCTTATAGAGCAAAAAATACGGTATGTGCAGTCTTACCTACATTAATTGGAGTCACTCTGAATTTCAATTCCAGCTTTGACCCAATATCCAAGTATTTAATGGCATGGCGTGGTAGGTCATCAAACTGTTGTATTGTATATCTACATATGTCAACAACAATTTTCCATTTTCTTTTATTTGCAGTGCCAAAGTCATACAAGAACCACCTCCCAGGTGGAATGTCTGTATTTAAAAGCACCCTATTAGGCATGGTAGCATCTCCTAAAGCATTTTGGTCATCCACAACTTGAACAATGAAGAAACTGCTACTGCCTGGAATCACCACTGTTTTCTCAAGATCGGTTGGTTTAAATATATTCACACCTGGAAAACAAGAAAATAATGAAAACATCATTCAATGTGCAGAAGCTGCATTTCCCTTTGTTGTTGTTGTTGTTGCTGCTGCTGCTGCTAGGAATATGCTTAATTTACACAAAAGATAAACTGAGCTGAAGCTATGGCTTCTTTGATATAAAGTTTAGATTCCTAATTTTTGACAGACTGCCACTACCTGTGTGGCTCTCCTAGTCAACAGCAGCCCTGTAACTCCCACAGCTCATAAAACTTTCTATTTTGCCAGAAACCTCAGAAATGAAGGCAGTGTCAAGTGAAGGCTGAAATCCCATGCTTCATTCACAGGCTGGAAATTGGGGGCTCTTTCTCTTCTTTTTATGGGGCTACCAGATTACCTCTTTACCTTACTTTTCTGGGATACACCTTCCATACCCTTCCTTCATTTTGCCATTTTGTCTCCATAAGAAAAGTATGAATTTACACATAGTGGGAGACTGATTGGCTGGCTGTTGATTTAGGAAGGGGATCTAGTAGAAATAAAAATGACTGGATGGCGAGGAACATATAAAAGAGGCTACATAGGAAATTAGGAAATGCTGGGCAGGGGCCACCACCATGCAACCAATCTTAGACAAATAGTATTCCCTACAATTCTTTTCCCATATATTTCCCCCCTGAAGTGTGATTAGCATAAGCCAAAGACCCTCCTTCCAAAAACTTTTCATTATCAGGTGATGCACAAACCTGGAGAAGTCAGCTGAAGCCTGTATGATATACTGCTCCCTGTAGGGGGCAAAACTCTTAAAGTATTTGCTGTACAAGGGCTAGCAGTTTTAGATTCAACAGGAAACCGATCTAGAACATCTACCAGTACAGATGATATAAAGCCCGGAGGAGCTGGCGTCCTAAAAACCTCTCTGATTATACACGATCCTCCTGGCCTAAATTAAAAAGAAGCATAGATTTAATACCACCTTGATGATGTCAGATCACACATCTAATGAATTTTAACGAATTTTGACTAGTTCCTAAGATTCCCTTGCTGGAAAATAGTACTAAGAGAAAATTGTGGTTTCAAGCATGTCAGCTGGCACAGGGCTGCTGTTCAGCAGCTATTTCTGATCTTTTGAATCACTTTGATTTTGTATTGAATTGTAGTAATTTTTGATGAATTTGTCTTTAGCTTTATATTCTCCTGTGCTTTGAATTTACTACCATGATCACAATGTCTGTTAACTTGTAATGGTATTATTGTTACTGTGAGCCACTTTGAGCTCAACAGTTGTTGTGGGGAAAGCAGAATACAAATATTAAATCAAATCACACGAAAATACCCCTTAATCTCCAAGTTAGGTACACCCAGTAGGTACAATATTTCATGGGCCATATTATCTGAACCTGTTCCTTCTGGCTCTAGCAATTTCACATCGCTGGAAGACAGCAGATTCCAGCAGTCTTTGCTCCCAAATGTGGTGGTGGGTCCCCATCCCCCACAGATTACACACTGCAGAAACCGTTTCCAATTTCCTACAACACACACATCACCTACTGATATATTTTTGAAGCCTTCAAGTTTTGTTTGAAACTTGTATTACACGGTTCACGTTGCAAATGTTAGTACAAAGTGGTTCTAAGAGCAGGCAGAACAAGAAAGTGGCAACCCTCTGAACAATTTAACCAAATTAGAGAGATGCTATTTTGCTATATTATGTAAAATAGCAGGGTACATTAAAAAGAAAAACCCAACAGAACAAGACATTGCTTGTTAACAAAACATATGCTGTTATTGATATTTACTCATAATCTAATCTTTTGCCTCTTTGCAGATTACTGAATCTCTCACGTTTTGTTGCTATCAGTGGCTCGTGGTTTAAAAGTAACATCTGCTCTTCAGTGATATACTGTAGAGCCAAAGGAAATTCAAAACCTAAGTCAATATCCTGGAACAAAGTGAGAAAATTAATTATATATATATATTTTCATGCGTTTATAGATACAAAACTTGCTAAACAATTTTAGGAATAAATAGGAATTTAAAAAAAGATAATTTAATTTATAATAGCAATCAGAAGAGAAATTGCTTAGAAACTGTGTTTCTTTATAACAAGAGGTTATATCCCCTCTGCCCTCAAGGTCTTCACATATCCCCTCTGCCCTCAAGGTCTTCAACGTCAAAGTTATAGCTCAATTGCTCTACGGAATTCCAGTCTGGCTGCCAGGGTTTACCCAGCCGGTAGAATGAGTGCAGGCAGCTTGTGTCTAGAGAAGGTCAACACAAGGTAGAGACTGCAGCCTGGGCGAGATTTCTTACATGCTGGTTAAACATCTGCCTCACAACAGATAAAGATCCTCTCCTTAGTGAAGTTTTGCTAGATCCCTTTCTTTCCCCAGGGCTACAACGGTTTAACATAAAGGGACAGCAACTTGTTCTTAAATGTAAACTATATGTTGATCTCCGCCTGCAGTTCCTAGATCAACTCTGCATCCCCAAATGGAAACCAGAGTTAGAGGTCATACATTTTCTATTATTGGGGAACAATCAGGCGCTCACCAAGTTAGTGGCTAAATATCTTTATCTGTTTTTTTGTCGTCGAAACACACTGCAGACGTCTGAGCTCCCTGGAGACCTAGAGATGTAATGTTAGATTGCTTTGTCTCTTTCATTTGACAAATGTTTTGTGTCACTGGGAAGGCGGGAATTCGGTATTGATTGCTATGGATGTTGGTATGTGATGCCAATAAAAGGTTTGATGATGATGAAACTGGTAATTAAGCAGCACAGACATAGCTGCAGTAATCCAAAAATAATACTGATTGAAATATACTCAGTCACAAAGTGATTTCATGCTCTTTATTCAGCTCATAGTGGTGAGGAGGAATGAATGGAAGTCCCCTCACAGTATCTGCTTTATATACATTATTTACACAATGGGCTGCACATGATTGGCTAATTCCGGAATTCTACTGTAAGCCAATCAGGTTGTGGATTCACTTCTATCTGGAGCAGGATTGGGTGGTTCCTGCCAACCAATCATACTGCTGCATTGTTCTAGGACCAATCAGACTGCTGCATTCTGAATCCTATTGTTCTAGGACCAATCAGACTGCTGCATTTTGGATCCTATTGTTCTAGGACCAATCAGACTGCTGCAGTTTGGATCCTATTCAACTCAGTACATAACACTGATATTACAAAATTTCTCCCTCGTTTCTCTTAAATTTCTAATGAGTACAAGACTACGTTTTTAAAAATCAGTATTTGCTCAGGGTACTGAAGATAATGGTAGGAGTCAGTTAAAGCTAAGCACTTTCAAGTCCCACTTGAAAGAAGTGAAGGAGTTGAAGGTGGCAACTTAGTTGAAGCATTATGTGACTTTGCCTGTGCTAAGGGGTGGGGCAAACTCAATGGTTTTCTGAAAGTTTCATTAATGCACTCCCTCGGCATATAGGGCACATATACAGGAAATATGGTTCGGATTGAGCTATTGGGACCCGACTGCGCCGCTGAGGCCCACCGCCTTTCAAGGTGTTGCTGCCAGGCCAGGCAGGAGCAACAGCCAATGCCCAGACTGCCAGCTTTAATGGTCCTTCTTGGCAGGGAATCGACCAGGGTTCCTGGGACTGGGGAGAGATTTCCTGCAATGACTGGAGCACGTGAGGCCAGAGCTTGAGGGACCGCAAACATCGCCCCACTCCCCCAGAAAGCAGTGAGCAGCTATTTTTTTCAGGAACCACAGAATTGTCTTTCTTGCTGTAACCCATTATAATGGTGGCTTTGCTGAAATCAACTTTTTTTTTTAAAAAAAAAAGAATTAAATCTATTATAAGGATATCTGGATAGTGGTGAAAAAATGCTGGATTAAGGACTCCAGTGTCCATTCTAGAACTAGCTTCCTACTTTGACATGTTGGAAGAGTGAAGGTTTGTCCTTAGCAAGAACAACAATTATTACAATCTCATAGACATTTTTCATTCATGCATCAAAAGAATCCTTAACCTTCAAAAAAGTGTCCACATCCACACTCGTCTCTTTTACAAATGAGTCAATTGTATCATTCAGAGAAATATGATTTAATATTCCCAGGTGGTCAAAGTACATGTTGAAGATACCCTTTGCTGGGGGGAAAACCTTGGCATATCTCAGTAAACCTACAGAAAAGGGGAAATATAAATAATGGGCATGCATCAAATCTTATTATTATAGGAAGCATGAGTTTATTCTAGAACAATAGGTTTCTGTGAATATTTGGAGAGATCAACAGCTCTTCCAACCCATATTTAATCAATGCAATGAGGAAATAAATCGTTTTGATGAGGATAAAGTATATCTAAATTATGCAACTTCAGACAATAGTTCCTAAGGGCCAGGATCTAACAAGGTCATATGTGGTCAAATACTTTGAAGCATGCAAGGAGGTGTTGTTCCTTTTAGGAAGAAGCTCCTTGTGCCTCATGGTCTGAATGGATTGGTCGGCAATTGAGGGTTTTGGAAGGCGGGGGTAGATGCAGGGTGCTGCAGCAACAAATGAGTGGATTAAAAGCTTCTAAGACCCACTAGAAGATTGCAACGGCTCTTTGGATCCCAGCCAACCATACTACACTATGAGATATCAGCAAGCAGAATGCATAGGGCATTTATTCCCTGGAGAATAATGTGAAAATAGGGACATCAGGAGACAAGATAATAGCCTTTGCTGTTGGTCACCCAAGTTCCTGCAATCTCACTTAAGGTAGAAGTCATAGAAGATGCAGTGAATCTATGTCTCTAGTCTACATGGTTCTTGGTTTGGGCACCCTTAGGGCTCCCTGGTTCTGCCCAGGAGAGAGTGAATTCCTTAGGTGCATCAGGTGCTTCCATTTGTTTCTCCCTACCTAGCTATGAGAACACATAGGTTGGGGGACCTGGTTTCTTAGCCTAATCTCATATTTGAGTCTTCAAAGACTGCAGAAGACTCCACTTTTTAATGTTTTCCTACCTGCCTTACTGTACAAAAGGTTTGCCGCGTCAGTCACAAATATAATCGCTTGGGTGTAAACACATGAATCTACATCTATAATCATCTCAGCATTTAAAGCAAATAATGGTGCAAAATTGGTGCCTCCATCATAAGAAATCCACACCTAAAAGGGAGGGGGAGAGACAATAAAGAATATTGTATAAGAGATCTTTGTTGGCATCCATCTGTCTTGAGAGACAGGGGTGAAGTCAAACCACTGTGTTAGCAGTACTGAAGTGACCTAATAATAGTAATAATAATTTATTATTTGTACCCCACCCATCTGGCTGGGTTTCCACAGGCACTCTGGGCAGCTTCCAACAAAGATTAAAAATACATTAAAATGTCACACATTAAAAACTTCCCTGAACAGGGCTGCCTGCAGATGTTTTCTAAATGTCAGGTAGTTGTTTATCTCTTTGACATCTGATGGGAGGGCGTCCACAGGCGGCGCCACTACCGAGAAGGCCCTCTGCCTGGTTCCCTGTAGCTTTGCTTCTCACAGTGAGGGAACTGCCAGAAGGCCCTCGGTGCTGGACCTCAGCGTCCGGGCAGAATGATGGGGATGGAGATGCTCTTTCAGGTATACTGGGCTGAGGCTGTTTAGGGCTTTAAAGGTCAATACCAACACTTTGAATTGTGCTCGGAAATGTACTATGAGCCAATGTAGGTCTTTCAGGAGAGGTGTTATATGGTCTCAGCGGCTGCCCCCAGTCATCCGTCTAGCTGCCGCATGTTGTTTCCGGGTCACCTTCAAAGGTAGCCCCACGTAGAGCACATTGCAGTAGTCCAAGCGGGAGATAAATAGAGCATGCACCACTCTGGCGAGACAGTCCGTGGGCAGGTAGGGTCTCAGCCTGCGTACCAGATGGAACTGGTAGACAGCTGCCCTGGATACAGAATTGACCTGCGCCCCCATGGACAGCTGTGAGTCCAAAATTACTCCCAGGCTGCGCACCTGGTCCTTCAGGGGCACAGTAACCCCATTCAGGACCAGGGAGTCCTCCACACCAGCCCGCCCCATCCTCCAAGAACAGTACTTCTGTCTTGTCAGGATTCAACCTCAATCCATTAGCCACCATGCATCCTCCAACCGCCTCCAGACACTCACACAGAAACTTCACTGCCTTCACTAAGTTCCAATTTAAAAGAGAGGTAGAGCTGGGTATCATCCACATATTGATGGACACCCAGCCTAAACCCCCTGATGATCTATCCCAGTGCTTTCATGTAAATGTTAAAAGGGGTACAAGCCTGGGCAGTGAGTGTGGAGGTCGTGGGCTGCCCAGAAAAACAAGGCCCCCCTCTTGGTCTTGCTGATGTGGTCCAAAGGAAAGCAGGGCAATACATGCGGCAGCTAAACAGATGACTGGGGGCAGCCGCTGAGACCATATAACTTGATTGCAGGAGTTGCAGGAAGGAGGTGTACAAGGAGTTATCCAAGCATCTTAGGGATTCCAGACCAGATTTGTGTAGGGTTTGCTCATTAGCATTTTCTTCTCCCTAATATAGCCCACAACGCAGCAGAGGTTTAGGACCAGAGTTTTCCTTCTCTTAGATGGGCTATCTTACCAGGCTGACGAGCCTCACCTGCCCCTCATGTCCTTCTACAGAATGTGCAGAAACCATCTACTTGACCGCTGGACTCATAATGGGTTTTATTTGCTCAATCCACCACTGCCTGTCTTCACAAGCAGGGTAAGTCCCTAACTCATCAAAGGTTTGAAACCCATCAGCAACCCTCACCTGGTTTAGCAGGTCACTCAAAGCCATTTCCTGGGGTGTGGCCGCTGTCACATACTCACAGCTAATAGGAGCCACAAGTGAGAGTTGAGCACAAGGTAGGAAGTAAAGGTGGACAGACTACCCCAGAAGGTCCCCCAATAAAGGTACTCCTCCTCCTCTAACACCCCATCATTTGAGATACCTAGAAGCACCCACCACATTGTCTTGAAGATGCTGACGAATATTTACAAAAAGTCACATAGATGCAGACTTCCAGGGGTGAGGAACAGTGGTTCGGCTGTCTCTCTGTTAGCTCCTGACTATTAACCACTCTGAAGATAAGGGTGATCTGGGAGTTATGCTCAAATGAATGAATATTCAGAAACAAGTCACTGGACAATATATCCCACAGGATAGCAACTCTGTTGCGTGCCTGCAGAACTCAGATTACATGCATCTTACTCAAGCACATCCAGCAAGCCAACTTTTGACCAGCGTGCAGGACAACACACCTTTCAATCACCCAACATCATGACCATGCCAGGGGCAGTCAGGTGAGCCGTCCCAGGCACCTGCCCAAATTTGCATTGAAACTGCTGCCAAATCAGAGCCTTTTCCTCTCCGCTGTAGCAGCAGTTTCAATGCAAACCACTTTCTCTTCCTGGAGCAAGGTGTGCTCTCACTGCCCACCAGAGTCAAGACACCCATATTTTTTTTAAAAAAGAAATTAATAATGGTTTGATGTCTTAACCCAGGTGTGAGACAGCTTAGCAATGTAAAAATGCAGGCTGAACCATCATGCAGGACAAAGGAAGATTACCCTAGCCACAAGCTAAGTACAGAGCCATTAAGAAACAAGATGGGGCCACTGGCAATCCAAGAGAACTGTCCTCCCCTCCCGCCGCCCCCCCAATATAAACAGAGACAGGAAATTTGGAAGGTTGCCAGGGTAACTGGGTGTGATGTCACAAGAAGAGTTTGGGGCTTTGGGCAGGAGGCTTGGAACAGAAAAAGGAAAGGAGCACGATCTTGGCAGGCAGGCCGCAGGGAAGCTGGGAGAGATGCCTTGGACTGCAGTGCTGGGGGGGGGGGGAAGCCTCTCTTGAGATAACTGTGCTGTTAAGATCTGGACCCCCTCCATCTAAATTCAGGTGTAACTATGTGAATAAATCCTAACTCTTAAAGCTATGACAGCCTCTGCTCAAACCCTCTAAGTGTCTCCATTTCCCAGGGATGTCCTGATTTAGAGAAGCCATCCCCGTTTCTGATTTGATCCAGGAATATCCCACTTTTCCTTAGGATATCCTTATTTTCATTGGAAAAATGTTGGATGGTATGGAGTTATCCAACCCCCGAGCTGTATGAAGGCAATCCATAGGGAAGTTGGTTTTTTTTAATTTTTAATGTTCTATTATGTTTTTACATACATTGGAAGCTGCCCAGAGTGCTGGGGCAACCCAGTAAGATGTGTGTGGTATAAATAGTAGAATTATTGTTATGGAATGAGGGGTTCCTATTTTCATCGAAGAAATGTTGGAGGATGTGTGACTTCTGTGTCTTGCTTCTCAAGGGAAACACGGCCGCAGGGTGAGGGTCTGGAACCCCCAGAATCCTGCTACCGTTTGACAGAGGTTGGGGGTTGGCATGCCACCTTTGCAACACTATGTGCCAGTTGTTAATACACCTTCCTTCTTACACACCTGACTGCCATATGCATACAGAAAATGGCTGTTTGTGTGAAAATACAATCCTTTTGGTATAAATCGCGGATCTGGAAACCAGAAGGCTGGGAATTTTCTTTTTTTATTCATGCTGCCGTCTGTTAACTTATGCACTGATATCAAGGCCCGATTCTAGGAAGAAAAAGAAGGAAACACAGTTAAACATATGCATTATCAAAGAAAGAAATGATACAGCAGAAAAACAGTGTCCAAGCAGATTGTTAGAACTGGGCAGGTATAGTTGCCCTAACAAGAGCCAATTCATACCTGGTTAAGACCTTCTCATTGCCAGGAAGGCGTTCATTCATAGCTGTCAACGTTTCCCTTTTTTTAAGGGAAATTCCCTTATTTCGAATAGGGAAAAGTTGACAGCTATGTGTTCATTGAAGGGAAGGCCCTGGTTCATCACTTAAAGGTAAAGGTAAAGGGACCCCTGACCATTAGGTCCAGTCATGACCGACTCTGGGGTTGCGGCGCTCATCTCACTTTATTGGCCAAGGGAGTTGGTGTACAGCTTCCGGGTCATGTGGCCAGCATGACTAAGCCACTTCTGCTGAACCAGAGCAGCGCATGGAAACGCTGGTTACCTTCCCATCGGAGCGGTAACTATTTATCTACTTGCACTTTGACGTGCTTTCGAAGTCCCAGCAGGAGTGTCAGCTTGGCCCCACGACCATGGGTGCCCAGGGTCGTGGGTGACATGCAGCATGCTTGGTCCTGACACCAAAATTTGTGGGTGCCACAGCAGAAACACAGTGTCCAAGCAGAGTGTTAGAACTGGGCAGGTAGAGTTGCCCTAACAAGAGCCAATTTATACTTGGTTAAGACCTTCTCATTGCCAGGAAGGCGTTCATTGAAGGGAAGGCCCTGGTTCATCCCTTAGGCATAGCTAATAAGCACTTTCTGAGATGCTGGGACCTCTAAGTTCAGAAAAGAAGCTGAGAAAAGGGAACATACATGAAGTGCTGGCTCAAACAGCTGCCATATGGAGCCAGAACTGCACTCAGATGGGCAGAATGCCCTTCTGCTGCAAGAAGATCAAGTAATCCAGGTACGGATTTCATTTTCTTCTCTGCCACACTGCTGCTTCTGCCTCTTCAGGAAGTGCTTGTTAGACAGGCCTCAAAGTCCCAGCAGGAGTGAAAGCTTAGCCCCGCGGTCGTGGGTGCCCAGGGTCGTGGGTGCCATGCCGCATGCTTGGCCCTGACACCAAAATTTGTGGGTGCCTGGCCCCTTCATGGGGAATTTTGTGGGGGTTTGGGCACCCAGGGCCCCAGGGAATTGGCACCTATGAGTCCCAGAATCAGGACCTTTAGTTAGCTGAATGCCCTCCTGCCTAAGAGGGAAAGAAAGACTGGCCAAGAGCAATTAGACAACAACAACACACTTTTACTGACCTTAAGAATGCAGTAGAAGAGGTGCCCAGATGCAATCTATCTGGGCACTTCCTCTGCCTTCTAAGGGGCAATAAAAAATATATTGCCTAATTATTGTTCTAAGGGAGGGAGAAGGCACCTGTGGCATTTGTAACTGACAAAGAAGAAGAGATGTTTTAGAAAAGACAACAATTGCAGGGATCAGAGCACCAGAAGATACAATGCCTCATTTTAAAATGTTTCCTTTTTAAAACATCACCGTGGCCATTGTTTTGAAGAAAATATCCAACATATATATTGGAATCATGGAACTGAAAGGGAACAGAAGGATCTATATTCTTCAGAAAGGCATTCATAGACTACCTGTGAACTTAGGTGAACTGTGGAAGTTTATGTGTTAATTAGTTAATTAATATCCCACCACTCCTCCTGAAGGAACTCAGCTTGGCAGTGGGGTGGGGAGGGAGTTGAGGCTATTGCAGGACACAGTTTTGATATTGGTGGGTCAGCCAGAGAAAATGGGGAGGGGGCTTTCAATCAGTTGTCCCATCCATTGCGAATTGCCCCCTTTCTAATTCAATTAAAATGCTTTCACCAAACCATAAATCACATCACAAAAAATGAGAATCCATTCTAAACAAGAGCAGCAAATTGCCATCTGTCCAGAGGTATCAATTAAATAATAATTAAATCAGAGTCCTTTGGTGCACTGTACCTGTTGAGATAACAAAGCGATGCCAGTGTTCTGTTCATAATCAACAAGAAAAGAAACCACGCGTGTGGATAAGTGCCTTTCACCTTTCATTTTGTGAGGCAAGCAGCTGTGCCATTTTTGAAATGTATCATTGCTATAGAAACAAGTTGATTCCTGTTTTTTTAATTAAAAAAACAAGAAGAAGAAAAGGATGCAAAGTAATCGATTTAGAAATCTATCATTGTTCGAATTTAAAAGCTTTGCTAGAGAATCCACTGAGCTCTGAATATACAGGAGTGGCTAGTGGGAAGGGGCAATGGTGTGTAGCTGGCCTCCTAGCAGGACAGCCACTGCCACTGACCAGGAGGGAGAAGTGGAGGACCAAGGCAACAGAAAGGTCAGAGCTGTACGGTGCACCAACATGATGATGTTGATGATGATGCACCCATGCAGCAGTGGTTTCCCCATTACCTTGCCCCTCCTGTCCTCCTTCCTGGTAAGTGGCAGCAACTCGCCGTGTCAGTGCTCCACTCAGCAGGCCTCTCCTGTATAAAGCAAGCAAGAAGCAAAGCAAGAAGATTTTACAAGAGCAAGGGCCAAACTGTGCATTATTGATGCTTTTTAAAAAGTACACACAGGTCCTACTAACCAAACACTATGCATTCCCTGGAAATCATTCGATGGGCAAGCATTCACATCATTTCCATCAATTCCTGTGTGAACGTTTCTAACCGTGGTCTTTGTATGATCTCCCCCCCACCCCCACCCCAATCCTGTCTCTCCATGGTTTCTTCCTGAGATGGCTGCAGCTTAACAGCAAAAGAAAGACAAAGGGGGGAAATGAAATGTCCAATCTCTCCTGCTCTGATTTCTCCGATCTCTCTTGCTCCCTCCCTCCCTGCATGGTTTCTTCCCCCAAATAGCTGCCACCGACTAGCAAAGCACAAAGATGCAAGGAATTAAGAAAGTGGGTAAACTCTGGATGTTCAGATATCTGAATCTGTGGAGTGTATAGTGAAGCATAGAATAATTCTTTAATTTGGACATTTTGTGAATTTTTGCATGGCTAGAAGGCAGAAAGCAGGGCCTGTGTATATGTTTAAACTGATAGAATTTTCTGCCAGAAACTGTTGTGGGACTCAGAAGCCTAGATCAGAAGCCTGTTTTGGATTGGAGCTCTGAACCTGCTTTTTTGGACCCACAGTACTGAACCAATGGCCCTTGGTGAATACAAGGACGTGCGGGGACCCCAAACAGTGAATCCTCCAAAGACCTCAGTGATCAGGTAGTGATCTAAAGGATGAGATGCTCCTTATGCTATCATAAGCTCCTTATGCTACAAGTTAGGGCTTTGTAAATAAATATAAGAACTTTGAACTTATCCTAGTAGCATATGGCAGCCAGTTCCCTAAAAGCTCTGATAGCGACCACAAAAGCTTCCAGTAATAAATTTGCTCAACTGTCCTTTTGATTTCTGAACATTAATTTGCCAAGGTGGCCAGGAAGTCAAATTATGTACTGAACAGAATGCACCAAACCTCAACTATATTTTCATAAGGTTTTATCATCATTTGCCTTACCTGGCTCAGTGACTTATCTTTGTTGAATGACAGCCCAACATAGTCCGCTGCAAGAAAAGCAGAAATATATTAGCTACAACTCAGTGCTTGCACTTCTAAAATATAGTTTACAAAAGGCATCAACCCAGTTTCATGTGAACAGTTAAAAAGAACTCAGGGTGAAATTTTGAAATTATTTTTGTTACATGCCTTAAAATATATAAGTGTGTATGAGCGGAGAGGCATGCTCTCTGGCTTGAGCTGGTTTATTGCAGGCAAGCATTGCAGGAGCGTTCTTTGCCTCCACTTACACTATGGAGTTTTGCAGTGTGCTTTTTTGTCCCCCATGCTATTCAACAGCTACATGAAGACATTGGAAGCAGACATTAGGACATTAGATGACACAGCTATATTTCTCCATAACGTTGGAGAACCCATGGATTCAAGTTACACATTCAACACATATAAATCACTTTTTCTTTACCAATCTGGCTGAGTCCCTGGTTTCCTTACTTTCATATAATTCTTTATTAGCTAGACACTGGCGGCTGTACCATATTTCAGCTTTAAGATAATCATCCTGTGGGCGGAAAAAGACAAGGAAATACTTAGCATGCCAAGTGCATTTGCATAGTATAGCTGTTAAGATTCTGAAAGGGTCTGCTGAGGCACAAGTCGTCCTTTCTAACTATCACACATTGCCTAAAAACCTCTGTGGAGCCAAGGAAGACAGTGGACAATACTGCCAAATGTCAGAAAACAGGACTAGCTTTCTAGTTTCTAGTGGCAATGCCAGTGATATTAGTAGTGGTGCTGGTGGTGGAAGAACTCAAGAGAATTGATGGCCAAAAGTAGACAGAATTACAGAGATGTCAGAAGCAGAGCAAGATGTAGTTGAGATACCAACTTCCCCAAGATCTCATTCCAGCTCCCAATGATAGTCAGGAGAAAAGAAAACTACCCCACTGCCTCTTTCTGTTCTTCTCATGCAGCACAGAATTCTGATTTAACACACTGACAGCTGTTTATATAACCTTGTCAGGGAATTCACAGATCAAAGGATAGCTATATGGCCTCAATGGGACCCAATTACTCTTATCCTCTGAAATTATAGCACACAAGTGGAAACTAGCAACTGGAACTATACAATGCAGTATCCTGTGTCTTGCTTTCAAAACTCACTGTTTTATCACAGTAATTTATATACTGCTTAATTGCAATAGCCTCTAAGCAATTTACAAACGTTTTTGTGAGTTATAGCTCTATTCTCTGTATTAATGGGAATGGGCCAAGAGGGATCCGTTCCCCCAACCCTCATTCAGCTTGTTACTCCAGCAATCTCCAGGATGAGTCTGTGACTGGGGCAAGAGTAAAAGGAGTTCATCTACACACATCCCTCAGCACAGCAATTCCTCTGTGAACAGCGACTGTGATAAACCAGTACTACTACTACTACTACTACTAATATACCGCCCTATAACTGCAGATCTCAGGGCAGTTGTGGTTCGAGGACCCAATCCCCGCGTAGTGGAATGAAAACACGAGGACACGTGATATAAGGTTAATGGGCAAGAAAAGACCACAACTTTATTGATTACAGCAAGTGAAAAGGTATTGGCTTAGGCATTGGATTACGTCAGCTGACTCCACCCCCTCAGAGAGGGGTGAGTCTAAAACAGGGGGGTTTATTCACCAGTAGCTGGAGCCTGTTGATGCTAATCCAACTATAAGCTCTCCCCTGATGTCACCGAGGGTCGTGCCATGGCCTCCCGCCAAGCAGGCATCGGACAGAATACACGACCGCCAGATTCCTTTAACGGAATACCCAAAAATTGAAGGCATAGGCGATGGCCACACCTAGCCCTTCGACACACCACAACACATTATTCCAATGCCTAACCTACCCACCAATACCACGAAAGTTGTGACGATTGCTACGAGGTAGGCGAAAAAACCAAAAAGCCTAATGCCAAATGGAAAAATTCCTACCAGGCCCCCCGGACAACCAGGGCGACCAACCTAAGGTCCATAGCAAGGCCAAAAGAAAACTGAGACCCTGAGCTCTAAGGGAGTGGAGGGTGGGTGACTCGCGACGGGACGACGAAAAGTGAGGCCGGAAGGCTGGTGCCGCAGCAATTTGGGGTTGGGTGCCTGCCCGTGGGCGTAGGCCAGCCAGGTGAGTGGGAGGCAGGGGGCTAATGCCCCCTGCTTGAGGCAGAGTCCGGCTCCCGACCACAACCACTCCCCTCTCTTGCAGGAGGAGAGTCTTTCACAACAATAAATTTCAATTTAAAAACACAGATTACATAATAAAAATAAAAACAAAGACAGCCCAATAATTCCCCTGTCTACAAACCATGCAGTTGGTCGGCATGGGGGGTGGGGTGGGGTAGGGGTGGAGAAATGAAGTTCAGTGTCTTCTGAGAATATAAAAAGCAAGGCGTTGGCTATCAAGCAACTGATTCCTGTGAGTTTTCCTGCCAATTGTGTTGTCGCTAGAAAGCTATGTCTATTGGGCTGTGTGTGTGTGCCTGCAAGCTTCTGTCTTCTATGTGTCGTCAAGGTGGGTGAGGGCATGGAAACAACACGGCTGACTTGCAGGTGTCAGTTGCCTAGCATACAGAGATTGCATTGTGTCAGTGCTGGGGTGGGTGTGTGTGTCACAATATATTGCTATGTTTTCTCTCCTTTAGAGTGCTGCCATTTACATTTGAACTTGCAGCTGGAAATGCATGCTGGAAATGCATTCTGACAACACATTTGATGTCAATACTAAGCCAATGTTAGCATTCTGCCCAGAGTACCAGGGTCTCTGGATTTCATTGTTAGGATCCGTATACTACGTGATTTATGATCCTTGGGACACTTATTTCTAAATGGCTAACAAAATGAATGCCGGAAAGAGTTTCAGAAAACATTATTTGTGAGATGTTACAAAAATACACCACTGAGAACAACAAACACAACATTTAGCAATTTCTCACCATTTCAAAGCCACATAAGGTTGGTTTGTTGAACTGAAATAAAACACAATAAGACCAAATTGTATGAATCATCACTTTCTTTCCCACACTTTTCACAAGCAATTTCACAAGTGTATTACTTTACATAGTCATTTACCACTTACACTCAATATTATTAACATGGCCATTGGTTGTTTTGAGTGACATAAGAAGCCTGTTTCCACCAACAGCCTGGGGCAACCTAGCCAGGGCATGTACTTGTCCTGTGAGATAAAAGGAAATAACCAATAGCTACAAACCAACAGCTAAAACACCTAAGGAAATCAAGTACCGAGACTTCCGGGTTTGCACCATCGGCAATGGCGGATTTCCTCTCAATCAGAGGAATCTGCTCCGCGGAAATCGGGTCTGGCTGCAGCGGCGAAGGCGGGGACCCTTCAAAAATCACAGGCGGGTGAAGCCTGTGAACGTGGGATTCGGCGGGCACCATCAGCGCCCCCCCTACTCGCGGGGAAACCCGTTTTCGGGGATCCGGAGCGAAGTGGGGTGAGTGGCGTAGTGCTTTGAATCGACTGCTACTTCCACGGAGTGAAGCCGCACAGCCATTGCCAGAGAGCGCTGACTTTTTCCTGTTGACAATTGGATTTAAAAGTAATTACCTGTGAGTAAAGCGAAGTATTGGAGTTTTAAAAGTCGAATTTGGCAACGAACGGGGGGAGGTTTAAAACAGGAAGTCCGCCTCCCTTTTTTGTAAATAGTCGGAAGCAAATAGGCTTAAGCTAAAGCCTTGGAAAGTTTACTTTAAACGTTTAAATTACCAGCACTAAAAATAGCAAACCCCCCTTTGGAAGCAGGAGAAGAGGGGGGAGAGTTTTTGGACAATATTTGCCTGCTAAAAGAGAGGGAAAGAAGCTAAATTTCCATTGCTCAGAACCTGGGAATGGGATACCATTAAGACTGTTGTATTTTGGAGTTCTGCATAGACTGTGAATAAATAGATCACTCACTGACAGCCAGTGAAACAAGAGTGATACATTGTTTCAACTACCCTCTTCTGACTCAATAGGGACTAAAAGGAGTAAAAGAAACTGAGTAATAATAGCTGAGATTTGATACTAAATATACTGGTGCAACAGTGGTCTGGAAAAAAAGTGACATTTTGGACTAATATAATATAAATAGTAACCATTTCCCTCTAGAGGAAGACTTTGAAATTGCTACAAGGTTTGGAATTTTCCAACTCCAAAGATAAGACTCTGGGACTGTGAAATTGACCTTGAAAGGATTAACTGTTATGGCAGATGGAAAAGACAACAAGGTCTGGGAAGATTTGGCGAAGAGCTTCCACATCCGGCCCTCCTGCTTCTTCTGTGGCTGTATTAACTAAACCAAAAGGAATGACTTCAGAAGAGGCCCTGGTACTTGCCTTAAGTAAAATAAATGAGTCACTGGAACAAATAAACAAAAAATTGGATCAGAATACACAAAGTATAAATCAGAATACACAAAGTATAAATAGTTTGGGACAAAAAGTCAATTCAAATACAGAAGCTATTGAGAAATTGATCCAGGAGTCTAACTCAACTCGACAGATCGCAGAGGAAGTTAAGGAAAAGGTTGTTGCTGTGGAAGCAAAGGTAACCCAGCTGGAAACAGAGAGAGTCCCAGACCTTCAGAAACAACTTGAGGACCATAGGTTGGTGCTTTCTATGATTGAGCTTAAGGAAAAACAGACAAACCTGAGAATTAGAGCTGTACCTGAACTGGAAAAAGACTCCCTGATAGACTATCTTACGGAGGCATTTGCAGATCATTGGGACTTGGATTTGGAAAAAGAGGAATTTAGAATTGTGAGGGCCTTCAGACTGGGAAGAGGAGGGAAGAAGGAGAAGACCAGAATAAGAGATTGTTTGATTACCCTCCGATCTAAAGAAGAGAGAGATCAAATTTTGGGTTGGCATTACGAGAAGACTTTGGTAATAAATCAATCAAGAGTGGAAATTTTCAAAGATATCCCAAAACATCTTCTGGACCTTAGGTCCAACTTTGGAGATTTGGTTTCCCTGCTGAGAGGGAACAAAATCTTTTTCAGGTGGGAATTTCCTCAAGGCCTATCCTTCAGTTTCAAAGGAAGGAAAATAAAAATAAGATCAGTAGAAGATAAAATAAAGTTTCTGTTTAAATACGAAGAAGACCTACAGAAGGGAATTGGAAAAGAGCCAACAGCATTGGACAGAAGATCACCAGATAGAGGACCAGAGCAAACAGCATTGGAGAGAAGATCACCAAACAGGGAAACATTGGACATAACGACATTATCTTTTGGATTGGACCCCCCAGCGAACGTGCCAACACCACCACCAACAGAAGAGGAGCAAGCTTTGGGGGCAGTTGGGGGGGCACCAAAGTAACTACATGATGGCGTTGCAGGTCTTGAGCTGGAATGTGAATGGACTGAACAGCCCTGAAAAAAGGCGGAGAGTATTTCATTTATTGAAAAAAGAGCATTTGGACTTGATTTGTCTACAAGAAACACATGTGACAAGGTTACACAGGAAGTTATTGAATAATAAAAGATTAGGCCAAGAATTTATCTCATCGGATAAAGTAAAAAAAAGAGGAGTGGTCCTCTATGCAAAGGAGAGTTTATCACCAAAATTTATATTCAAAGATGATCAAGGAAGATTTGTAACAATTGAAATTCAAACGCAAGGAGAAATTTTTTTGATAATAGGTATTTATGCACCAAATGAAGGAAAATGGAATTTTTTAAGAAGCTACATGAGACTCTGATGGACTATATGGATTACAACATGATTTTGATGGGAGACATGAATGGCGTTGTGTCTACAAATATGGACAAGGCACAAAGACAGTCAGTAACTAAGGATGGAAGACTACCAAAAACTTTCTTTGATATGACTGAAAATATGGACTTAGTTGATATCTGGAGAACGAAGAACCCTCTGGGAAGAGAGGGAACTTTCTTCTCCGAGGCTAAAATGACATGGACAAGAATTGACCAAATTTGGGTAACCAGAGGTCTGGCTCTAAAGACTAGTAAAGTTGAAATTTGCCCCAAGACCTGCTCCGATCATAATGCTGTGAAGATGGAAATGAAATTGATGCCAATTGGTTCCTTTAGATGGAGGATGAATGATACTTTGTTTAGGAATGAAGAATTTATTAAGAGGCCCAAAAAACTTTGAGAGACAATTTTGAGATAAATATGAGCACTACTGTGGAAAAAAGAGTAATCTGGGATGCAAGTAAAGCTGTCATGAGAGGATTTTTGATACAACAGAATGCAATTAAGAAGAGAATGCAAAATGAGAAAAAAGACAAAATCTTGGAAAAAATAAAGGAAGGGGAGAAGAAATTGAGGGTGAAACCAAAGTCCCAGGAGATTTTGAAAGAGATAAAGTTATATCAAGTACAATACATGAAAATGATGAATCAGGAAATAGAATGGAAGATTAAACAGATGAGACAAAAGACATTTGAATCGGCAAATAAGTGTGGTAAATTGTTGGCTTGGCAAATGAAAAAAAGACAAAAACTTAATACCATTACGAACTTGGAAGTAGAAGGAAAGAACATACAGAATCCAGTGGAAATTAGAAAGTGCTTCCAGAGGTATTTTAAAAAAAATTATACACAGGAGAAGCAGAAAGAAATGGACATTGACAAATTTTTGAAAATGAATGGACTACAAAAAATTTCTCAAGAAAATAAATTAATGCTGAACTACAAAATAACAGAACAGGAAGTAGAAGGGGCCATTCAGAATATGCAAGTAGGTAAATCTCCAGGACCGGATGGATTGACTTCAAGATATTACAGAACTTTGAAAGAATGGTTAATACAACCTTTAAAGGAAGTCTGTAATGAAATACTGGAAGGGAAAAGGGCACCAGAGTCGTGGAAGGAAGCTTACATCACACTTATACCGAAAACAGAGACTGAAAAGACACAACTCAAGAATTACCGCCCCATATCATTGCTTAATGTGGATTATAAAATTTTTGCAGATATTTTGGCTAAAAGATTTAAAAAGGTGTTAACAGAAGAAATTCATAAAGATCAAGCGGGCTTTCTCCCGGGCAGACACTTGTCTGACAACACGAGGAATATAATTAATATTTTAGAAAAATTACAAGTGAAGATTAATACCAAAGCAGTTTCGATATTTGTGGATGCGGAGAAAGCTTTTGACAACATTTCCTGGAGTTTTATGAAGAAGAATTTATTGGGGATGGGGGTGGGTCAAGGTTTTGGAAACGGTATAAGTGCAATTTATTCAGAACAGAAGGCCAAATTAATTGTGAACAATGTAGTGACAGAAGAATTTAAGATTGAGAAAGGAACACGACAAGGTTGCCCAATCTCTCCATTGCTTTTTATATCGGTCTTGGAGGTTTTGTTAAATATGATTAGAAGGGACCAATTGGTAAAAGGTATACAAGTGGGAGCCAAACAGTACAAATTGAAAGCATTTGCTGATGATTTAGTATTGACTTTACAGGAGCCAGAATCCAGCACTAAAAGAGTATTAGAATTAATTCAAGAATTTGGTCAGGTAGCAGGTTTTAAGTTGAATAAGACGAAAACTAAGGTTTTAGAGAAGAATCTAACAGAGATTGAGAGAGATAAGTTTCAGAAGGAGACAGGACTGACACTGGCTAAGAAAGTGAAATATTTAGGGGTTAACATGACTGCTAAGAATGTGAATTTATTTAAGGATAACTATGAAAAATGTTGGACTGAAGTGAAAAAAGATTTAGAAATATGGTCAAATTTGAAGCTATCGTTGTTAGGCCGAATTGCTGTGATAAAAATGAATGTATTGCCAAGAATGCTGTTTTTGTTTCAAACACAGCAGGTTTTGGATAAAATGGACTGTTTCAAGAAGTGGCAGAGAGATATCTCCAGATTTGTCTGGCAGGGCAAGAAGCCTCGTATAAAATTTAAGATATTAACTGATGCTAAAGAAAGAGGCGGATTTGCCCTGCCAGACTTAAAACTTTATTATGAATCAGCTGCTTTTTGCTGGCTGAGAGAATGGATGCTTCTTGAAAACACGGATGTTTTGGATTTGGAAGATTTCGATAATGTATTTGGTTGGCATGCATATTTGTGGTATGATAAGGTTAAAGCACACAAAGCGTTCAAAAACCATATTGTAAGAAGAGCACTGTTTAACGTCTGGATAAGATATAAGGATTTGTTAGAAAATAAAACCCCAAGATGGTTGTCACCAATGGAAGCAAAGGCTCAGAAAAAACTCAATATGGAGGCCAAATGGCCGAAGTATTGGGAAATTTGGAACAAGAGGGTGACAGATTAAAATTGCAGAACTTTGAAAAATTAAAAAACAGAGTACGGGATTGGCTCCATTATTACCAAATAATGGAGGCATATAACTTGGATAAAAAACTAGGCTTCCAGGTGGAAAAATCAAAGTTGGAAACAGAATTTTTAGACCCTAAAGTTAAGAATCTGTCAAGAATGTATAACTTGCTGTTGAAATGGAATACTCAAGATGAAATGGTGAAATCTGCTATGATTAAATGGGCACAAGATGTTGGACATAATATTATGATGGCTGACTGGGAACAGTTATGGACCACTGGTATGAAGTTTACGGCATGTAATGCCTTAAAAGAGAATTTAATGAAAATGATTTATAGGTGGTACATAACACCAGTCAAGCTTGCAAAAATCTATCATTTGCCCGATAATAAATGTTGGAAATGTAATGAAACTGAAGGTACATTCTTTCACCTTTGGTGGACATGCCCAAAGATTAAGGCATTCTGGGAGATGATCTATAATGAAATGAAAAAGGTATTTAAATATACCTTCCTGAAAAAACCAGAGGCCTTTCTCCTGGGCATGGTTGGCCAATTGCTGCCAAAGAAGGATAGAACTTTCTTTATGTACACTACAACAGCAGCAAGAATACTTATTGCAAATTATTGGAAGACACAAGATCTACCCACCAGGGAAGAGTGGCAGATGAAGCTGATGGACTACATGGAACTGGCGGAAATGACTGGCAGAATCCGAGACCAGGGAGAAGAGTCGGTGGAAGAAGATTGGAAAAAATTTAAAGCATACTTACAGAAACATTGTAAAATTAATGAGTGTTAGAAGGATGCTGGAATGAAGCTATATGGTTTTAGTAGAAATGCAACAAAGAATTAAGTAAAAGCTGATTGATAATGGGTTAAAATGAAAAAATTCAAGGTTAGACCGTTAAGATAAATTATAGAATAAAAATTGAGAAAGATGGGAAGAATTTGCTGAAATAGTGAATTGAACTAGAATACAAAAAAGGGAGGTGTGAGGAGGTCGATGAAACAAGTAAAGGAAAGGTAAAGATATGGAATATTGGATGTCTGTTTTAGTTTCTTCTTTGTTTTTCTTTTTTGCTGTATTGTATTGCTTTTATATGTTTTTTTATTTTTTTCCTCTCTTTCTTATTGTTTTTTTTTATTTTTTCTGTAATTTTTAAACTTTTAATAAATATCATTTAAAAAAAAAAAGGAAATCAAGTACCATACCCATCACTAAAAAGAATTCAACAATGGTGCCAGCAAAACTCTCTGGGGAGAGGCTTCCAAAGACAAGGGGCTACAACAGAAAAGGCCCTGTCACAATCCCCTTCACTTCTAAAGGTAGCACTCCTGAAGCAGGGCCACAGAGATTGATCTTAATATAAGAGGTATCTATTAATTGCAGCAAAGCTACTTTTGGTGCAAAGAAAAAAAAAGAAAGGAGAAGTCCTGGGTACCAAGATCCAAGTTTGGGGCAAGTACTCTTTATTGAGAGACCCCGGCAGATATTTAAAATCACAAAATATGCAGCAAAAGTGAAACACAGGAATATGAAAATAATTTTTATTATTTATACCCCGCCCATCTGGCTAGGTTGCTCCAGGCTGTCAAGACCTTTAAAATTTATCCTTTCAAGTTCTTTCCAAAGTTTCCCACTTCCCCTAGCATAGAAAAAGACCTTGGTAAGGTTAAAATGGTTCACATATGAAGCAACCAGCTTAGCCTCTTCATACACTTAGTTCATCAGGTGAACTGGAGAGAGAATGATTAGTACACAGATTAACAATGCAATCCTAGATGTGCCTACCCAGACATAGTTCTCACCATGTTCAATGGGACTTACTTGCAGAGAAATGTGTGTAGTAGGGTTATAGTCTTAAACTGAACGAGATTGTCTTCTGAGCAGACCTGTATGGCATTGAACTGTTAATAGATTTCAGGAGGAGATCTTCCAAACTTACCGTAGTTTTCGCTCCAAAACACGCACTTTTTTGCTCCTAGAAAGTAAGGGGAAATGCCTGTGCGTGTTACGGAGTGAATGCACGGATCGAAGCCATGGCTGCCGTCAGTCAAGCAAAGCGGAAGCCGCTTACACGCTCTACGAGGCTCTCGCTTTGCTTGCTTTAAAGCGACCTGGAGCCGGGGAGGAGGGAGGGAAGGAGAGCCATGGCAGCAAAGCGGGCAGCAGCCGCTTACACGGGAGGAGGGACAGACGCTAGCAAAGGTCCGTGCGCTCCCTAAACAGAGCAGTGAGGCTGCAGAGGGACGGCAGGAAAGATAAAATTTAAGCAACCAGCAGCAAAATAAAACCAACCTCGAGCTCTGAGCCACACAGTGAAAACCAGGAAGTAAAAAAAAAAGGCTGGGGATGAGGGAGAGGGGAAAACTTTGCAAATCCCCGTGTCTCAGCGTCTCAGCTGATCGGCTGGGACAGAGCAGCTTGTTTTCAGGCAGGATAGATTGAGGCATTGTCTGGGTCCTAGTGCCCCTACCGCTTTTTTGTGCTCCATTCTATTGCTGCTGGTGGCTGCTTATCACTCAGGCTGCAAGGATGAGCACTTTTACACAGCTAATGGCGAATCCCCTGCAATCCAAGTCCTCCTCACTTGCTCAAATCTATTCTGCCTCAAAACAAGGAGCGGAAGGAAAAGGCTGCAAACTGTTAAATGGAAAAAAAACCCAGGCACAGGGCAAATACCTTAAGTATACCTTTAAAGCAACAGTGCTCTTTCCCTCCCTCCTCCCCGCTCAGCTCCCCGAAAAGCTCCTTCTCCACGCGTGCTCCTTGTCCCTTGAGTGCTTTTCCTTCCCTCCCCACTTAAAACGTGGTTACATAGCACGGATCCACATGGATCCTCAGGATTTTTGCATTGGGCTACCCCAAACTCACCATCAGATCACATGTCTGTGGCCACAGCATGAACCATAAAAATCATACATCCACTGTTTCGTTTAGAATATTTTTTTCTTGTTTTCCTCCTCTAAAAACTACGTGCGTGTTATGGTCAGATGCGTGTTATAGAGCGAAAAATACGGTAGTTTTTTCGCAGTATGCTTACCAGTGGTTTTTAAAACATTAGATGATTGGGGGAAGGGGACACAGGGATATTTAGAAGTACACATATGTACCTGCAACAGCTTTCCAGTTACAATGCGCAGATCATCACTGATAAATAATCCTAGTGAGGTGAGGAGTATAAGACGAGTATTTGTTACGGTGAGATCCACAAGCGCAAGTCCGTAACAATCTTGAGGAGAGAAAAGGCACTGTGAGTAACCTGAGTTGCATCTCTCAGACTTCCATCATTACTTGTTATAGACATGGCAAATTACACCCATATTGAGACACCCAGATCTGTTGGGCAATCCATGCACCTGATATGCATTTGAAGAAGGTCTAGATCTATGTGCTTTTAAGAGAGGGTGGAGTGATGAAATCTGCTCTTTCGAACCCTGCTCCTTTGCTGCATTTTTTTTAAAAAAAATATACAGTGGTGCCCCGCAAGACGAATGCCTCGCAAGACGGAAAACTCGCTAGACGAAAGAGTTTTCCGTTTTGGAGGTGCCTCACAAAACGAATCTGCTATGGGCTTGCTTCGCAAGACGAAAATGTCTTGCGAGTTCCTGGGTTTTTTTTTTTCCTTTTCCCCCTCTTTTTCTAAGTCGCTAAGCCGCTTATCTGCTTATCCGATAAGCTGATAAGCTGCTAAAAGCCGCTAAAAGCCGCTAATAGCGCTAATAGCGCTAATAGCGCTAATCCGCTAATCCCATCAATGGGCTTGCTTCGCAAGACGAAAAAACCGCTAGACGAAGAGACTCCCAGAACGGATTCTTTTCGTCTTGCGAGGCACCACTGTATAGCAAAGGCAAGTTCAGGGGGCAGCAAGAATAGAGGCTGACTTTTCCAACCCTGCCCATCTGACTGTGTTGCCCCAGCCACTCTGGGTGGCTTCCAACATTTATAAAAAACAATAAAACATTAAACATTTAAAAAACCACCTTCCCTATACTGGGCTGCCTTCAGATGACTTGGGGGCCAGATAACTCCATACCCTCCAGTATTTCTCAGATGAAAATAGGGCTATCCTAAGAAAAAGTGGGGCATTCTGGGATCAAATTAAAAACCGGGACAGCACCTGTAAATCTGGGACTGTCTCTGGAAAATAGAGACACTTGAAGGTTCTGCACTCCAGAGTAAAACAAATGGCAACCCTGGGAACCACAGCTGAAAGCACTCAGTAGCCCAACATGCCAGATTCAAGGCTGGCGTCAGTCTAAAGCCCTAAACAGGCTGTAGAATCTGACCTGTCAATCCCACCCCAGGGAGAGAAGACCCTAAATGCTGAGGGATGAGGGTTCCCATCTCCAAGAAGCTGAAATTTGGGACCCAAGGAGGCAGAGATTCTTTCTTATCACTGTCCAAAGAAAAGGCATGAGGGAGGGCTCTCCAGATGCTAGGGTTTTGAACTGGACATCACACCACAACCTTCACTCTGAGACCTACAATTACTGTATTGGTCTGAATATAGGCCACACTTCCCCCCAAAATCTGGCTCACATAAAACTTGAGTGCAGTCTATGGTGACAATCTTATAAGTAGAAAATCTATGTTTTGAGAGATCTCATTTTAGGGGTGTAGTCTATATTCGGACCAACCCTGTACATTCTATGAAAGTGCAAAGTGTCCTAAGGCCTTGGGGTAGGACAGGCTACAAATAAAAAGGAAGTGCATATGGGTTAATTAAACAATTGAAAATAAGAATTACCGTTTTCCAAGATGGCACAAATGGTAGCAGACAAGTTAAACCATACCGTATCCCCACCCATAAATCCACTGTCAGTCAATCCTAAAATTAGTCCTTCAAATACAAAAGAAAACTAATCATTACATGAAAACTGAATCACAGTATAAAGCCAGGCTACGTGTATTTATGACACTGTTATAAAGCTTCATATTTCCCAGAAATTTCAGCAGCTGGTTTGGTTCGGAGGTTTCTCTGTGATATTTGAGTTTATTTACAAATATATGTTGAGTCTAGGTAGAAGCACAACTTATCACCCCAACAGCAGCAAAATCAGGAAATAAGTGCCCCTGTATCCACAGATGTAGTTACAGACCTTAAATACTCAGCTCAAACCTACTTGCACACACTGAAAGAAAGCATGTCTGCCTGCTTTTCTAGTACCACATATCTAAGTTAATAAGCACAAGCAGGTGGTTCAGTATGGGGTGGGGTGGGGGACAGTTGCAAACATATCCCTGGTGTATTCCTGTGGTTATTGTAGAATACGCTGCAGTGTAGTGGTTGTGTCCTGTCCTCTCCTTCCCACCTGAGATTCTCAGCAAAATGCTCTAGCAGTCATGCTTTTCACCATCACACACATATTTGACTAAAAACAAACAAACCAGTGAGCAAATAATTCAAATTAATTGTTTCTTTTTTGGGGGAGGGGATACCATTTCAAAAAATGCATACCTACCATTTATTCCATCTATTTTGAATGCTCAGTATGCAAGTGTCATTGCTTGCCGAGCTAAAATAGTGCCAGCGATGCACAAGGTTTGCAAAACTGCAAATGATCTTTTTGTAAACAACAACAACAAAGTCTTTTCCATTGCTGTGAGAGGGAATTGTCCATGAAAGCTGCACCAGGCCCTCTGAGAACAACAGAATGTCCTCAGTCCTGTTGCTCCAAGGGGAACTTGCTCCTCTACTCCTTTCAAAGCACATGGCAGCAAGAAGGCCTTTCCCTGCTGCCTAGGGTTGCCATATTTCTAGAAGTAAAAGTTGCTGAGCTTTTTGGGAGAAACTCAGTCAACACAATGGGACTTACTTCTGAGTAAACAAGTATACTTATTTTAAAATGTTACATCCCACTTTACCCAGTCGGAAAATGAAGCTGGTGGATCAGCTAATTATGTAAAAATGCAAGATACTTACCTATATTTTTAGTTTTATAGATCAGACCAAGTAATGCTACATCACTTGCACAAGGAGTTTTTGCTATTTGGATATTGGATACTTCAGACAATGTATCATTAATATTCAGGTATTCACCAAGGGTCCAATACCACTGAAGAAGAGGATCTGCAAGAGAGCACTAATGTTTAAGAAATCAAAAATTCTTTCTAGGAAATATGCGACTATCTCTGAAATTTGTGGAGACACCCTTGGAGGTGAGTAAGGGATGTTATCAGTCTGGTCCAGGGTTGGGGTGGGGGATGGGAATGGGACTGCCATCACTGTGGTGGAAGGTAGGGGGAAATACAGAAGTGGGTGAAGGCATACAGAAGAGACAAGGTTGTCTAAGTCTGCTGGAAATTGAAGAGTACTAGGAGACCGCTTCAAGTAATGAGTACCTTCCTTAGACCTGTTCTTAGTAGAATACACACACACACACACACACACACACACACACGGGATACTCTCTTTTTTCATGATGGTGGGTGGCTATTGGAAATCCTGCCAGTATTATATTTTGTTTTGATTGACATATTTTATGTGTTGCAATTTTATCATTCATTTCTTCTGTATGCATATGTATCAATGTTGTTTACTGCTTTGGAGCCTTTGGGCCAAAAAAAGCGGAATATAAATAAAACATTCCATATCATATGAATAAATTCAGAAAACTTAATGTCCGTGCTAATTTCCACGAGACCACAATTACTTACAAAACCACAAACACTCCCTATGAGCGATGACGTACCTCGTATGACATCCAACAAGGTTCCCGTAGTAGTGAACATATTTAAACCATGATGCATATTAAATTTTACAAACCATTCCTCAACTGGATTAATATCTGTTTCAGCGGCATGTACAAGAAAGACAGAGACAGATTAGTCCTATAAGTACACAAGTATTATGGGTGATATCCAACATCAAGCAAACAGGCCTCTGCTTGCACAACATGGTTTCCTTTTCTCCTCCCTCTTGCAATCCCCACGACCAAACCCTCTGGAGCAAATTTCAGGGGGCAAAGACTTGTTGCACAAGTGGAAACCCATTCCACTTGCAGATAGACACAAGTGGATATTGCTGTATGCTTACATCAATATTACTCGGCTACGAGAGATCGCCAAAGTTGATGACGACTACATGCTCTTCTCAAATGTTGCCTACGATGGTGCACTGCTCTTCAACTGAATTCTTAGTAATGAACATTCCTGCATATTTTTTCTGGCCAATTTATTTTTCTCTTTTTTTCTATTCAGACTTATAACACACCCTTCACCAAATAGAGTGAGCTACAAAAATAAGTGCAATATACATTATCCCGAAACTGGCTTTCTCTCCACTGAAGTTGGTATACTACTTATGCACCATTTGAGATTGTGCCAAATGCTCACTACCAAGTTGTCAAATTTCTCCCCTGCTAGCAGGATTTTGTGCAAAATTTTTCTTTTGAAATGAGATGTACTCACCACCTTACGTGAGTACAAAAACAGCAGCAACAACACAAGGAAGCATCAATAGCCAGTGAGGATAAATAAGTGGAAATTATAAATCTCTCACCTGTATTATATGTTAACTCTTCTCGGTTGATTTTAATACTCCACGAATCCACACCTTCTCCCTTTTGTTTAAAAAAAGGATGGCAACCCAAGATTTTTAGTCTTAAATACTTGAAGAGTCACATACATTTAGGTAAACTACTGTGCGGACTGATTTTCCAATTATGAATTTTCATAGCTGATAGTCTCATAGCTTAAGAACTGTTTCTCACAGTGGTTTGATATGTATTTTGTTGTTAATGTTCATGAAATGAAGTACTAACAAGAATTCTTTCAAAGTGTTAATTCTATTGTGCAACAGAAAGCTATCACTTGGCTTTGGAACACATTTTTAAAAGAAAAGCTTGACAAGCTTTTCAGATACCTTTCAATTGAAAAACTTTCTAAAGAAATGCCTAAAGTAACTGATATTATAGTTTGAAGTCTTGCTTTTTTCTGTTATATTTTACTCCCAAAAGACCCATTTATCCCAAATAGAACTCAATATGGCAGACATGTATGTACTCTCTCTCTCTCCATATATATATGTGTGTGTGTGTGTGTGTGTGTGATCCCAGTGAGACTCCAAGATGAAATTTTGCAAGTAGCCCTTAGAAATATTAAATAATCCATACAATGTTTTGGGATTTTTCAAAACCATATTAATTTTTTTTAATCACTTTTAATATTTTTTTAGCTGACATTTAAAATTTAAAGTAAGTCCATTATGTGACATGTGCTATTAAAGCCCATGAAGTTCTGAAGAGATTGGTGTTTTTAGCTTCGATGTATCTCAATTCTGGACTGAGCTCTTAAGCTTTTTGTGTAATCCAGGAAGGCTAAAATTGTCAATTTTTTAAAATTTCAAACCCTCATAACTAAAAAATGGGCTGAGATTTTTAAAAAAAGTTTTAAACTTAGTTTTCTTCATTCAACAAGTGTGCAAAATATGAAGAAAATTGGATGACATGAGGTATAAAATTTGGATAACTTGACATGGAACGACGGATTCCTACGGATCACAACAAATGGTATTCAGAAGCATACAGCCTCCAACTGTGGAAGCAGAGCATTGCATCCATGGTCCATGGAGGGCACAGCATCGCCTCCATCATTGCTAGTAGCCACCAGTAGACATCCTCCATTGAAGTAGTAGAGAGCAAGCAGAAACTTCCCCTTTCTGGCATGCTGCAACATGATCCAGAGAGTAAGTTGCCCGGCTCCTGCTAATACAGAAAATGCCACTGGCACCTTACACTGTTGGAAACAATGTAAAGCACATCAGGAAAAACTCCATGACTATGATACTTGATTCCTGCTAATGCTTTTCACATGCATTTATTTGCAGAGTTCATGTGGGGTTTGCATTCTTTTAAGGAAAAGGTTAAGTTAAAATTGCCACTCTATTGCTTATTGCTTATTATCATTATTATTACATTTGTATACTGCCCTATATCCACAGATCTGAGGGCAGTTACAAAATAAAATCACAATATAAAAACACTAAATACATAATAAAAGAAAAAAACCCACATTTTCAAAAATTGTATAATACCACACCATAGTTCAAAGGGGATACAGGGCTGGATCTACACTGATTTCTTTAACGTTATTAGAACGATATTAGATATATCGTTACAAAACGTCACAGGGCATACTTGTAAAATAAAGCATCTTTCTTTTTCTTTTTTTACCTCTTTTAAAAATCAAAACAGCTGTCTCCCTACTGCCAGTTGCTGGTTGCTCTGCAGCACCCTCTGGTATCACATTTTAATAAAGCATTATGAACGTTAAAAGTAGGACGTGATGTGTCCATATGGTTATTAAAACCGTTCCTTAAGCCTTCCTTAACGTTAAAAACCATGAGTGTAGATCCACCCCAGGAACCTTCCTTAAACCAAGTCAGATTGCTTGTCCATCTAGCTCAGGCCGGCCCAACCTTTATACCAAGTGGGCCGCAAGAGTACTCTGACCATGTAATCTGTGGGCCACACACTGCCTTGATGCAGTTAGCGCTTTCCCAGCTTTGGGAAGGAGGTAATAGGGTTCTAGGACCTTGGCAGAGCCTTTGCGCCTCCTTTCCCAAACCCAGCACCTCACTTAGCTGGCTTTGGGAAGGCAATGCAAGGGCTGAGGGGGTGTCAAATGTTGCTGAGGGCCACCAGAAAAGGTATTGAGGACCACATGCGGTCCTTGGGCTACACATTGGGCCACTGTAAGTTTCCAGCCAAATGTTATGGCATTGTTTAATAAGTATCCGGTGACAGTGGCTGTCCTGAGTTCAGGCAGAGGTGACCACCTGCTACCTGATCCCTTTTAACTGGAAATAGCCAGGGAGTGAACCTGGGACCTTCTGCATGTAAATGATGTGCTATGAGCCCTTCTGCAATGCTTTACCAGAGTCATTTTGAAGTAGAAGACTTTGGAGTAGGTACTGTTGAAGATCTGGATGCTGGGAGCAAGACCAACTGAAGTAAAAAGAACTAGATTCTTCCGTCTGTTCTCCTCGGTGTCGGGTTTATTAATATTATACAAATGACAGCGGACAGTCTTTAACAGGGGGAAAAAACCAGGATTAACATATGAAGCACATATCCACAACATCTGGAATTATTAAAACTTTAAATGGCAACCTGCATTGATTTCAAAAGCGGAAGCTGCAATAAATAAATAAATAAGAGAACAACAATTACCAAACTTTTAGAAGACATCTGAAGGCAGCCCTCTTTAGGGAAGCTTTTAATGTTTGATGTATTACTGTATTTTAATATTTGGTTGGAAGCCACCCAGAGCAGCTGGGGAAGCCCAGCCAGATGGGTGGGGTATAAATAATAATAATAATTAAAGGAGTCATAAAGGAAAGGTGGGTAGAAATCCTCGTTTTTGTGGGACAACTTGTCATGAGACAAATGTTTTTAAGGGCAGAAGCTGGCAAGGCATAGGCCCGGAACAAGGCCTACACAATCTTTTCATGGCTGCTAGCTGTAACTGCTAACAGTAAATTGCTGATTCATTGTGACACGTGACTCATCTTGAGTCTTCCTATATAAAGCTTCCTATATAAAGCAGCCATTTTCTCTCTGGGCGTCAGTCTGTAATGCAGTCTCTAGCAGTCTCTAGCAGAGTCAGTCTCAGCTCAGTACAGTGGTACCTCGGGTTACATACGCTTCAGGTTACATACGCTTCAGGTTACAGACTCCGCTAACCCAGAAATAGTACCTCGGGTTAAGAACTTTACCTCAGTAAAAAAAGTGCCCAGTGCTCCTGCCGTCTGCCACATCGGCAATCTGGGGCAAACCGCGGGTCGTCGAGACAGTCCTCCCCTGCCCTGGGGAGGCTGCCAGGGCTAATTACCCCCATATCAGCCCTGAATTATCGGAACGGCTGAGGTCCGATCGTGTGGGATCCGCCATTTTCCACCGCCCGAAACAGGAAGCCCTGAATTAAGTACTTAACCCGAGGTACCACTGTATGTGAACGTATAGCTGTTGCAGACAGAGCGAGCGGCTCCAGGATTCCAATTAATCAGTAACTAAAGACTGTGCCTCTCTGAAGACTAAGATAGCTGCTATGAGCACTCTGTGTATGCTCTTTAACGATGCTGTTTCTGAACAAGTTTATTTTCTTCAAGTAAAAGTTTTATTCTGTTTATAAAGACTCTGCGTTGATTAATTTACCGCTATGCGACATAAACTTGCCCTTGCCCTCTCTCAAGTGATTTTGCCTGCTTTTGGCTGGCATGGGCAAGTGTGCCATGGAGAATTGGGAAGTTTAGGGTTAAAGTATAGAAAATGATAATTAACAAATTAATATACCTGAGAAGCACAAAATACATAACATAATGGCAAAAAATCCCACAATAAATCCCCCACAGACACATTTAAAAGGCCATAGATGGTTTAATGAGCCAAAACGCCTAAAATGTTTAAGTTTGACCTTCTGTTGCACCCCAAGGCCCCTTCCTGCCATCCTTCCTCTTCCTTTCTCTGACTATATCCTGAGGCAGTGTTGGCAAGGCTTTCTTCACCAAGCCAGGCCTTCTTCCACCTGCCTTACCCCACCCTCCAGCCCTGGGACTCCTCATAAGGGAGCAATGCCTGGAGGAAGACCTGTGAGGGGAGAGACTACTTCAGGCAAGGCCTTCTTCTGGCTTTTTATTTTAAGTTTTACAGTGGTACCTCGGGTTAAGTACTTAATTCGTTCTGGAGGTCCGTTCTTAACTTGAAACTGTTCTTAACCTGAAGCACCACTTTACCTAATGGGGCCTCCTGCTGCCGCTGCGCCGTTGGAGCACAATTTCTGTTCTCATCCTGAGGTAAAGTTTTTAACCTGAGGTACTATTTCTGGGTTAGCGGAGTCTGTAACCTGAAGCATATGTAACCTGAAGTGTATGTAACACGAGGTACCAATGTATCTCAAAAGAGAAAAAATGCCCCCTCACAATCTGGTTGGTTTTGAAGGATTTGCACAGGGCAAAAACTGGCAGGGATGGTTTCCCTTCTTGCCTGTTGCTCCATCCTATTTGCTTGCCAACCACGGGGAGGCTGTTCAGGAAGCGGGTGGGAGCAGCAGCAATGGCTGTACTGTGACTAATTATGTGTTTTTCCATGCCCCCCACAGCAGCCAAGATGTGTTGTGCCACACTCCCCATGGCAGCCATCTTGTGACTGGTACTCACAGAACTTCCTTCAAATTCAAAATGTGCCCACTGCCCCCCCCCAAAGGTTGGCAACCCCTGAGCTAGTTTAGCTCCATGAGAATCTTGATTCCAGACTCATTAGCCCTGCAGCACGTAAAAGAAATTACCTGGCTATATTCATAGCTGCAGCAAGTTCAGAAGCTAATGAGGCATCAGATCAAGGGCTGCATTTTAAAATGAGCTTAAAAAATATATTTGTAAATGTTTGTATCTTTCATGCCAGGCAGAAACCAGCTGGCTAAGTACTTTGGCAGATGTTTATCTTCCTAAACAGCCCCCCCCTCGACTTATAGCAGGAGACACGTTTCTAAGTTGTAAAAGGGAAATTACAGGCTGGGAGCAAAAGGTTATACTGACCATACAAATTACAGAATACAATCAAGCTGCAAAAACACAATTAAGAGTTGGTAAATAGTGAGATTTATTGTTTAACAGAAAATAATACTAGGTGCCTCCCATTAGACTTGAGCCATATTTTCATAAGGTTAAAGGGCAAGAGCTAATAGGAACAGCAGCTGGCTTGAAAGGGGGTGTAAATTTAAGGGGTTGCTTTTGGAAACTGTTTTTACTAAGTTCCTTTCCTTCTAAAAAGCTATATATGTTAATGTATGAAATATATTGGCTTAATGTAATTATGCAAAGGATTTAGAAAGTAAGAAATGTTAGATTATTATGTTAGATTCTTATTTCATTAATGGTGTGTGAGAAGGTGAACCCAAGATCTCTGTTTAAGAAAAAAATTAAAACCATGAGCCATCTGTTTTAGCCATCTGTTTTGGAGTGAAGGGGTAATAGGGCAATAGGGCAATAGGGCAAAGATGATCTGGTAATTAAGGTGCCTTGTCGAGGCAAATGTAAGATATATGGCTACTTGTCTGCCATTTATGGATAGAAGGAAATATAGCTCTTTGTCTCCCATAAAAGGTAATAGGAAATGGGTGTATCTTTTATGATTGGTTCTAGCAAACAGCCAATAGGAATTTCAACAAGGCTGATTGGACAGAGGCAGCCAAAGGGGGAGCAAGGGGGCTGGGCTGAGGAAATATAAGTGCTGGCCATCAGGGCTGGAGTGGGCAGAGCTTTGGTAACCATATACCACTGTGTCTCTCATTTATTTGTCTGACAAATAAATTATTATTTTAATTTCTCTATTGCTGCGTTGAATATTTCATTCCAGCTAAGCATTAACCACAAGCAGGGTGCTACACTAGAACACCCTTTTATTGTTATTTAAATAAACAAACTGCAAGACTATGTTTTGTTTTGATGCCAATAAATAAATAAAAATTCTTTAAATTGCATACAGTGTTGTTAGATCCAAGGGGAGTCTGAACAACCAATAATAGTTCACTCCATTTAGCTAAGCTTCTTCGTCTAACCGCTTCCGATTCAGTTAGTGATGACAGCTAACAATCCATTTAAACATATTTCATCTAGATATCAACTTTGCGTGGATATCTATCTGGACATTTGGAGAACTTAAATGAACTTCTATGATTTATGCACATTATGTATCCATAATGTGAACTGATGATGAGTTCTTTCTTACTGTTGTATTTATTTATATAATATTACCATGCCCTTATTTTAATTACTTTCTCATTCCCTTTCCTTTTCCTAAATTTGGGGAAGAAAATAAAAGAATTGATTAACTTATTCTGCCGAACCAAAGAATGGTGCATTGGCGAGTTATTCCCCACTGCCTTAATACAAGTGTGTTACAGTGGTACCTTGGTTTGCAACCGTTTTGGATTACAACCTTTTTGGATTACAACCATGTCAAACCCGGAAGTGCGTGTCCATTTTTTTGGATTACAACCCTTTTTTGGGGGGGGAGACCCCATTGGCGAAAGCGTGCCTTGGGTTACAACCTGTTTTGGTTTACAATGGATTATGGTTGTAAACCAAGGTACCAATGTATTTGCTGAGCTACTCCCCATTCAATTGCAACTGGAAATACATTGCTGGAAACTTACCAAAGTGCCATCTGAAAGAAACAATTTAATTGTCTTAGATGTCATAGAGTAATCTTCTGTGTAGCAAGAAAAACTCGAATTGCTCCCCACTGAGTGAGAAAAAAATATGATCACTAATATTTTCAAAGATGATATTACAGAACTAGAATATACTGAAACTCAAATCAAAAGTGAAATTGTGGGCTGAAATGGATAGCATTGGCTTTTGTGATACAGTAGTAATAATCACAGTAACAACATTCAATATTATTGGCAGTCTCAGGAAGGAAGTTTTACTGGGAGACGTAGGGTTTAGGGTGGGCAATAAGAAAATAAATAATATATTTATGGTAATCTTTAAACCAAGGCTAGACTGCATGGGTTTGGACAACCAAATTAACCTTTGTGCTTCAGTCAGTATCTTCCCAAGCTCTCTCACTGAGGCTCACTTGACTCCTAGACAACACACATTCAACATCATTAGCAAATATCTCTTGCTCTTTAATAGGTTGGGGTTTTTTTAAGAAGCTTCTTGCATCTGCTGCAGTAAATTTTTTTTAAAAAATCCTGGATTCAGTTCCCAAAACTGTGTGCACACTTTTCCGTTTGAAAGGTGGGCCCTATCATCACTTGGACAAAATAAAGTTCTGATCTTTATGGAGTCCTGTGCAGATTACAGTACAGCACATGCAAATGCATGGCTGCGAGATTCAGTGCACTAGTAACTAACCCGTACGCAAGAATAGGAAGGTGAAATAAAGTAAAATACAACTTACTATTTACATTGTAGGAAAGTCCTGATGAAAGCTGTAGAACAGCTGTAAGCACAAGATAAAGCTGCAACAGCGCCATCTGTAATTGTAAAAATAATATAAATGTGCATTTAATTCAAAGCTATATATAAAGCTGGTCCCCCAATAGTCACACAATATATACAGTGATCAAGAAAGACAACAAGGATGCAGGTAAAAGCAACATGCTTGGTCATCAAAGAGTCGCCTTAGGTGCTATGGAAACTGCAAGCTGAAACCTGCATCCTGTTCCAAACCCTGGGTTCACCTATGGCAGAAAGAAGATTTAGTTCCCACCCCAGATGCAAACCCTCCAAGTGTCCCTATTTTTCAGGGACAGTCCTGGATTTGCAGAAGCCATCCAGGTTTCTGATTTGATTCCGGAATGTCCCTCTATTTTCCTTGAAGATATGCTGGAGGGTATGCAAATGCAATCCTGAGTTAAATGCCTTGCCTTTCTCTACTACATGTGAATGCCACTGGGGAAAAGTAAAGTCTTGGATTTAAGGATTCAGTCCCCGTATGAAACAGCTGCATATGCTTACATTGGAGGGGGTTGGACTAGATTATCCTCAGGGTCCCTTTCCAACTCTACAAATCTTTGTTTCTGTGAGGGATGTGGAACTTGTACTCCTAATGTTGTTCTACTACTTCATCTGACCGGTGGCCATCTCTAGGAGTGATGGGAGCTGAAGTCTAATGTCACCTGGGAAACAAAGGTTCCCTATTCCTGCTCTGTATGACTGGATTACTTTTGTTTTCTGTTTTGTTTGTTTGTTTCATACAGTCAATAGCTGCCGTGCGGATCTCAAATGAATGAATAGGCAGGATATGAACGTTAAAAATAAAGATATATTTTTTAAAAAAGAAAAGATAATAGATTTAAAAAATTGGACTACTTTGTTAAACTATAAGCAACTGATTTGTGCAGGATCAAATTATTTCTTATGAACAGGCAGCAATAATGCTCAACCTCCATTTCTCCTGTTTTTTCAATGGAGACATATGGTAGAACAAGTGAAAGCTAAATATGGGTCTTTGCATTAAAAAAAAACTCATTTGAAGGCCTCAAGCATAATGATAAAACCAAAGTAATAACAAAGACCTATTTAATATTCTCAATATATGCAAAAGAATCTCTTTGTCCTTCCTACAATGTTAATAATATTATAAAGCACTCTTAACCACTACACCATATTGGCAACTTGTAATTATAATTATATAGATAATTATATCATTATTATCATTAAACAGAAAGAGTGAATACTTCATCAGATTAATGAATTGCGATATTGCGTATTATTGGCATGGGGGTGCCATACTTGGCATTATCTTGTGCCCAAATGAAGCATTTCTTTCTTTCTTTAAACTATTTCTATACCGCTTCACATTTTAAAGTACCTTCTTTGCCAAGGCTGTATCAGTTTTGCTGAGCCATCTTTCCCACTTCCAAGAGAGCCAGCCAACTGTTTGCCTGTATCCTGGGTTCCAGAGGATGACAGTTGGAAGAGTTCAAGTTCCGTCACAGTGACTCCTAATAGCAGCAGGACTCATAAACTGATCCAGCTTCAGAAATGACCGCTCCCCACATCAAATGGGGGGCACCTTTTGCGTGGTCGCACGCAGCCCCCTGGATCCCAGTGTGGCTCCCAGTAGTACGGGCTGGTTTGCCCTCCCCAGGCTGGATACCTGGAGGTCTCTGCCTACCTCAGCCAGCTGCCCAATCCCGCCTGGGGAGGCGTTGCCAGGGGATTGGCCAGGTAGGGGGAGGGACCACCCTGCCAACACGACAGAAGGTGAATATTACCTGCGAAGCGTCAGTTGACTCCAGAGCTTTTCCCACCCTGCCCTCCCTCAGTTACCGTAATTCTTCTTTTGCAGGTTAACCTCTTCTCCACTGGTACGCAGGCGCTGCTACGTCATGGTTGCTGTTGAAGGGCCAGAAAGGAATTTTCCTGCATTGGCAGGTTTTGCCTTCCCCGTAGCAAAACGTCACAACCTTGGTGGTTTCAGGCCTTGGGCGGAATCCTTTAGTCTATCTTCCTAAATTGGGGGCGGGGGGAGATGAAGCGGTGAACCACCCTTGTGGCGGTGATCCCAGGGTTTCCCTTTAAAGGGGTATTGAAGGGAGGCATTGGCCATACGCCAAGAGGTTGTCATTGCTCTCCCCTCCAACGGCGGCGAAACGGAGGGCGGGCTCTCTGCTTGAAGATATGTTCTCCAGAGCCAGCCCAATCCCCACACATTCTGGATAACCCTGATGTCTCCCAGATCCCCGGCTGGGGACTGGGAAGGATAAACGCCCAATGCCTGAGCCAAGGTCTCCCTACATCCGAAACCTAATAAAGTTGTGGCCAATTTTAATCCCATAGCATGTTGTCTTGAGTCATTATTCCACTCAGGAGTCACCTGGAGTTGGGGGGGACTCCGCCTGTCCACACAATGCTTGTGGGCTAGTACAGGGGATAGATTTACAGAATTTAAAATTATGTGGCTGGAACAGGCTACGTGGAAATCTTCCCATAGTCCTCACATAAAAATAAGGGTCAGTGGCTCTGATACAAAAACTACACAGGAGACCTGTCCTCCATGTTAATTTCTTCAGTTCATCTGTTGCTAGAACCACATAGGATGCAGCTATATGAAGTGGGAGTCTTTCAAATTAAAAACAAAAACAAAAACCCCCACAGTTGCGAGACTAAAGTGAACGCCAGGAGGGTATCTTCAACCACCCATCCAGTGAGAGCTCCAGCTAGGGCAGAGGGGAAGCTAATAAAAGACTGGTAAGCAAATGGAAGAAAAAACTCAGGTCTCTGAATAACTTGTCTTAGCTGAACACCTTCTTAGTCATAAAAATGAATCACTTCCATTAGCAATTCTCTTTAAAAAAATAAAATTTCTTTCATCCATTTTGTGGGTGTTTCAGCTTGCAAACAACAACATAACAATTGTTGAATGTTACTTTATTTGATGTAGGTTGTTTATTTTAAAGCTATGTTTTATTATCACATTTTTGTATGGCATTAGATTGTTATCTTTGTTTCTTCAGCTTGTAAACTGCCTTGAGTATTGTAAAATAGAAAGACGGTATACAAATTAAAAGTGATGATGATGATAACAATAGTATATAGCAGGTTCACCAGACAAGATTCCACATTAACTATGACAACAGAGGTGTCTTCTGGTGAGAAAAGGCAGCAGGGGGAGGCAATTCTGTGTCATTTTTTTCTGGTGGGACAGGAGCAGCATGCAGCAACATCAACATCTCACTTTGTCTTACTTCTGCTCTCTCACGAGCCTCTACCTACGGCCCATGAACAGCAACAGCAACATCTGCAGTAGCAGGGAGCCTGGGAAATGTAGTTCCCTAGGGCTCCTTTCAGCTAGGACACGATGGTTGCAATGCAGTGGTGACCTGCTACAGGCACCCAAACCTCGGCCTGCCAGTCGCCTACCCCCAACACCCTCTTAACGAAGAGAGACCCAGATGTCCCACTGTTTGCTGCAAAACTCACATTTAAGTGACTAGGACAAAAAGAGTTGGTGGAGTGCACAGGTGATACAGAATTCAATGCATTCATAATCCCAGCTAGCTGAACAGGTGTGTGGATGTGTGTGTGTGCTCCTCAACAACATTGCTGTTCTCTACGACAGACACTTTGTGGCAGCAAAGCACAACATTTTCGGCAACTTGGGAGAAGAGAGTTCCGCTCCTGCCTGTGCCCAGCTGAGCAGAATAATAGAGACACGTGTTATATTCTGTCAGAGTCTGATAACTTTTTGTGGCAGTAAAACACTTAGAATGGAATTAATACAAGCGTCTTGCTCATCTTCCATGTTTATGTTCCATATTTGTTTAGCAAAAGAAAGGTTCATGGTGACTAATAGAATTATTAATTGGGGATTGCAACAAGTCATGCGGAGACATAGAAAATCCCCCCTCCTACTGTACAACACCACTGGCTGTTGGACTCAAGAGTTCACCCCATCTTGAAACGCAGCAGCCTAGTGCCTGTGATCCATTTGCTCTATAACAGGGCCAAAACAAGGGTGGGGCAAGCAACTTTTCCCCATGGTCCTGTGAGTGAAGGGGGCACCCAAATCATGATTAATGTTATTGTTGTTATTATTGACATTATGCACACTATATACAAAATTAACATTTAGGTGAGATTATTATTTGGTGCTGGAGGAGACTCTTGAAAGTCCCATGGACTGCAAGAAGATCAAACCTATCCATTCTTAACAAAATCAGCCCTGAGTATTCACTGGAAGGACAGATCCTGAAGCTGAGGCTCCAATACTTTGGCCACCTCATGAGAAGAGAAGACTCCCTGGAAAAGACCCTGGTGTTGGGAAAGATGGAGGGCACAAGGAGAAGGGGACAACAGAGGACGAGATGGTTGGACAGTGTTCTCGAAACTACCAGCATGAGTTTGACCAAACTGTGGGAGGCAGTGGAAGATAGAAGTGCCTGGCGTGCTCTGGTTCATGGGGTCACGAAGAGTTGGACATGGCTAAACGACTAAACAACAACAACGACAACAACATTATTTAGTGCTAAAATACAAGTGTGATTTATATCCTACAGAAATGTCCTCAGATATCCAAAGATTCAAGCGCCCAAGTGCTATCAATTCTCTCTGAGTCAGCAAGAAGTTGAGACCTCCTGAAATCCACGGAGTCTTTGCCAAACTTGGAAACATACTTGTAATAAAACGATAAAAAGCACTTGGAACAAGTGGAACGGTCTCCCTTGGAAGGTGGTGGGCTCTGCTTCCTTGGAGGTTTTTAAGCAGAGGTTGAATGGTCATCTGTCATGGATGAGTTGAGTTTCCTGCATTGCAGGAAGTTGGATTAAATGGCCCTCAGGATTCCTTCCAACTCCACAATTCTACGATTTTGTGAATTGTTGTTGATATTTTATTTAATAAAATAAAATATGGGGTTTGCTTAGGGGAACTTTTCATGTTGTTTGCCCCAGGTGCCAAGATACCTCATTCTGGCTCCAGTATATAGCACTGACTGCTAATGGTGACATGAACAGGAAACTGCCTATCTAGCCATGGGCTTCATCAGTACGGTTCATGGTAGGGTTTTTTTTTACCTCTCACTCCCCATGGTGTATGGGAGAGCTGAGGAAAACTGGAGTTGGAGAGTATGTGTTGTAAGATATTATCCATTCTTTGGGGTTAGAAGCTGTGTCCCCTTCCTAGCTGAGAAGTGCCAGTTTGTCTGCCACTGCCTCCTATTAATTTTTTTATTTTTATTTTTTGGTTTAAAATAACTGAAAGGTTATAAAAGCTGAGGTGCTTGGTTTGCGATTTGTGTGAACTCCCATTTACTGACTGCTCCTAACATTTCTGTCAAACTATTTGTGAAGGAAAAGGTTCAGAGGCAAAAGAAAAACAACAGACCACACAATATTTGAGCAGGGAGAGGTGTTTTTTTTTTACATGGGGCTGTAATTTAGTCATGCAATCTTCCACCATTATGAAGTGGCAAGTCCTTGCAGGGCTGTAGAATACAATTGTTCTGAATGACTTCAGAATAGTATCCAAATGCAACAGAGGTCCATGCTAGTTTGTTATAGATGGCTAAGTTTATAAAGAGGCTTTAGGTATGCAGTACATCTGTGTGCATCCGGGATTATTCATGAGGTGTGTACATGACGTCACTATTGGCATCACCAGCTCGTCAGTCAGCTCCTTTCACTCCCTTCTTAAACAAAGTACTGGCGTCTGGCCCTGCCTGTTGCATAACTAGCTGTGATTCCGGATCACTCAGAAAGCCTCAAACTGGCACCTGGTGGTAGCTTGGAGGAGGAAAAGGCTTTTCCTTGCCTCAGCTTAGTTTAGCTTCATTCAGTAAAAGGATAATCACAAGTGAGTCAAGCACACACATTTCCTGCAAATTGGGGAAGCAGGGTAAACAGCTGTGATCTGGTGACATTTTTCTCTTACAATTTAAGGAATTTTACAAATCAGCCATCCGAAGAGCAGAGAGGAACCTCTTCATCTAGTCCAGCATTGCTACTGTCAGTTTGCATTTCTTAGTGCAGAAAGTATTGATCTGATGTGTTGAGATCTTTCCTATTCTAATAAATTCAAGAGGGTTCTGGAAGCTTCTCTGTGTGAAAGAAACAAGCAGAAGGTTTGGGTTATACCCAGTGCTTTTCCCCGCTTAAAAAAATGTTTAGGGGTACTCTCATTTTCTTACTCAGATTGAAATACTGCCCCTCAATGAGGCCAAACGTAGACTCACAAAATGTTTAGGGGTTTGTCTACCCCTGTATCCCCCCAGAAACAAAGCGCTGGTTATTCCTTCAGAGAAGCTGAGCACAGCTGGCTTAAACTGGTTCTGTTATCAAGGTCATGCTGACTAAAAAAGTAAGGCCAGAAGGAGCCTGGGTTTCACTTTTCTCTTTCTATTTTCCTTCTGGTGTGTTGTTCTGTACATAGTATGCTTAGTGTTAAGATTTAGACTTATAAGTTATTGTAGACGGGGTGAGCTCCCGTTGTTCGGTCCCAGCTCCTGCCCACCTAGCAGTTTGAAAGCACCTCAAAGTGCAAGTAGATAAATAGGTACCACTGCGGCGGGAGGGTAAATGGCGTTTCCATGCGCTGCTCTGGTTCGCCAGAAGCGGCTTAGTCATGCTGGCCACATGACCTGGAAGCTGTCTGCGGATGAACACCAGTTCCCTTGGCCTATAGATAGAGATAGGCGCACAACCCCAGAGTCGTCCACAACTGGACCTAATGGTCAGGGATACCTTTAGCTTTACACCTTTACGTTTAAGTTAAGTCTGTAGCAACTGGATTTCTTACGGACAGTGCCAATCCTGAATGTATTGGATTTGTGACCATTATTTTCATTTGCCTTCAGTAGCAGTAAAGCTCTGCTGGATGAAATATTAATTGCCTCTGATCTATTTTTGGGAATCCTACAACATGTTTAAGTTGTTACTCTGCTAACTATACATTGGAATCTGTTCTGGATCAATACTGAGCAGAAATCCATGACATGCTAGGGGGCCAATGCTACTCTCCCAGTGCTGCTCTCTGGACTTGGTCCTGAAGGATTGGAACCACAGTAATACAGGGCCCCCAATTTCCACCCACCAAGCCAGATTAGGAGGATATCATGGCCGTTGGTATCAAATGCTGACAGAGATCAAGAATCAGGAGGAAGCTTGTACTTGCACTTAGCTCCCATTCAAAACACTGTTTCCTGTTTTGCACTAGGCATGACCAAGGGCTTGATCCAGGGCAGTAGCTGGCATCACAACTGCAGCAGAGAAAGCATGGACGGGTTCTGTTGGATTATGGGGAGGGCATCAGAAATGCTGTGCTAAAAAACACACACCCTGAAGGCCAGCACTGGCACTGTCTGTGAAATAGGAATAGCCCATATAATAACCACTGCAGAGAGCAAAATGTATGTTGTATTGTATGTTTTAAATGTAATAGATTTCGATGCAAATACAAATCAAGTATTTGTTCATACAGCACCATTTATGTACATAGTGCTTTGCAAACAGAAGGTCTGTTAGGTCCCTACTCCAAGGCTTCTTTGGGAGGAAGGGCAGAATAACAAACAAACAAATAAATCCACTCAAGTCTTCCGATGTGTACAGCAAGGTGCAAATGCGACCTGAAGAGGAAAACAACCTCACTGCGTTTCAAGTCAGTAACGTGTACATGGCTTGATGCTCAAATATTGCAGCATCCAGCATAAAAATTTATTATTTGTACCCTGCCCATCTGGCTGGGTTTCCCCAGCCACTCTGGGCAGCTTCCAACGAAGATTAAAAATACATTAAAACCTCAGTCATTAAAAACTTCCCTAAACAATTTCAGATATTAGAATAGGAATCAGAAACAGTAATGACAACCGTATGCAACCTGCTTCCACAAGGGAACGCTTTTAAAAAGTGTATTTGCTTTTGTCCTTTGCCACCTGCTGAAGCCTGTATCCATTTTAAACTGGAGGTTTCAGTTTGTACATATTAGCTTGCCTTGGAAGAGCCAGTGTGGTGTAGTGGTTAAGAGCGGTGGACTCGTAATCTGATGAACCGGGTTCGCTTCCCTGCTCCTCCACATGCAGCTGCTAAGGCTAGTCACACTTCTCTGAAGTCTCTCAGCCTCACTCACCTCACAGAGTATTTGTTGTGGAGGGGGAAGGGAAAAGGAGATTGTTAGCCGCTTTGAGACTCCTTAGGGTAGTGATAAAGCAGGATATCATATCCAAACTCCTCCTCCTCTTCTTCTTCCCATAAATATGGACAAATTGGCTTCCTAAATAAGCTTTATACTGTGGAAAGTGTTCCTGAAATGTAGCAATATACAATGGCGTAGCATGGGGAGAGGAGCACAGGAGTGTTTGCCCAAGCACAAAATTGTTACGGGCGCAAAATTTCAATACCTGGTGTTGCCTCAATACAGCTGCACACTTCCATCGATGGGCTCCATTGAAAACAGCTTCTCCATGTGAACCAGGAAGTTACCTCTCCAGACAATGGAATGACTCTTCTTTTCTTATCTCTGTGGCAGCTATCTTCTGGGTGACACAGATGCCGTTAAGCAGTGGAATGTGCATGTATACTTTTGTCAGTTCCCCTCCCTCCACGTGGCCCCGGGTGTTGGCAACCCACCCTACGCCACTGGCAATCCATAAATAATATAGGGGGATGCCAACTTTACCACAATAGTTGTAGTTGCAAAATGTTTCAAGTGGCCCAAACTCTTAGGATTCCTGCATACATGTGTGCTGTGTGTCCTAGTAGCTACCCAGAAGCAGAAATATAGCCAGGAAGCAACCAGCATGAGGATTCACACCAGGTCAAATAAATTTAGGGGCACCTCAGCCTCCTGGGAAGTTTGTCCAGCACCCATACAAGGTAGGGCCGTTAAGAAACAAGAGGGCTATTGGCAATGCATGAGATCTGTCCTCCCCTCTTACCCTGAGGTGTGAACAGAGACTGGGGGTTTGGAAGCTTGCCAGGGTAACTGGGTGCGAGGCGACAGGAAAAGAGTTTTGAGCAAGGGTTGCTGGAACGAAGAAGAAAAGAAAGACTGGGATCCATTTTGGGCAGGCTGGCTGAAGTCTGGCTGCACTGCTGTGGGGGACAAACCCCTCTTGAAATGACCATGCTACAAGACCTGGACTCCCTTTATGTAGACTGGAGGTGTAAATAGGTGAATAGACCATATTTACTAAAGCTATGACAGTCTCTGCCATGTCTCAGTTCTCCAAAGGAACACAGATCCTGGGTGAGTGCGTGGAAGCCCATGGGTTCTTGCCACCACTCGGCAGAGAGAGGGGGAGGCACCAACTTTTCTAACAATATAATCACGAAACCAAATTCCCCTCCATTCTCTCAAACGGAATGTGCCCAGACCTTCATGTAGGAACAGCTTCCAATTGAGCCACAGCCTTTCCTACACTAGTTCTGATGTGCCTTGGCAGTCTGTCACCTGGTTTATTTCTAGCTTAGAAGAAACATGTTTGTCAATGCAATTGTCTAATCACAGCTTATTTCCTTCCAGTACAGGCAGTGCAACAGCTGTGTTGTCTCTTGTAAAAATATCCCTCTGTTTTATCACTGTTCTGTTTGTTTAAACCCACAATAATCTACCATTTATGGTTCATTCACCATTGACCTTTCAGGTATATCGTCCCAGACATAATTTTCAAACCAGACAAAGAACTGAGATTATCAGCTTTAATTACTTAAATACTTATAAAATTATAAACTGTTTAGCCATGATTGATATGAGCTAGATGGGAACCATCAACTTAGGACAAACTAGACATGCACTCTCGGCATCCTTTGTTCACGGCAGTTCTGCAGTCTTTTACCATAGTGCTCTAAGAAGTTAGATGGTACAGGATTTACAACTGGAAACCTTAGCTATTGACCCAGTTAAGCATGTTCATACATCAGGGATGGCTGACGTGTTACCTTCCAGATGTTGGTGAGCTACAGCTCCAGCATTCATTGGCCATGCCGGCTGGGACAACATCTAGAGACCTAAAGGTTCTCCATCCTAGCCATAGTGTCTTCATATTCAACTTATTGTATCCATATTACAATTAACTATTCACATCTGCCTGCTAAAATTACATATGATAGCACTTTAAAGGGTTGAACATTTCACGAGCATTTTTGCCAGTAAACATTTCACTATTTCACAATGCAGCGCCACAAGCCAGCATTTATTAAATGCACAATCTTCCTCCTAGGTTAGAATACTTTCATTCTTCACAGGAGCAAAGACTTTCATTTGCTGTTACTCCATCTCTTGGCTCACAACAGTGAGTTAAGTCTTAGGCCCCCAAATAGGAGCAAGTACTATAACCTGGTGGGGGATGCGAGTGGCGCTGTGGGTTAAACCACAGAGCCTAGGACTTGCCAATCAGAAGGTCAGCGGTTTGAATCCCTGCGACGGGGTGAGCTCCCGTTGCTCGGTCCCTGCTCCTGCCAACCTAGCAGTTCGAAAGCACGTCAAAGTGCAAGTAGGTAAATAGGTACCGCTCTGGCGGGAAGGTAAACGGCGTTTCCGTGTGCTGCTCTGGTTCGCCAGAAGCGGCTTAGTCATGCTGGCTGCATGACCCGGAAGCTGTACGCCGGCTTCCTCAGCCAATAAAGCGAGATGAGTGCTGCAACCCCAGAGTTGGTCACGACTGGACCTAATAGTCAGGGGTCTCTTTACCTTTACCTTTTTACTATGATCTGGCACTTTGAAGAAGCACTGAAAGCCTCTCTGCATGCAGCAAGAGTTGTCTTGAAATGCCCAGCCCTCCCTCACGTTAAAGCCCAATGCTCATGACAAGCAAGCATTCTTCAAAATTACTTTAAAAAGTTTATTCCAAGATTCTGAACAGTAAAATACTAATCTGCCCCCTGCTGCCTGTCTTAGATCTCTTGCTCAACACGAAGGGATGACTGCTAAGAGATGTCTGCAATAATTATTAAGCGGTGCCCTCATAACAGTTTTAGAAAGAAAACAGTAACTGAGGCAGGGTTTTCAATGGAGAAAAGGAAAATGTCTTCAAAGTCATTTTGGAGTTAGATCTTTAAGTTAGAAGAAAAGCTAACATAAACATAAATATACGAAAGTTCTTTTAATCCTTATCAAAAGGATCAGTAGTTGGGCCCTTAACTTCCCAAGATGACCTCTGTATTCCATGGATATTGTGAAGATTCTTCACTTTGTGTCTTTTTTTCAGCACTACAGCACCTTCTCTTGCTTTCCTCTCCAGAGGTGACCTTACACACCAGTCAACGCAGGTATTTATTTTCCTTCTGTCTTAGTGGATGACTGTTTATTTTAAGTAAGTGCAAAAGCCTCTTGGCTCAAGTCCCAATGAATTCCCAAAGTACTGCCCACACCAGCGTCATGCTGGATTGACGTTATGCCACTTAACGACAACCTTCTCTGGATTGGCAATTGTGTCTCTCCACTGAGCAGAAGCTTCAGGATTGTTGCTGTCACTGCTTAGCCAGACCTGCAGAGGAAGAGAAATCACAGGGGTCATTACAAAGGTCACACCAAAAAGCCATCTTTGACATTTATCTTGTTGGTCACCATACCAACAAAAAACTGTACATAAATACAGAGTGTGAGAAAAGAAAAAGCTAAAACACGCGGGGAACAGTCTATACATGTTTGTTTTTTAAAATCTGGATCATTGCTGTGGGTTGTAGTAAGTTGTCCATTTTATCTGATCGTTTAAAATACTTTCATGCAAATCCCCAAGGTGGTTTACAACAGCAGATACACAACATAAGAAAACAATACGTTAAAACAAGGTAAGTATAAACACATCACAATAAAGAAACAGACTGAAATGCAAACAACCATTGTAGCCAGATAACCTCTCAAGGCTTGGCATGTTTCCATGGATGTTATCTGATTTTATATTTCTATGGTATTTTGTGGGAGGGGGGTGTTCAAAGGATTACTATAATGGCCTGTTGCTGCTGCTGTTTTTAAATAATATTGCTCCATTGCAGAAGAAATTCACTGCTATCAATTATGGCTTCCCAACTTAAAATGACTTTAAAAGGAAGCCTAGACAAATTCATGGAATATAAAGCTACTAGTTGCATGCTTCTTCCAAGGTCTGAGGCAGCATGACCCAATAGCTGTGGAACAACAGTGGAAGAGTGCTATTGCCTTCGTGCTTATAGGGTTATCATCACAGGCACCTAGATGGCCACTATGGCAAATAGGATGGTGGACTAGATAGGCCTTTGATCCAGGAAGGCTCTTATGTTCTTAGGAGTATAGAACAAACAAAAAGCTAACCTCCAGCCCAGCTTTTATGGGCTTTAACCTTCGCTCTGCTTAGACACTCCCTCTGCGGAAGTTGAGGCTTTCAGCTTCCCTGCCTAACAGCTGATGTGCAACAGCTGCCGCTGCTTTCCCCCACGTGCCCCCCAGCCTCTTTAATTCTATGTGTGGATATTTTTGGATACAGTAGCAGCAGAGAGAGCGTTTAAAGGGTGCTCCCCACTTTACCCGATTTCACTTATGCACACGGGGGCCAAGAACATAACCCTTGTGTAAGTTGGGGGACGCCTGTGCTTTGGAAACATCCCTGAAGCACATGTCTGCAACAGAACATGTTATTAAAGCTGTCCAATTGTGCTTTCTGGGTTGTTGAAGGAGGCAAGAGGTAGGGGAGATTGCAAAATGAGATTTTACCGTACTTGGAAGTGTGCATGATTTATGCATCTCATGCAAGACTGTTAAGATTAAATGTCAGTTAGTTTCAATATTTCACACGAGAGAGTCGCAGTTCACGTTTTATTAGCCAGTTTGGTGAAGGACAATCCTATCTACTCACAGGGAGCAGCTTCCCTTACACTGGAAGGCTTACTCTATTATACAATCAGGAAGCAACACTTTAAAAACACAGTTTTGCCCTACTCAGCTGGTGGAGGAATTGTGAGCTGACATTTCCTCCTCAATAGGAGTAATGCAAACAGATAACCAGCTCCTTGTACATCAATGGCCCTCCACTAGTAAATGTGTGACTTGTTTCATTTCAGGAAGCCTATGTTAGGAGTCTGTTGGGCTCTTTGCTCCTGTTCACATCAATTGGCCACCTCTGCCAGGCCACTAGTATGAAATGTACGGTCCAGGGGCTTTATCAGGTCCTGTGGGGGGGCCACGGGGTATGCCCCTTCCACACTCTACATATTCAGGGCTATAATCTGCTGCCTTTGTAGGACAAAAGGGCTAAGTCACCAGTGTCTTCTACTACATGCCAAAGCAGGAGTCATCCTTGTCCCCTCCTGAGGAACAGCACAAGTCAAGCGGTGCAAGTGAACGTAAGAGGGACAAGGGGAAGGGCACAGCAGTGGAATGTACAGAATCTGCAGCTTGCGTGGCCACGGCCCCCACTTCCCCGACTCAGGGGAGAAAAACACGTCAAGGCACATACTTTTGGATCAAATAAGGCCACAGCTTCATTGCCACTTTCCCATATTCCTCATGATAGCTAGAGGAAATCCATTACTTGTGAGGAACAATTAATGCAGAATTAGAGGTGTTACCTGCACTGGATATGGTAGAGGTTTCAGGGACGGATTAGGCTTTTGCTATAAAAGATCCGTACTGTGCTAATATAGTGAAAGGACATTCCTCTCTCCATCAGCCATTCTGGGGAGGAACTTGGCAGGGGCAGCCTTTGGTAATCTTTCGTAATATGGCACCCTGTAATAGGGTATGTGCATAGGCATTGGGTATAACCTGAACAAACAGCTAGCTTGATGGTTTTTTTGTGGGGAAATGATGCATGTGGATTCTGGGAGCCACTGGTTGGGAAACCTATTATTATTATTATTATTATTATTATTATTATTATTAATATTATTATATTTTCATTTCTGTATCACTTTATATTTTTAAGGAAAAAAATCTCAGAATCATTTACAGTGGTACCTCAGGTTAAGTACTTAATTCGTTCCGGAAGTCCGTACTTAACCTGAAACTGTTCTTAACCTGAAGCACCACTTTAGCTAATGGGGCCTCCTTCTGCCGCCACGCTGCCGGAGCATGATTTCTGTTCTCATCCTGAAGCAAAGTTCCTAACCCGAGGTAATATTTCTGGGTTAGCAGAGACTGTAACCTGAAGTGTATGTAACCCAAGGTACCACTGTACAGCACATTAAAACATCACATTACTGAAGAAAGTCAAATATAAAGTATACATTCAAGGCAACATAATTAACAGGAAACTAAAATATTATCTTAAAAGATTTCAAAATAAAATATTACAATGGAGGTCAACTGCAGAATGCACATTTAGCATAGCAAAGTTAACAAAAAAAAATATTTTAAACGTTTCAAAATAAAACATTATTAAAGGAAGGCAGAGATAAAATGCATATTTAAAACAGCATAATTAACAAGAGAATAATTAAGAAACAACAACAACAATTTGCATCCCACCCATCTGATTGGGTTGCCCAACATATAAAATCATTAAACTTTAAAAAGGCTTCCCTATACTGGACTGCCTTCAGATGTCTTCTATGCTTATAGAACATATCTGCAGCTGTTGCTGCCAATCCAGCCAATGGTGGTCCATGGCAGGCAGTGGCTGAGGGTCCATGACTTGGGTATGTACTAAGAGACAGACAATATGGTCTCTGGCCTCCTCAGCTTCTGTAGCTGGAGTCAGTCAGGGCCCTGCACCCTCTGGCCAAGTGGGAAAAGGCCTGCAAGGCAAGGAGCAGGTCCCCCAGGACTCAAAGCCAAAGTCCATTCCATTTGGATTTTGAGTTTAGGATCCCAGATCTAGTCTCAAGTTGAGCTAACTAACTAGCACTTCACAGGAAGAAGCTTGAAGCTGAAATTCACAAGATTTGATAAGCAGAAGGAATTTTTTTGTTTTTAAAAAGCATAGCGCCAAAGCAGAGATGTGACCTAACCAACTTCTAAAACTTCAGACTCATGTTAATTTCCAGCTTAATAGTGTGTGTGTGTGTGTGTGTGTGTGTGTGTGTGTGCGCACACACACACACAAATAAACCAACCTGTCCCAGAAGGTGTTTTCTTCTCACTGAGCTCCTGCTGTATAGTCTGATGAGGAAGTTTATCCCATGTTCATTGTTGCTCACTGGAAAAATCATAGTTTCTCCCCACTTCACTCGACCATTTGTGGATTTCAGTAGCCGGGTCTTTTTCTTATCAACCAGCCCTTCAGTGCTAAGCATGGCAGCCTTTACAAAATAATCTAGCATGGAAGAAAATGGCAGTAAGAGATAGCAGGCAGGCAGGTAAAATAAATAATAATGATGATAACAACAACAACAACATCATCATCATCACTGGAATAGGGACTAAAATATTCTTCACAGTCACAGTTTTCTAAAGGAGGGACTTCCCCTTATCCTCAGCAGTCCTGCCTGCCTGTTTTCTCCCATAGAACTGAACTGGTGCAACTAAAATTTAGGACATCTTAAACCTTTAGCATTTGATCAGACTTGCACCAGAGAGTGTAGCAGAACCTATGAATTAGATTATTTATAATAAAAGAGCAAGAGAGGGGTTGCAAGAATAGTATAGTTGCTTCCCTTATTACTCATATTTTCATACACAGGGCAGAGCACCTCTCCATACATATCAGAGTACTGTATAAATACTACTCTTATATTACAGAATTAAAACAAACATGTTGCTTGCTTTGCATACCAAACACAGACAGTAGAATATCTACTGGAACAGATATATATATAACGGAAGTAAAATTTAGCTAGCACTCCACCGGTGACTTTATGTCAAATACTGACAATGGCTGATCTATATACTATTGGCAATCAAACTGCTTGTCTACGCTGCCAAAGTATTCTAGAAAAGGACATATAAAATCATTGCAATACTTACTTGAAGACAGTGGTGTGGTGGAGCTTGGGAGGTTCTGGGCTTCAAAAATTTGCAACTGGATCCTACTGTTTACTGCTTGAAAACAGGTGCCTATTTTCATTTCTGCAGGGGAGACCTGGACGGAAAATAAGAATGCAAAGTCATATTCCATTTAACTCTGAGCCAAGTTGTACAGCTCTGAAACAGAAGGTCTATATTATAAGTGAAGAGATCAGATGTTATGAATTACTTTCTGTTATGACGCATACGAGGAATGCCAGCTTACTTGGGAGTGTTGGACCGGTAGGCTCGTGCACATTCTGGGTTGAAATGTCACAACCCTGCCAAATGTGTTAGAATTTCTAAGCCAGAATCCAAACAGCCACATAAGCTCATGGAAAGAAGCTTGCACCAGCAATGTGGAATCTATTTTCTTTAGACAGCAGGATTCCCACCTCCACTCCCACAGGCTGTTGTTAGAAGAAAAGCAATTCCACTGGACTCACAAAATTAATTTCATGGTTCTTTGGAACCTGTCCCACCAAAGCTTAATACGTGAGGCCACAATATGACTCCTTTGTGTAAAACTCTATAGTAGCAAGGCTCCATAATTAAAATCCACCCACCACCTGGTAGGTTGAATACATCTGCCTATCTAATCCCTATTTTTCTGTGTCATAAGCATGCCCAAGTACAGTTAAAGAAAAGGTTTATTGCCTCTGTCAATCGCAGCTGTAACAGTTTCAGATTCAGCATACACCATAAATTAGCCAAAGATTCACAATGTTTTCCTCAGAACTCTTAGCAACCAGTTGTTGTTGGCTACAGATTATGGAGGTTTTCTCCCTAAATCAAGTTTTGCTTCAGAGCACACAATCTCAGGGAGGAAAGGAAGAGCTGATTACCAGGACAGAGAACTACTAAGAACCAAAATCCATTTAAAAATCATTATTTCATGAAGAATTAAATGTTTTCAGAACACCTGATTGTTACCCATCAGCCAAAGAGCAGTTGTATTTCAAGGTTGTGATATTCTATGACGTTCATAGATTTTTCAGAATAGAATATAAATTAATTTTACTGAATTGTGCTTAGGTGTATTGCATGAGATGCAACAGCTGTATACTACAGGGAACCAATAATTTAGTGTTCATCCACGCTTCCCCAACTGCTTTCCCCTGGGGAAATCCCACTGTTTACTGCTGAATCAGAGAAAACATCAACTGTGTTTTCCCCAGATTTATGTTTGTTCTGAGTTAGTGCTAAAGAGTGTTTTTTTCCTGCAGGAAAGCAGCAGGGCAAAGACAAAACTGCCCGGACTCATGGTTAGACGTGAGGTTACAGGGAACCAGGCAGAGGGCCTTCTTGGTAGTGGCACCTGCGCTGTGGAATGCCCTCCCATCAGATGTCAAGGAAATAAACAACTACCTGACTTTTAGAAGACATCTGAAGGCAGTTTTATTGTGTTTTTAATATTCTGTTGGGAGCCACCCAGAGTGGCTGGGGAGGCCCGGTCAGATGGACAGGGTATAAGTAATAAATTATTATTATTATTATTATTATTAACAACACAGGACAAGCAGAAGTGTGGACAAGCCCTTAGTTTTCTTACATTCCAAGTTATCTAGGATTACCCATCTTGCATCAAGGAAGGGCAGAGTCTTTTTCTGTGATCCAACCTCAGAATGCAGAACCTATTATTAAAGTGCAGTTAACATAGCCAGGGGGTTCTTCATTCAGGTTATCATGTTGATAGTTATCAAGGAATAACTTAGTAGAAGGCACAAGAAGTAAACAGCAATTTGTTTGTTGTATTTTCAGGATCAATGCAGTTGCTTTTAAAATGATGATAAAGGATCAGTTTCAGAATCCTAGTCAGTACTCAGATGTGCCCTAAGCAATGTTCATTCCAGATGACTTCCAATGCTCCTTAGAACACAGTAACTTACTGAAGCTTTGGAAGGAGGTGCTACTGCCAGCCAGTTGTCTGTTTCTTGTGAGCTGAGCTCTCGCAGCGGCAAAACACATTCCCCGATAGTTTTCTTCCTAGGAATCTGAGCTTGTACTTTGAAGACAAGCCTCGCAGTCTGCAGAAGTTGCAGTTTGATGGCAAATACAAATGTTTCCATGAATTCAATTTCCTACAAGGAAAGGATAATAATTATATAATGGAGCAATCAAAACGGTGAACCTAATCCTAACAGCAAACACACCAGCAGCACTATAGCGCTTTATTAAAGCGGATGGCAGTTTAGAAATAAACAATAGGAGCTTTCCAGTTGATTGTAACACCTAGATTCTCATCTCTGGTGCTATTTGTACATTAGCAGTCATCCAAAAGCAGTGGGGAAGCACCCTTTTAAAACTAGCAGGACCAAAGGCAGGACCAAAAAATTAAGGAGAAACGATCCATAAGCTTCCATAAAAGCAGCAGACTGCAGAAATTAATAAAGATTCTTATGAACAGAACAAAAAAGAGGGAACCTGTCAGATCTCCACTGGTTGCATAATCTCATGTAACAACATGATAGGAAGCAGGAGTTCAGATGTCAATCTTAAAGCGTGGGCTGGTCCTATAGAACTGCCTGGATAATGGATAATGCTACATCTGCTGTGATGAACTCATGGGGTGGAAAGTTCCCCAGAGAACAAAGCCTGATGCTTTTTGGAATGTCATTGTTTACACGTGGAGAACTGAAGGGGAAAGAGTATGGACATAAGGCTCATGCCAGGACTGATCAAGCAGCTATTAACAGTTCTGAGAAGGTCTCAAGACTTCACAGGAAGCCTCTGAAAACGAAGCCCAAATCAAAAACCTAAATGCACACAACTGTGTAATTTCCCCCAGATTCTGACTGTGACAGATAGATGTAATTGAAGTGATAGGTGTTGACACTTGTCCCTGGCTTAAGCTCAAGCAAAACAAAAAGATCACAGCAACATGCTGCATGGTATGTTTTAATGCACAAGGGGAGGGACCCTAGAAAAACAGAACTCTGGAAAAACATAGGGTTGTCAATTTTTTCCCTGGCAGGGCTTCTGTGCCTTTAACAGCTGCATAACAGGCAGAAATCAGTAGGCAAAACTTACTCTGCTATAGGGATTCAGAGATGGAAGGAGGTTTAAATTTTTTAATGCAGCTGTTAGAGGCATAGAGACTCTACCAGTAAGAGTTTGTAATCCTCCCAAAATCACATTGCTGCCCAAGTTATCCACATGACGGCAAATGCCATAAGCAATGAGGCACACAGACCGTTCTACTGCACTGAATGGACAGCAAAGTTGTTACACTGGTGGGATGGTTCAGCAATGGGCCTTTATTTTGCCTCTTAAGTTGTGCAATATCTTTAGAGTCACCAACACTCATATTTAAAAGTAGCCTCCTTTAAGGTAAGCTCAGCCCTATGGACCAGCAAACACTCATTTTCTCATGTTAAACTGAAGCACATGGCTCTCAAATCGGTGTAATTGACTTCTAGTCCTGCTACGCTCTTAAAAGACTCTAACTCCTGCTCCTGCGGACCTCTCTCTAGGTCAGATAACGTTATAAGATCAGTGAAGAGTCTATGTGTGCCTTTTAATGTCAGGCTTGGTCCAGACTCTGCCACTGTGAACAAGGGAAGCAATAAGGGGCACCACCCATCCTATCCAGAGCAACTGGTGAGTAATCAAAGGTATCAACTCTAATTACCGCTTTTGAACTAGAATAGAGCCATGTTACCAGGTGCAAAATCCCTTCTCCATTTTGCAGCTTTTCTAACACAGAGAGAGCATGAAACTTAAAACTATTGAAAGCGCTGAAAATGCCCAGAGAGAGGACAACAGGGGTCCCCAAGTGTTTGCAAAAATTTACAAGGTTTAGTAGCCACTGAATAGTTCCTTACATGACACCCTGGCATAAAGCTGGTTTGGTCTCTATGGATATAATTAAGTGATAAAACAATTTAGCCTCTGCACAAGACCAGCAGACAGGATTCCTTCATCTTGACTGACTAGGGCTATTGGCCTGTAAGATTCAGTGGGGGGATCTCTAGCAGTTCTTGAAAACAGTGATTCACATATGGGGATGGGGGGGGGGGAATCAAGATTTTTTTAAAGTGTCACTTACACTGGAAGCTTCCTTTGGTGAGCATCTGAATTGCACTGGCTTGGGCAGTGTAATAGTTCCTTTGATGGAAATGTGGGGATTTTCTCCAAGGCTAGATGACCAGCACAGATCTTTGCACTGCAATTTTGGAAATAGAAAACGGCTTTTATCCTACTGGCAACCAAACTGCTTGTCTGGTTTATTTGCTTGCTTTAACATTCCTGCCTTATTTGTAGGTACTGCTATTTTCAACCCTCTCCCTATAAGAATGTGGTTCTCCAACCTCACAGAATCTCAGGCAAACTTTTGCAGATTTAGAGAGCACTAGCTGGGGGGCGGAGAAACCATTTTGCAATGGGTCTCCCTCCAAGATGCTTGTTAGCATGCAAGCCTCACCCCAACACCGAGCTGGTCAACATTAGATTAACAGATTGACACAACATAAAAATCACCACAGAATATTTGTTAGCTTAAACCAGTAGGAAACCCCCTCCCTCCAAACAACATTTCCTCTCCAAATAACACACATGGTGTTGTCGAGACGAAGCTTTGTATGCACACGCGCCCAGATTCAGACCCTCACATCTCCTGTTACAAGGATATCACAGAGCAGGTGCTAGTCATAGTAGACATTTGTGAGGTAGAAGGACCAATGATTGACTCGGTATAAGGTAATTCCATTTCTTATCATCTACAGTAATTATTAAGTTTGCAGATGATACTACCATAATGGGCCCAATTGCAGGCGGAGATGAAACAGTGTATAGGGGGGAGGTTCAAAAATTATCTACAGAGAATAACTTGCACCTAAGTATTAGTAAGACAAAGGAGATGGTGTTGGACTTCCGGAGGAAGAGAGGGGAACCTGCCCCGTTGTATATGGGGGGGGGCTGTGTGGAGAGAGTCTCCTCCTTTAAATTCCTGGGAGTTTACCTTAGTGAGAACCTCACTTGGAAAATCGACGTAACTCAGGTAGTCAGAAAGGCCCAAAAGAGACTCCATTTCCTCAGGGTCTTGCGAAAGAATAATGTTAAACAACAACTGATGAACTCCTTTTACTGGTCTACAATAGAAAGTGTCCTTTCATATTGTATCACAGTGTGGTATGCTGGCCCGACAGCCACGGACAGAAAGAAGAGTAACTGTGAGACTAACTGTGAACTCAGTTCTCGAGGTCTTGCTAGGCTCACTTACTTTCAAGATTGTGATCCAGATCTGTTCGACGTGAGGAACGTAGCACACCTTCACATTAAGCCTGCCAAATTCTCGCTCATCCCCTGATAACGTAATGGTATCTGTGGATAAAGCCAAGAACTCATTTAGGACTTGTTCTCAAAGACTGCAAAGCACTGTTCAAATTGGTGAACCAGGATTATCAGCAATGTTATTGTTGTAAAAGAGCAGCCTCACTATTTATTTCCATTTATAATTCATCACGCTCCTGTTATCGTCAGGATTCATGGATGTATGACCCACGGGGAAATATAGCAGTTGTGCATTGAAGTGCTGCAAATGTTTCTACTGCTGTTTCAACTATTTGTAAGTTAATCCCAAGTAAAAATGCATTGTTGGAGGCTTCTTGAAACTATATTAACAAATTACATAAGGTTGCAACTTTTTCCTCTTGGAGAGCTCTGTAGTGAACATCTATACTAATAGGACAAAACAGGTGAACCTTTTCACTGTTGTATATCCACCCCCATAAAAGTTTTGCCAAAAGGCACAGAACCTTTGCCTGAAAATAGCAGCTGTAACTTGGTAATGTTGTACATTCTGATCCTGAAGGAGCTTTCATGTTTCTCCTTCATTTATGGGGTAGTTATCTTCCTGTCTGTCACACGCCACATACAACTAATTTCATTTAAGTGTGATTTAATTTCATTAAATTCTTCGCCCTAGTAAGGCACAAGTTGGAAGCCATGTTTTGATCACACAGCAAGGTAAGTTCCCTTAAAAGTGCCTTATAAAAAGGGCAATCTCAGGACAGATGTATTCCTGAGCTGGATACCTGCACCAGGTGGCTGTCCAAACAGAATAACAAGGTGATAATAAAACAAAAGCCAAGGCAACTGCACTTATCCTTTTCTAATTAGATGGGATAGCACTTCAACTTGATTCCAAGATGACTGCTTGCCTGATTTATCACGTTGGCAACAATGACCTGACCTACTACATCCTGAAAATCTGTTGTATTTTCTTAACCATGTTGTATTCCAATCAGTCATCTCATATTTGCCCAATACCCAGCTCCCTGCTTACAACAGATCCTGACTACTCAGCTTACAGCCATTGCCTTTACTGTGGGCTTCCAACTAAATGAACCTCTCTAGGAACAGACTCTCCATGGACCAGAATCAAACATTCAGAAAAAGCACATGGTACAGTCCATTCTGGTTTGTACCAATTCAGGCTGCATGTAGGGACCTCCATATTCGAGTGCTTCCATGAAAAGGCTCCATCTGTGTGCAGTGTCATGTCAAAACCCCTCCACTTGGACATGTTAGCTTTCCAATTACATGGAGAAGGATTCAAATATGTAAGCTTTCGTCCTGTCCCTCCCTCATGTATCGATTAAACAGAGCAAGTAGACATTCTATTTCTACATATTTGAACTAGAACTTACATTCATGAGGATAGAGCAACTCGGGCTTGAGCTCTGACTAAACTGTACCTGCAGTGTGGCTCAATATACAGCCAGTCATTGCTTAATGGCTTACCATGAGCAAGCCATGAGCTCGCTGGCAGTGCTTTTCTCCATTTCCTGGCTGGGCAATACTGACACAGGTGTTATTCCGATGAGACGATATTGTCCTTCAGAGCTTTGTTCTTAAACAGATTGCAAATGGCTTTCTGCAAAAGACTTTCCCACACACTGGCTGTGCTGTATCCTTCTTTGGAACTGCAAATCCTTATGCTCTGGAGCACTGAAGTCATTGTAGCTGAGCTACAGTACTAATAATTGGTAGGAATAACAAGGCTGAAGCGGAACAAATCTGCAAGTTTCAGTCAGAGAGGCACAACCTTAGTTGTTCCTGAAAGATCTGTAAAACCGTAATATATAAACTATAATGGCTCGTGTCTCTGACACACTTGCGCATGGAAAAGCTCCATGTTCTCAAGCTCACAAGCTTCTCCCCAGAAAGAAGTAACTGGATGATTAGCTCTGAGCTTGCATTTTTACAGATCAGACACAGGTGTGTTTTCGGGAAATACTTCCATAAGCAACACATGACTTGTATTTGCATATGGACAAATTGTCCATATGCTTGATGTCATGTCTAAGCCTCAGATTTACTTTCAGATTTGAAAGAAGATGAACAAACAGTGTTTATTACCTAGACTCCTGTTACTACCGTGCGAGTCCTTCCTGGATGAAGTGCTGCTTGGAACACTGGAGACTGAATCGTACCTCTGTCAAAAAAACAAAAATGTACCTGATCAGTCAACGAGAAAACAACAACAACAACCAGAGATACAAGACCACCTATACAAACTCACACAGCTTGTCAATAGAAAAGGAGCTACTATGGAAGACACTGGCTCTTCCCTCCAACCTGAAATGCTATTGCAAAGCAAGAAAAACTGGAATTTGGCCACAATCTAGCCCACACTGGTGCTTCTTAAATCCCATTGAAGTAAATGGGACTAAAGTAGCAAAACCCTACAACTGGACTGTAGCATATGACAGTATCGTGCATATTTATCCAATTTCATATCATGTTGCTGCCACAACTTGGAAGGTGTAACTTGGAAGCTGAGCCAAACTGTAAATGCTGTTTAGTCAGAGTTTAAGCCAAAGTTGCTTTATCCCCATGCATTGCAGGGAGTTGGTCTGGATGACCCTTGGGGTTCCTTTTCAATTTTACAATTCTATGATTCTCCAAATGCACTGACAACAGTTTGTGAGCACCTCTTGAAAGGGCATGTGAAACCCATTGAAGGTTGAGGAGAACATCTCTAGCGCCTTCACTAATTTCATGCATCACAAAAGTAGTTACAGATTGGCCTAACAAGAAAAATTCCAGAGGGACTTGCAAATGCATTTAAGACAGTGAACACTGGATAGTCTTAAACTCACTCCTGATTTCCCCCTCAATCATATTTTAACTACTACCTGCCACCCAGCAAGTGGTGTGGCCCATATATACTCCATTTAGGCATTCTGGAATTGTTCCCGGTGTACACTACTATGGGTATTATGACTATAAATGTCTCCTTTTTTCAATGCACGTTACAATGACTTCTAAGGGCAATAATGTCCAGTTATGCACTGAAATTAGATGCAAAGTGCTTTGCCAATCACTTTCCATACTTTTGCTAACACAGCCACAAATTTTCACAAACAAAATGCATTTGAATCCAGTGAAGTAGGACTCTGAAAAAGGATGAGATAATTTCTAACATAACTGAGTCAGCCATTGGAAGCACCCAAAGAATAAGGTTAACAATGTAGGAGAGGAAAGCTTGCTTCTTGGTGGGTGCAGCCTTTAAGTTATGAAAAGAATTTATTACCTGCATAAATCGGTGGGGTGGACTTGTAAGGTCAAACATAGAGTGACTTAGAGAAGACGAGGCTGGCAATGTGGAGCTCCTTAAGTCACAAACTGAAAAGAAACGAAGAGAGACCCTTTGTTTAAATCTCAGGAACAATATAGGAGCCTGTACAAGCTGCACACAACTGGGGCAGAGATTGTATTATTCAAAACAATTAAATACATAGATAGTAGATTCAAAAGTAAGATCCTAGTATCTCACCCTAAGCATCTGTAGGTAAAAAAACTAGTCTCATTCAGACAGTTCTGCGTCAGTGACAACTCAGAATAACTTGTGATTTTTTATAAGGTAGGTATTTTACTGTGCCAGCCCCATTAAAAAGAAGGGAAGCTGCACAACTTTCCTGCAGGAGTTTTCTTGCCAGCTCCCAACAGTTCTCCACTAACTTGTGTCCACACAAAGAATAACTGTGTTGTATACACTGTCTGATTGCTGCCTGGTGACAAGGTACAGGGGACCAGGGCAACTAAACCATTTGATGTTTGCTAGCAGCTGTGCTGACCTGGGCATTTGTGGGTGGGGAATTCAAAGCAGCTGTGACCAGTTTCAAACACCTGGCCCATTGACTAAATGAACGAGTGCTGCTCAACATTGGAGATTTTTTCTCTGTCTCTCATTGTCTCCCTTTGTTTGTTTCTGAATGTGCAGAGGGTGCAGTACTTGGGCCTGATGGGTGGTAGGGCACTTAGTGTTTATAGCTCAGGGTGAGAACCTGGGCATTTGGAATACTGACAGGCCCATGCAAGGTGAGGGGCAGCTAGGCAGACTTGCCCTAGGCCTCAGAGGAGCTGGCTGCAAGTCCTCAAACACATGAAACAGTGGTGTGCTCCCAAAAACCACTGAGTTCATGGCTGTAAAGGGTCTTTACAATGCTGCTGTCCAGGTCACTTATTTATTTCAGTTGCAGATAATGAAGAGGCAGTGGTGGGATGAATAGTATTGCCACTAGTTTATTATTTACCTGACCCGTATAGTTTTCTTTTGTTAGATTTTTCTGGGCAGTACTGAGTCGAATCTGGAGAGAGAGAAGGCTGCTGGTACATGTAGAATGGATTATACACCACATCAACAAGAGGTCTTTGCTGGTATGTGTTGGAAACATCTGCTTTCCGGTCACCAAAATGTGCTATAGCAGAACCTGCAAGGCATGAGTTACATTATTAGGCAAGTCAGCATTTCACCTAAGTGTTGCGTAACATATCAGCGGGTCAGTCTACAGAGTCAAAAAACACATGTTTCCTCTTCCTAGGTTGCATGCCTGTGCAAAGGTCAGTGGCTGAGTTGGGAAATCCTGTAAAGTTATAAAAGGTTTTCCAGGACCCAAATACTTTTAATTGAGTATTGATACCAAGGGATATTACATTCATAAAAAGCTGAAAACAAATATAGAGAAGGGAGGTGCATTACTTTGCATGGTTATTGACATTGGCAAAGCATTAAAAATTACCTTGCGTATCCTAGTGCTTTACTTGGAGCTGCTACTAGACACTTAATTTGTGCCAAGAGTATGGTATGCTCAGTGTCATGCAGAACACAGAGAAGAGCTGGTTTGTGTCCAAGAAAAGTGTGCAGTCAAAGGGGTGTTCTAGATACACTGCTGCGACATGAAAAGCACGTAACCATGTAGGTATATCCGACATCACATCAAAGAGTGCACATCAGAAGTGCTTCCGCCAAGGCCAATGCTGACAATGCTGCCTGCGCATTGCAAATACACATATGCATCAAGTGCCCTTTAAATGTGATGCTAATCACACCAAATACCTATATGGGCAAGTGATCTTCACTCAGTATTAGCATCACTAAGTAAACAGAGGCAGCCTGACCCTATGCACGTCTACTCAGAAGCAAATCCCACTGAGCTCAGTGGGTCTTTCTCTCAAGAAAAGGCATATAGGATTGAAGCCAGGGTATGTATCCTGAGCAGACAAAGTTGAAAAGAGGAGACACAGCACCAATGACTGGGTGGCAGTCAGGCTTCATTATCCTAATATTCCTATACAACAGGAGCACTTTTAGGTCGATTGCACGATTTCTGTGATGCTCTTTCTTCACTTCTGATACTGCCTAGAGGAATGGGCAGGATCTTGCGTTAAAATCCAAATGAATAAAGAAAAAGAAATGTGACAGCTATCTGCCTCTGGGCTATGGGCAATGCAAGCAATTCACCGTTGAGTAAAATACTAGCATACAAGCCACCTTTTCCAGAGGGAAATTTTTAATGTTTGATGTTTTCGTATTTGTTGGAAGTTGCTCAGAGTGGCTGGGGCAAACAAATAATAAAATTCTTCTTCTACTACTACTACTACTACTACTACTAAAACTACGAAAGAACACTTTTGAAGAATGAAATTCATCAATGTGATTGTAAAATCTGTATCTGTTCCAGAAAAACCCTGCAGAAAAGGGGAAGATCCCAATAATTTTGTGTGTTTTAAATCAGCAGGCACAGAATATATTTTTTGACAGTCTTAGCCTTAATTCTGCATGATCTACTTTTTTACTTTAAGACTTTTAGCTACAAACAGGTAAGGACTAACTTTTTCGGCACGGCAACATATTTGAGTTGTTTTGCAGATCCTAAAATCAAGAATGCATTGCCTGATAAACCACCTGACTTGCAGAACACTCCCTGGCCTGAGAGTCCTTGAGGTGCACGTACTTCACAACAGGATACTATTTCCTCACTCAAAGGTCTCAAGGAGGGGGGACGGGCGAGAAGGAGCTTCCAAAACACACATAAACACACACACACAAAATCCACCACACAAAAGAATACATTGTCATGGGAACCATATCTGCATGAAACAAGACCTTGGCTCTACCTTCCAACCCAGATTAGGTAGTGGAAATAAAAACAGTTGGAACACAAATGATGGCCTGAAAAACACAGGTCTAATTATTTGAAGGGGTTGTAGGGAATGACTAATGCCAAACTCTGATTGAATCAGAAGCCAAAGAGGCTAAAAACATTCTTGGCAAAAGCCAGGGGCTTTCATTTTGGTGTGAATGGTTATACAAACAGAAGGAGGGTCCTAAGAGCAGGTTTTTCATCCTAAGAGCTGCATGTCGTGTAGAATTTTCCCAAAGACACACAGTGGCCTGAAACACTGTGGGTATTAAACAAGTTGGCATGCATTGCGGATGCAGGCAGCTCAACTCAACCAAGTGCCTCTGAAACTACAATTGCATAAACAAGCTGCTTTTAAGTCTGTTCTGTTTTCTTCCAGTGCTTTACCTTGAATTCCTCCAATGTGTGGATTGCCAAGGTTCCTGGGCTGAATGTAGGCAAGCTTGAACTGAGGAACCACAAAGGGCACATCCTTGCCACCTGGTGGGAGCTTGGAGAGAAGATAATCCTCCGAACAGCCAACCTGAGGTTTCACCAACACAGAAGACAAGGGAGGCTTCTCTACAACATTTGATCTATATTTGGCTGTAACTTCAGACTCCTTCTCCAGAGAAGCTGTAATTTAACATAAAAAAGCATGAGAAGCACATTCAAGCCTTGAATGAACAGTCTGAAATGATCTTTTGTGTTTTTAACAGGATCAGAGGCAAATAGGTTTTTCTATCCTGTTAAACTGCATCCCCAGAGAGGGAGCAGCAGGCAGTAAGTATATCTATCTCAGGAAGATTTGCAGTGGTTCTAAAGTGCTGTAAATCAATCCTTTTCACGGTTCACACAACTGCTTCGGAGAAGGTTTAGAAGGTGATTATTGAGAAGCAAGCTGTCCATTAAACTCAACATCACAAATGCAAAATTTAAATTGTAACCTTCACCATCTACACATGTGTTCTACATGGGGCTGTCTTTGAAGAGGGCTTGGAAATTGCAGCTGGTGCAGAATCCTGGCCCATCTGCACAGGCTAGTGATTAGTTTCCAGACCCAGTTCCAAGTGCTGGTTTTGATTTATGTGGTCAGGGTCACAATACATCAAGGGCCACCTCTCCCCACATGGACTAACCCAGACCCTTTGTTCTTCATCTGAGGCCCTTCTCTGTGTGCCCTCTCAGAGAGATGTGCGGAGAATGGCAACAAGAGAACAGGCCTTCTCAGTGGTGGCTCCACATTTATTGAATATCCTTCCTATGGAGGCAACCCCTGGCATCATCTATCTGTTTTTGGTTGCCAAGATCTGGATCTGCTTATCTTTTAGCAAGGTGAGGTGGCGTTGGATCTGTATGTATGTGTGTATGTATATATATTACTTGTGGAACTGAGGATGTTTTATCCTTGCTTTTAATGCTCATTCATTTGTAAGTTGCTTTGAGTTTCATTTTTATTTTATTTTTGCAAAAAGCAACTAATAAATAAAATTATTACATGTATTAATAATACAGTGGTGCCTCGCAAGACGAAATTAATCCGTTCCGCGAGAGTCTTCGTCTAGCGGTTTTTTCGTCTTGCAAAGCAAGCCCATTGACGGATTAGCGCTATTAGCGCTATTAGCGGTTTAGCGGCTATTAAAGGCTTAAAGGCTTAGGGGATTAGCTGCTAAAAGGCTATTAAAGGCTATTAAAGGCTTAGCAGATTAGATAAAGGGGGGGAGCGGAAAAAAAATCTCAAGACGCGCAAGACATTTTCGTCTTGCGAAGCAAGCCCATAGGGGAATTTGTCCTGCGAAGCAACTCCAAAACGGAAAACCCTTTCGTCTAGCGGTTTTTCCGTCTTGCGAGGCATTCGTCTTGCGGGGCACCACTGTAAATGTTAATAATCCGGGTTGTTACCCCGTGTCTATTCAAGTCTCTCTCTCTCTCTCTCTCTCTCTCTCTCTTCCTCCCTCCCTCCCATACCCCTCACACTTGTACACATTTACAAAATGTGCTCTGCTACAGAATGGAAGAGAGAAACTCCTTAAATTCTGCAGTTATGACAAAGTAATTAGTCAACAAATGACAACTTAAATGCAATCTTCAATGACAAATATGCAAACAGTGAGTGATGCCCAACACTGCCAATGCAAGACAATCTTGCACACTGAACATTTCCCTCTCTAGTCTTCTTCCCTGAAACCCCCAGTACCACTCAAAGGTAATTTTCCTCCTTCTAATGCAGCTAGTACAATTCATTCCACAAAACTGATAAATCGCTTCAAGAGAAATACGTTAGAGGGATTGGGGGGGGGGTTGCAGTGTTGAAGGAGGAGGAGGAAATATATATTGCATGAGCTCGTCTTCCATTCCTGCAATGTTGGCTATCACCCAATTGCCTTACAATGTCAACAGGATATTTAAACATTTCACCCTACTAATACAACCTGAAAAATAGAGTATAAATGAAATTTTGAAAGGCTGGTGCTCTAAATAGAACATAGCATTTCTGGTGATCAAAACGATTGTAAGACAGCTGCCAATATACCCACGCCAGTGTCAAAAAACATGCAAAATTTAATGGAACTCACCATCATGCTTTTCTTTCTCAACATACAAACATGCACTGCAACAGTTCTTGATGCATTCTGCTGCCATTACTGCTTCTAACACAAGCTGGAATGCAGTCAAGAATCCAAGTTAGAAATCAGCCCTGAAAATTAACCATTGCTTTAGATGAGAATACAGGAATTGAAAAGGACAAATTTCTTTCATTTGTACAGCATTTCATTTACCCACTTTCTATGCTGTTCCATACAATACAGTGGTACCTTGGTTTGCGTACGTCTTGGTTTGCATACGTTTTGGATTACAAACATGTCAAACCCGCAAGTGCGTGTCCCAGTTTGCCACCTTTTTTTGGATTACAATCCACTTTTTTTTTGGATTACGAACAAATTTTTTAAGGAGGCCCCATTGGCGAAAGCGCACCTTGGGTTACAACGTGTTTTGGTTTACAAACGGACCTCTGGAATGGATTATGGTTATAAACCAAGGTACCACTGTACTTAGAAGCACAGTGTCCTAAATTAAAACACTTGCTTCATTGGGGTTTCTAGACAGGAACTGGTAAAAAAAGCACTAGGCTTGTGCAAGATGTCACACAGGCAACTCACAGCTTTTGGTGCTACTATGCCCAATTTATCTCCTACAAGGAAATACTGTTAAATAAAATGTGCTTCTATAAGGAAATACATGTGACTTCTAAAAGGAAAGGAAAAAACTCTCTGAAATGGGTCATGTGCCTAATAAACATGCACTGAGCTATTAAGAGAACAGAAGGCCAGCAGCAGCAGCACACTCCAGGCATTTTTATAAACAGGTGTGAGGAATAGAAATTTCAGCTTATATTTGCTTCCTTCCTTCCTTCCTGTGCTGCAACATACTCCAAATGCACTGCTGCAGAATTCTTCTAGGATGATGGAATTCAAACCAGGGCCACACAACCCAAGGATGGCCCTATCAGTCCAAAGCAACCAAATATCTAAAGAGAGGGAGCATCTCATAAAGAATTCACAGAAGGAGCACACACAAATGCAGTGTGAGCTATGCAAAGTAATGGCCAGTTCACACAAATCATCCAACATGGAGCTGTGTTCCTATGCCATTAATTGTAAAAAGGTAAAGGACCCCTGACAGTTAAGTCCAGTCGTGAACGACTCTGGGGTTGCGGCGCTCATCTCGCTTTACTGGCCGAGGGAGCCGACGTTTGTCCGCAGACAGTTTTTCCGGGCCATGTGGCCAGCATGACTAAGCCGCTTCTGGTACCTATTTATCTAATTGCACTTTGACGTGCTTTCGAACTGCTAGGTTGGCAGGAGCTGGGACCGAGCAACGGGAGCTCACCCCGTTGTGGGATTCGAACTGCCGACCTTCCGATCGGCAAGCCCTAGGCTCAGTGGTTTAGACCACGGCGCCACCTGGGTCCCTGCCATTAATTGTACTTAGGTGTATTTTATTGGGTTCTAGCCACTGTTTCAATCTGCTTCTTTTTTTGTCTCAGTGGTTTCCTGCTATTATTATATTTTGCAGTCTTTGACTGCTTTACACTGACTGTTGTAAACTGCCTTAAGGACATTCATGTCAACAGGTGTGATAGGATTTCAATAACTAAATGCATCAGAATGTTGAATTTTCACAATTCTAGCATAGGGACTTGACTTGGTGACCCACTGTCATGGTACGTCTTGATAGTATCAAACATTTTTCCATATCAGATTCATCCCTGCTCTCTGTTCAGGGTTTTGATATTATCCTGTCACCTGGCTGCTAGACCAAATACAACTCACATTTGAATAGATGTGAAGATAAAAAAAATGCTCTTGAGACTAAGAAATGTAAGATCAAAGTTGTTGTTTTTTAAAAAATAAAACTCCACCAGACACACTCCTAAAGAATTTAATCATTACTACTTCAATGTAGTTGGACTAGAGAGCATAAATATGTTAACGATTTCCAGATTTGTTTTGTTGGACAACAAGTTAATCAGATAAATCTGATATCAAAGCCTTAATTCCCAGACGCAAATATTTGAAGAGGAAAGCAAATACCTTTAACAATTAAGTAAAAAAAATGGCCATAATAGGAACCAACTGTAAAGAACATAAACAATCAAGAGCTGAACATGATCTCTAGAGAAAAGCAGGTCTGTTATTGTGGTTGCTATAAGTCAGTAATTGACTATTAGGGCTTTTGTGTGTGTAAGTCATCTTAATCTTTGAACATAACACCCCCGCAAAACAAAATACTCAGCAGCGACAATACAGTGTAAAATTACAAGTCAGCAGTCTGAAGCCTCAGGTTTATTGGGTAGTACCTCTGGTGGGGGGACGAAACATCATGCTCCTTCTGGGATAGTTTGTCCACCTTTGGTCCCCACCCTGCACTCAGTTCTCACCTGTGCCTCCAAGAAGCTGTCAGCATGCAACAGCGACCACACCCCAGAAAACAGCTTTGACTGGCCAGCTAAACCAGGTGAGAGTAGCTGATAGGTCTCAAACCCTCAGTGAGTTAGGGTCTTGCCCTGCATGGGAAGATAGGCTCTGGTGGATTGAGCAGACTAGACCAATAGCAGGCCCAACAGGGAAGAAGGCAGTTTCTGCATGTGCTGCAGAGGGAAGTGAGGGGCAGATGGGGCTCATTAAACTGGGAAGGTAGCCCATCTACGAGAAGGAAAACTCTGATCCTAAACCTCTGCTGCTTTGTGGGATAACTTTGGAAAGGCTAAGGAGTATAAACCCTACAGAATTCCGGAGTGGAGTCCCCAGGATGGTTGGGTGGTGCCTTGTACATCTCCTTCTGGAGACTCCTGCAGCCAAGCTGGTGCCAAACATATTGCTCTGCTTTCCTTTGGACCACATCAGCAAGGCCAAAGAAGTTATACAGAGCTTGGATCCCTCAGCAAGATGAGCCGACTTGCCACTATTTTATCCGATGGTATTCACCCAGAGAAGTGTAGGTCCTATGCTAACTTCGCCATAAGCCTAATTAGGCCAATGTGTCGAACATTCTCTACCACTGCCACAAGCCTAGTTCAGACTTCTCTGAACTGTTTCACATGTAGTGGCCTGAGCAGTCCCAAGGAGGCAGCTGAACAGAGGAACAGCTGAGCCATCTCCTTGCAGTTGCTACTGATATTTCTCAGCACCGATTTGCACAAGAGTGCCAATAAATTCTTGCAACAGCTATGGTCACACAAATCACTGCCAGAAAGCGGATATCCTGCAATTAACAACTTTTCTTCTACGTGTACCAAAGCTAAACAGAGATAACCATTACATTTTTTAAATACAATAAATACAATACAATAAAACAACCATATAAGAATAAGAATAAGAATAATACATTTCTTGTGGCATTTGAACACCACTTTAAAGACTTCTTCTTCTTCTTCTTTGCACAATGGCAAGAAGTTAAGCTCCAGAATTTCTGTCTCTCAACACCTGCATTCTGCATCCACAGAGAGATTCAGGTTGTAAAACGAAAGACGTCAACAGCCCAACTGTTAACGTTAACTAAATACACGAGTTATGCCCAAACAAGATAAGCAACTGTTTGTGAAGTGGAAAAGTATTTGAATACCTGTATACATAATATACTAGGCTCAACCGGTAAGAACATGTGCTTCAGGGAGTGAGGGACAGAAATTCTAGCATTTGTTTTACGGGATTGGCGGGGTGGGGGCTGAACACAAACCTAACGTACAACAGCAGAAACAGGGAGATTGGTTCTCTGGAATTTGCCTTCTGCTACCCTGCCAGAGGAGCAATGTACCAGCATGCATTTCCTTGGAATCCTGATGATCAAGCTGCGTAAGAACAGTCCTATTAGATCAAACTAGAGGTATACGTAGTTCAGCATATTGTTTCCCCACAGCAGTTGTTAGAAACAGAGATATGAAAGCCAGGAGCTAAATGGCACCTTAAACCTAGGTTATGGGTGCAACAATGGAATGGCTAGGTGCCCTTTTTTAATAACAAGAATAGAAAGCTGATAATGAATGAAAATGTTATGTTCATTTTTCACATGGTCTGGTCCTTCCCCTGCCTGCCCCCCCTAATCTTCTTAAGAGGGTCTCTTCTCCAGTCTTCGGAGAGTGGCTGGAAGTGGGGAGGTAGAAAAAGGTCCTCCTTTCCTTCCACTCTGCAGTTTTAATCTGACGTCTTATGTACAGCACTGCGCCCAGAGCTCAGAAACTGCTCGCGCTAATGAAACTTCTTGTCGCAAAGTGCACCTTGAGCAATGGGAGTTTTGAACACTGTCCCACAGAGACAATCTAGGGAAGCATGCATGCAGGAAAGGAGTGTAATAACCATCTCCTTCTCTTATCAAGAAACATTACCCCTCTCTCTCCCTGGAGGTAATGTTGCTGCAGGGGGGAGGTTATGTTTGAACAATCAAAGGTCGTGCTCTTTGACCTGCTCTGCCCCATCCCTCTACTTGAGACCAATACTGTATCTCTTTGATATTTTGAGTGGGGTGGGCAGGGGTGAATTTTACCTTTAGGCAGGATAGATTATATTTGGCTTTTAACTGTTGCTTTTTAAAATGATGTTATTGGGATTTTTTTGTGTCTTCAGTTTGTTGCCTTCAGGTGTTCCTTTAATTTCTTATTTACATTAACCATTGTAAGATGACTTCGGGGTCCTTCTGGCAAGAAGGGAGCACAAAAATAAGCTCTAAATTAATTGGTTTATCATGACCAGTGGCCATCGATAGTTTTAGCCTCCATGGATTTGCGTAATTTTCTATACCTCTACCATGACCTTTTTTGTAAACTTAAGAAAAATCAAACCTTTTCTTGTGGGGTGGTTGCTCCAGCCCCGTGACCATTTTGTCTGTCCTCCTTTCGTTTTTAAATTTAAAAATAAGGGTTATTTCTGGTTACTTCCTTATGTCTGGTTGTTCTTTGTGCTTATTTGATAGTTAGCCATACTGAACATTAAAAAAAGAAAGGCAAGGTATAAATATTAGAAACAACAACAAGGGACAGGGAGGTGCGCGTGCTTTATTACCAGATGCAAGAAAAGCAGACAGTCAGGATATGCCATTTCAATCTGGGTGGAGTTTGCTTCCATTTCACCCTCCTGCTTTTTAAAAGGCCTTATTGTGCCTTAAGTTCCTTGAAGTGTATATCCATGTCATTCTTCTCCCTTGTTCAAACAAGATACGCTGAATGTATTCCCTGTCCTCATGTTTTCTACTACACCTGTGGTATTATTACCCCTTATTAGGTAGATTAGCTTGCTGTTAACCTCTGCCTTGCCCTAATCCTATGCAACACTACCCCAATTGTTCAGCCTGTCCAACTCAGTTCCATCTTCTCCTGCATCATCAGGTCATAGGCTCCAGAAGAATTTGATCTACTCTGGCTTCCCTCCATTCAAAGCCCACTCTCTTAACTAACGTGAATTATTCTGCTTTTGATGAGTTTCAGTGGCGACTTCACTGCCTTAGGAAATACAAGTGACATTCTGCTGAAATGCTTGTAAGTTAAAAAGGTTTCACAGATGGTTTAACCTAATTCAGACAATAGCAGGACAATTTCAGCTTCTGCTGTAGAAGAGCTTCTAGCTCAAAGCTGCAAAACAAACTGATGGAGATTCGGTTGTGACTAACCTTAGCTAGATCATGGCTCAAAGCAAAAACAACAAAACCCAGATTTTTTTCCCCAACACATAGTAGGGTGTGGGGCTAGTTAATTAATTATCATTTGCAGGGGAAAACCCCCACAGGCTTCTCCAATGGAAAAAGATCCCAGTACACTATTGCTACTTAGGTGTTCGAATAATTTTATTGGGAGAGAGAGCCTACAAGCAGTAAATCAGAAGGTGTTGCACAAAGAATGAAGAAAGCAGTAAAAAAAGAAAAAGAAAAAGGCAGAACAAAAAAAGGACTGGTATGTTAGTTATTTCTTAATACAGGCAATATAGGCACATGATTAAACTACATGATCTGGCATAGATGTAACCTTCGAAAACACTTATAACTCAACTCAACTCAGTTACTGGGAAGGCATTCTGGGGCAATGAGCAACTGTAAGATTGTTGTATTTCTCATATGAACACTATATGAAGGCAGTTGGAATACTGGCCTTTATAGGTCTGCTGATCCTTATGCCTTGTTATGCAAGCAAGCAAGCCACTAACTAACTTGGGCTAGGAACTAACTTCCTCTTTGGGTTGCTTATTGCATAATTACCTGTTACGGTGTTCTATATTTTCCCTCTCATATTCCTCATAATGGTCTTTGCCAAGAAATGAAATATCAGGAGCGGGTTCTTCAGTTACTACGAATACCACAACTTCTTCAAATACCTTCCTCTTTTCAGTTTTAGAGAGTCTGAAATTTTTCACGTCCCACTTTCTGAAAGATTAATTTGGATTCCAGCATTTTCCCAATTTCTCCAATTTGTAAACTGTCAAACCGAAAACAGCTCAGCAAGACCTTCAGGTTTTTGTTGCATGCATGGGACTGCAAGACACTGTGTGTATGCTAAAACATTTTTCAGGTCAAAACCATGGCTGCATCATAGAATTGTAGAGTTGGAAGGGACCTGAGGATCATCTAGTCCAACCCCCTGCAATACAGGATTATGAAGCTATCCTATATGGGGATCGAACCTGCAACCTTGGCATTATCAGCACCACACTCTAACCAACTGAGCTATCCAGGCTGAAGAGGAACATTCTTGCCTGGCATCTAAAAATATGCAATCAGTCACATCATAGTTCTTTGCAAATAACACCCTCAATTTGCAGAATCAGGTCCCAAGCATTTTCATATATAACTGCAAGTACTCTAGTTAATTATTAGAACACTACTCATATGAATAGACAAGTGGGGAATCCAAGAATTTGTAGCACATTTCCCTCATTCATAAAAGTAGTGATTTTTAAGACTTGTGCAAATTGTAAAAACCGGCACAGGATCTTTCTTCTCAAGTGTACCTATATAAGAAATATATAACTGTGCGGTATAAAGTAATTGACAAATAAAGTATAGTGAGATTAATTGGAAGTCATTTTTAATTCTTTTCTCTTTTATAATTGTTTTCAGTCTCGGGAGTATAAAGGATGTTAGCTATACTAATTTTGTTGTTCCTTATATTGTGGTTGTTTGTTTGATTGATTTTTCTATTGTTTGATTGATTATATGTTTGTTTGTTTGTTTTTCCATAAATGTATTTATTTTAAATCAATAAAGGAAAAAACAAACAAAGATAAAAGTAGTGATTTTTAGGACTTGTGAAAATTGTAAAAACCGGTACAGGATCTTTCTTCTCATGTGTACCTTAGGTTCACGAGTAGAGGCTTCTCATGCAGTGTGTTAAGTTTTTGAGTTACTCAGAGCACTTCTGAATCACAGTGCAAGGTCAGAAACGTTCACCTAACTTGCATTCTTAAACCCCAAGTTCAGAAGAAGAGACGGGGCTCATCATCCTATGCTCTCCAGAAAGGGGCGGAATACTTGCCAGAATGAGCATGGCGAATAAATTTGTAGCAGTGAACCAAGAATGTCTGCTAGCAGCATATTGGCCATAGTCCAATCTTGATTAAAAAGCCACATCATAAAGAATGTCACATGCCATGAATGTCAGATTCAATGGGTTATCTCTCCATCAGCTTACAGTCACTTGGTTTGTGTTTACGGGGTGTGCACCTGTGAAACCAAATGCCTACAAGACTATGGACAACCTGAAAGGAAATTCACACTTATAACCATCTATGCATTTTCATAGACCCTTTCAAAGGAATAAGTCTCTCCTAAAACAATTCTGAGAAATGCAATTAGTGCACTTGCATAGGACCAATAGGAAGCAAAAACAGCTTGCTATATGGCCGGTGCCTGGATCCAGCTAGCACCCCAAGTGGGACAGTTAAATGTTTGTAAAAGATGTCATCAGTTTCCAGACCTCAATGTGTCTATACACCCTCCTTTGTTTTGTTTCTTTTTACTTGCAGTACACTGGTTTTTAGTCTTGGCACACATAATTTTATAAGATTCACAGAGGTAAACAAGAATAGTCTGAACACAGAGGTCTTGTCCCATTGTGAGAAATAATATATTTTAGGGCCAGTCCTACTCTAAATTTCTAGTTAGTAATGCAAGAGCAGGGGTGAGGGACCTTTTTCTGGCAAGTGGGTTGGATCCTTACTTCCATCCATCTCTGTGGGCCATTCTGACAGGTTGTTGCCCACCTGTGAATCATCTGGCATCTCTGTGGTGTCAAGTGTCAAAGGTTCCATTACTCTGCATTCCACCAGGAAAAAACAAAGCACTGCTCACATCTGACATTGTATCTGAAAAATACCGTCGGCTGGATTCATCACGCAGTTCTAGCCACTCTCAACTGGGGCTTTATCAAGTTTTACATTTAAAAGGTCAAAATAGAATCAAAATTATTTCTGGGCCTTTAAAATGAGAAGAGAAAACTTGATGCACTGGGTAACCATAAAACAAAAATGTCAACATTTTTACAAAGCAGAGATTCTTTGAGAACAGTAATAAACCAGAGTCCTTTCACATATATCATGGTTTAAAGAAAAAAAATTCCCGTAAAAAATTCCAGAATGCAGACGCTCAACATCACAGGGCAAGAGGGCCAAAGGTTAATAATTTTTAACCCCAAGGCAACTGACAGCATTGTGTTAGCCTAATCTTGCCAGTGCAAGAAGTACCAACAAAATACTTGAAAATGCTAAGGAGCCTAGTAACAACTATCGGAGTTATCCCATACACACTTCTAATGCTGCATTAGGCAAACACCCAATTCACGTACTACAATTTATTCTGCTGATAACATTGTTCCCATAACTTGCAAATACATTCATTCAGTTGGATAAGGAAGCATGCAGAGGAAGTGGCAGGTGTGGTAACTGGAAGTGAATGCATCTGTTATGCTTCATAACATGGTAACTTTAATTTAGGTGAATTTAGGCTGGCACAAAAGTGATTGGAATGTTGATGGACACCTTGATTTGAATGGCAGCAGTGAACGCTAGAAAACAAGAAGAGCCTGGTGGATCAGGCCAACAGGTGATCTGGTCCAGCATTCGCTTCTCACAGAGGCCAACCAGGTGCCTATGGGGAACCTGCAAGAAGGAACCTGTGTGCAACGTTCTTCCCTCCTGTGGTTTCCAGCAACTGGTGTTCAGAAACATACTGACTCTCCAACACACCAGAACATGGCCAACATCATTTGTAGGCACTGATAGACTTATCCTACATGAATTTGTCTAATCTTCTTTTAAAGGCATACAAGTCAGTGGTCAACACTGCCACTTGTGAGCACAAATTCCATAGTTAAACTCTGTGCTGTGTGAGCAAGTTTGTATGTCCAGAATCCTCACACGTTCAGCTTCTCTAAATGTCCGAGCCCTAGTGTTATGAGAGAGGGAGAAAGGTTTTTCTCTAATCACTTTCTCCATGCCATGTATAATTTCCATCGTGTCAGCTCTTACTGACATTTCTGTCTAAACAAAAATAGTCCCAAATGCTGTAACCTTTCCTAACTGGGAAGCCACTCCATCTAACTCTACAATACCCATTTTTAAGGTGAGGCAACCAGAACGGTACCCAGTACTCTCAAGCGCAGCCACACCGTAGATTTGTTTAATGACATATTGGCAGTTTTATTTTCAACTCCTTTCCCAATTATCCTTAACATGGAATTTGCCTTTTCCACAGCAGCCGCTAACAGTGCTATGATAAAGCAACCAGGACTCTACTGGTGAACCTTAATCAAGAAGACAGGAATGTGCCCAGACTTAAAAGTTACAAGGCTAGTTTGAACCAAAATGGTCTGAATTTAACGAGTTACGTCAAATGGCTAGACACACTTGAACACACCCAACTGGTCAGGTGCTCAAAATGAGTGTACAGGAATATAGTCTAGGCATTGGAACAGAATGTTCTGATATCATGACTCCTCACCAATGTAATGTTGAACGAAAGACGTCTGGGCTGACAGACAAAAATATTCAAGCACGATGCATCTGTTTTGTTATTTAAAGATGCAATCCTATGCCCAGTTACTTAGTCTATTGAGCATACTGGGATTCCTTAGGGGTTAACAAATACAAGATTTCTCTGTTCTGATATCAATATCATAGAAGATATACTTCAATAACATACTGCTTATAACTAGAACAAAACCGATAAATTGCTCTAATGGATGCTAAAAGAGTATTTATTTTTTTTAAATAGTGATTTACTGAACTGATGCATTTACTCTAAGAGTTCTTACCATGTAGTAGTATCAATATATATAAAAGCCAGTTTCCAGAGATCATGCTAAAGCTAGAGGGTAGTGGATAAATAGAAACCAAGATGGGCTTACACATATAATATTTGATCCCATTTTACCAATTCTGTAAAAATACAAGTGGTGTGCTTAGATAGGAACAATAGCAGGCAGTACTCCCATTTTATAGATCGAGAAACTGAGTGTCTTGAGCCAAAGACAACATAGTAAATTCATGGCAGAACTAAGAATAAGCTAAGATTCCTCTGTTAACAGGCAATTAAAACTTTAGCTGACTAGTTTATCAATTATATCCAACTTGTAGGCCTAGATCTATTGTCCCACTGAAATCAATGAGAGAAGTTAGTTGTGACTCACTTCATCACCACTGATTTCAACAGAATTTTAGCACAACTAACAGCATCTGGATTGAATTCCCAGCATTTAGAGAAATGCAGGGCACTAATTCAGTTGAACAAATGAACACAAAGATTCTTCAGTAAGAGTGAGTGAATTTTGTTAACATTACATTTGCTTTAATATATTTGCCAGGGTTTTTAGCAGGCAGAGGGGCTGAATAAATCAACCATGAGGAATTAGGATTGCATTCTGGACACTTTACAGAGAACTATCACACATACTTTCGAGATCTGAGTTTCAAACAATTCTGCTTTAATCAGCACAGCTGGATGAGGAATGAATGGGCAAGATCAACGAAAGTGCCAAAGCAGGAACTTTCACTAAAGCACCAAAGAGGTAGTTCCTGAAAACCAATACTCTCCCTACTAGGAGTCACCTGCCACACTCAGGATCAGTACCTTGCCTTCGGGCACATTTTCCTCTAATAGCTTCCCGACAGGCGGAAATAAAACAGATAACGATGCTGGGGAAACTCTGCAGCTCTTGAACTTTTGGCCTTTCAGACAAAAGCAGATTTGTTGTTCTTGGGGTTTTTTAAGGCCACCTAGCCCCATCCCCTTCCAGCCGCCCCACATTCAGAAGACGTGCCACTATCCGGGGAAGCTGCCGTTTGGCACAGATGGGCAAGGGGTCTACCTCAGCAGCGAGGCCACTCCGGTCAGGTCCCTTCATCCTCCTCCTTCTCTCGCTTTCTTTGCTCCCTCGGGGACGGTCCTGACCGCACTCCAGCGGACGACTCAGCCCCTCTGTGAGGCAGAAGCGCACCTGGCTGGTCCCCGGGGCGCGCGCGCGCTAGGCGGCCACTATCTCCAGCTTCCAACCAGATGAGGGACACGGGGTCGACGACGACGACGTGCCCCCCTCTCCCCACGAGGAGGAAAACCGGCTCCAAGACACCAACTTTCCCCGGGCGAGGGGAGGAGAAAAAGGAGAGGACCGCGCGCACGCGCGCCTTGGAGAGGAGCGACTGCCCCGGGGCGGCCCCAGCTTCTCTTCACCTCCGCTCGCCTTTCCTTTTCCCTGCCCGGCTCAGTTTAATTGGGTTCCCGACTCCGCCCGCGAACGCGCACCTCTGAGGCGGCTTTATGCTCCTCTCCTAAAACCGACACCTGCTGCCTTACGCTGCGCGCGAAACGCTTTTTGCCCCTGGCCCCCTTTTACGCGTAAACGCCACCAGTTCTCGGTGGGCTTAAGGCGGGTCCCTTCCCGCTCTTTTCTGGCGCCGAACCAAAGCGACGACCCCCCTCTTCCCAATAGGCACTTTGCAAATGCAACGGTCCTTCTAGGCGCTTGCTAGCCCTCGGCCGGGCGCAAAACTTTCCTCAACTGTCTACCTCGATAGTGTTTCCTTTCTCTTACCTAGACTCCTCAAGTCTGCACCAGCTACCTCTGCAACCTTCTGCCACATCCCATTGCTGGAAAATGTTGTTCCTCTATCGTAAGTAACGCAGCAGGTTTTCTGGCGGTTATTGGTTGGGTTTTTTTTTTAACTTGCACAGAAACGGGTCGGCCTTCCTATTCAGGAAGCTTGCAAGCAGGTGCAGCAGCTGCTCTTCCGTTCTCTAATTGATTCCTCAGGCACGAAAACTAACTTCCTTTGGTTACCAGCCTTGGGCTTAAAAAAAGAGAGAGAGCAAAAAAACAGCCGGATGCAGTAGCCTTTCTTGTGTGCCCTAAAGCTAGACTACAGCAAATACTGTAATTTCCATGTTTGCAATATTTTGGTCTGTCCAGGCCTCCTCCTTTGCTCATGGGTGGTGAGAGGAATAAAAGGGCTTTCCCTGTTTAAATCTAGTTCAGCCTGACATTCAGGGACCTGGGGTTGGTTTAAGAAAGCTGGATCACACACATGCACACCCCATGCCTGCACAGTTATTTATAGATTATATTTTTTGTTTGGTTTCCTAATTGTAAACCCAAACTGGGAGAACCTACATAGGAAGCTGCTTTACACAGAGTCAGACTGTTGGTCCATCTAGCTCAGTATTGTGTATGCTGACTGACAGTGGCTCCCCAGGGTTTTAAGCAGGAGTCTCTCTCAGCCCTACCATGGATCTTCTGCTTGCAGGTCTACCTCTGAGCTAACATTGATATTTTTATTTACACCATCTAAAAGCAGTGGCACACAGTCTGTAGCATGGACACATTCTGAGTACCACAGCCAAGGCTCATTTGTACAGTGGATTATGGTTTCCAGCAGAGATTGATTATTGATTGATTTTAATTTATTTATTTCTATACCACCCTTCATCTGAAGATCTCTGGGCGGTTCACAAGATAAAAATACAGGATACAAAATAAAAAGTACAAAATAAATAGTTAAAACAAAAACAAAACAATAACCCCCCCCCTCCACAAACACATTTAAAAGGCTGTAGAATATTAATCGGCCAAAAGTCTGGTTGAAGAGGAAGGTTTTTGCCTGGCACCTAAAGATGTATAATGAAGGTGCCAGATGAACTTTCCTGGGGATAGCATTCCGCAAAAGGGGAGCCACTTCAGAAAAGGCCCGTTCTTGTGTTGCCATCCTCTGGAGGCACACAAAGAAGGGCCTCAAGATGATGATTGCAGAGTCCAGTTTATATGGGGAGAGGCGGACCTTGAGATGCTTCTGGCGGATGACAAACTCCACCAAATTTCAAATCACCTAATGGGATTATTTCTTAGAAGCATCTATAGAAACTCACTGTTTCAAAATAGCATTATAGATTTCCTGCTCAGTTTCTGTTAGCAGGACTATCCATGTGGCAATTCTATGAGGCAATATCCTGACTTGAAGACTTGTGATAGCCCTGATAATTCCGATAATTTGTCCACATGGGAGTTAACATGACTAAGGTGGTGGTCAGAAGATATAACCCCTCAGGATCCTGCCTCTAGCCAGGTGGAGGTGGCTCTCCTGAAAAACAAAAAAAAAGTGAACAATAACAAGAAATACTTACCAAATCCAACTCCCCGCCCCAATTTCACTATATCCAAGAGCAGGCCTTTAGACTTTCGCCAGATCTATTATCTTAACAAAATCTGAAATGTTAACTTCGCTTTCCTCTCATTTACTCAATATCTTAATGATCTTCTCGTCTTATCTGCAACCTTCACGCCCCAGGCTCATTTATGTGACAATGGCTACTCTATTTGACAAATGCATGACAAGACCCAAAATAAGGAAGGGATATGACAAAAATAGAATTGATGAACAGGGAAGGTCTGCTTCAAAAAAAAGGTACTCCTTCCTCATTCCTGCTCTGTGTGAGGATACACACAGCAACTTATTGTTGCTTGTCTCACCGATTCCCTTAGGTGGTTGAGTGCTATCACTGGTAGCAAAACAAGACCACTCCGACATAACAACAATGCATAAGTATATTAAGTTGTAAAAAGAAAATGATGATGATGATGATGATGTTATGGGTTTGTGGAGTGCCTGGACCCCCCTTCTAATTCCTGGGTGACAGACATTGGATTGAAATACAAGCTAGGAGCCAGCCTGGTAATGCTAAAGCAGAGTTTTTAGGAGGATAAAGGGAGTGTGGCCCTCCCTCAGCTCAGAATTAGTTAGAAAGTTAGAACTAACTACTTTAGTTGAAGTAATTTTTACAGTTGGAAGGAGAGTAGTTGTTTTCAGGATTGCAGTTGAGGGTGATGTAGGTTGGAGGAAAAATAGTTGCAGCCTGTTGAATGCAGCAAGCTGAGCAGAGAGACAGAGGGCCATGGCTGATTTCTGCTGGCATCCAGGACTGTGGCCATGGGAGAAGCAAGAACCTCTTGTAGTGTAATGCTATGAGCCCCTCCATCATAGGCTTAGGTTGTATACATGTGTAAATAAACAAAAAAGACAACATGGTTTCCCCTGTGCCTCATTACCAAAGGAAACACAAAGCCCGGGTAAGCACCAGGGCCCCTGGAATCTTGCGCAGCTCAGAGATTGGGGTGGTGTGCAACCAGGACCGTCTTAAGCATATCCGGCGCCGTGGTGCAATGCTCCCTCCGGTGCCCTCCCCCATTTCCCAGAGTTGTCCACCTTTTTTTAGGGAAGACAGCACTGCTGGCAGGGCTAGAGGAGGCGGGCAGCAGCTGGAGGGCGGCTCCTCCGGCGGGGAAGAGGCGGAGGCTGGATGTGGCGCCTCCTGGCTCAGCCGGCTGCTTCATGCCACAGTGGCCATGGCAGATGGAGGCTCCAGGCACGGCACTGTATTGGCGCGGCATGGCGGAGGCGGGCGAGGGCGGCGTGCTGATGCTGGGAGGCGCCGCATCCAGCCTCCGCCTCTTCCCTGGTGCCCTCAGAACTTGGCACCCTGGCGCCCTGCGCCACTAGCCTCTGTGGGTAAGACACCCCTGTGTGCAACACTGGTGTTAGAAATGGGATTTGTGTTTCTTGGAAGTATGCCTGAGCCAAAAAGGGAGGAGCAGCAACACTCCTTGAGCAGCTTGAGAGAATGAAGCAGTCGCTGAGCCAGTGGTTTGATAAAACGAGCCAGCTGCTGATAGAGTGGGGGAGAGTCTTCCGTGAAGAGGGAAGCATGACTGCATGCAAGGTGGCAGCCCTGCCTGATGAGATGCAGATAGTAGCTGAAGGCAGGGGGCAAGGACGCCTCAGAAAAGTGCATGCTGGGTGGAAATCAAGAGCTGTTTCTGACATTACTTCCTGGGAGTCCACTGTTGAACATTTCACACACACAAACCCCCATTTTTAGGAAGATACCACAGGTAGAGTTGGGGCAGAATGTTTGACTCACCATTTACATTTTGCTCTCTATATACTGAATTCACACATCACACAGTGGCCTTCTGCCATTCTTTTGGGCTGACCTGGACCAAAAGCATGCAACATGGGTCATGTAATCTCAGTTTCGAAAGCTGAGATTGCTTCCATTGATGACTGCAGTTAAATTCAGGATACTGTTCCAATAATTTCCCAGAATTTATAATTTTCTTAGCAACTTATTGTTGAAAAAGTTGTTTCAGGAAAGGGAACTTTTTCAACGGGAAACCACCCACAAGCATACCTGACCTTGAAATGCTTTCAGTTGTCAGAAATGATTTCCGTCACCTCGGCAAACAATCCCGGTCATGACCTGAATATCTGAAACAAACGCATTGGACATCTGGCATGGCTTCCTTGGTTGAGTCAGGCTGAAAGTGAAAATTTATATTGACGTGCAACAATACAAATGAATTGCAAACCCATTTGAGAAAACAAACTTAACTGGAAACATTGCAGAGTCAACAAAGCAAAATTATTGTAATAAGATTCTTAAGTGTGTTTATTTATGTACAGATTTTGCTCTATCCCACAGCTAGCCAGCTTGTGTTCTGTGGGCAGCATCTAGCTCTCCAGTAGGGCTGGGTGTTATCTGGTTTTCCACATCACAATATATCACCAGCTAAATATCTTGATATATCATAATATATATCGGCAGCGGTCGAAGACCTTGCTGGGCCTCCCCCCAGTGGTAGAGGGTCCCGCCATGCCTCCCTGCAGCAGCGGAGGGTACGCCACATTTCCCCCGCAGCAGCAGAGGGGCTTGCCATACTTCCTCACGGTGACAGAGTCCCACCCATCTGAAAAGTATCTATGGTATCGGTTTGGCTGAGCTACCCCCTGGGAAGCTGTCAGTCTCCACCTTTGTTCACCCATATATTGCCTTGTTGAAACACTTATCACAATGTTA